CATATCATACATGCTAATAGGTACAATATAATATTAATATGAATAATCATTATGCCAACGTTGTAAAATTTATTGTGTTTTATTCTTTTAGTTTCTACTTCAAATGTTTTTAGTTTTACATCAAATAGTAAATACCATTTATTTTTATTTTTAGAAAATTGTTCAGCAATACGGTTACGTTTGTAGAGAGTAGAGACTATTATTATTATTTTTTTAAAAAATGCTAATTATAAATACAACATACATTAAGTCGTTACTCGTTTGAGGGGGAAGTCATGTGAAAAACAGTTCCCCCTCATTGGTTCTGTATTTAAAAAAAAAAAAAATTCGTTACTCGTTAATACTTTATAAGTCCCTATTAAGTAGTTTATACGCTAACTGTTTTATATACTTGTATTTATGTACTTTTATTTTTGATTACTAAGTATATTTAATGTATTGTATTAGGGTTGTTAATTGTTATTTTGAACTGTTTCAAAAATTAATGCTCCCAGAGGCTAATTCTGTTCTAAATGATGAAAAAAATATTCCCATAAAAAACCCACATCACTGAATTTAAACCCGTCCCATTATTTATTTTGGGCGTCCCTTTTAAATAAACATGAGATTTAAACAATTTTTTTTTTGCCATTTATCTGAGACGTGCAAAAGTATTCTAAAAATCCAAATTCTATACTGATTGATTACAGACTTCAAAGGAAGTACAATACTATATTTTGCTCTTTTGAAAAATTTAATAATACCATACGAATACCAACATATTATTATTCATCATTTAGAATAGAATGGAGTAGCATAATATAAAATTATTTAATTCGGATTAACTTTTAGTACAATGTAAATATATAAATCGATTAATTCGTTTTTTTGACTCAAACCACTTCATACAATATTTTTAAACAAAAATATGTTTGACATTTTTTAAAAGCTCATTTTGCTTAATCTACATCATAAAAATAAAAGTACTAAAAAGTTAAATTATTTAGTATAGGTACTTGAATATTCTATAATAGGTGATTGACGCATTCTAATCTTGATGTCTATGTACAGATTAATTTAAGGATAAAACCGGGAAAGTACATATTTTAATAGAAGAAAAAAATGTTTTAAAACATTAACAAAAATACTTAAAAACGTTTGAAAAATGTTTAATTTTTTATTTTAATCGTGTTTAATAATAACGGATTTGTTTCGTGTCAAAACGAATTTTATAACAACAAAATGGCTGTTTTTATAAAATGACTTGCCTATTTTTTCCCTTTACCCTTCAATTTTACCACAGTCATTTTTCACTATCACAACTCGTATTATGTTATTATTATTATTGTTTGAAATTTTGTTTAAACTTCATTTTAGTTTTGTTTCTATTTATCTCTAAAAACTAACGCTTGTTGTAAAATATTAATTTTCTTTTTAATTCGATTTTTCGCGTATTGGACCACACTATTTCTCACAATGATATCGTTGTAAATTGTAAGGCAGGTTTTTTGTCGGTCCAGTGTGATTTTAATGGAATTCATATCGACGTCAACGGCCACGCATATCCTGTTCCTAAGTACTAGTGCCGCGGGAGTAGGTTCATGTATGTATCTCCTGCAGCTCAAGTGCTTATCAACGGGATTAAGTGCACTGTCTCTTCAAAAAAAATATTATGTTTCAATGTTTAATTATTATTATTATTAATACCGTTATCAACACTTTCACGAGATCAATGTCGCACAGTTAACTTTGTCGGGGGTGCCTTAAATATTTATTTTTAAATTCACTCATCTAGCTTTTCTATTACTAAGTCTATGTTAGACTTAATATCCATATTACACATCATACCATTAAGTATATATTATACAATATATACTCAATGGTCAGACCGTTACCCAAATAATATTTATTTATGAAAGGGTTGTTGATATCAGCTCCACGACAGGTTTGAGTGCGCCATTGTACATTGTATATGTGATTATTTATATCATTAAATATTTGTAATGAATTGTTTAGTATATTATGCAGCTAGATAATATTATATTATGTTATGATGAAAACATTTTTTTCTGAAGTGTTAAGATAATATCAAAATTAAAAATCTTAGGTATTCTTACAATTTTCATATAAGTAGTTAGTTATTACTGTACTGATCACTTAGCCACGGGGGGCTAAAGCCCCTCCCTCGTATACCTAAATTTTTAGCATTAAAAGTGTATTTTTATGTTTATTTTTTTTTTTGTAATTTAATATATTAGAATATGTTTTTTTTACTATGCAAACTGTAACTCCATGACTATTGCTTTTATATATTTTAAGTTAATTTTTTTTCTAGCTCCTTCATTCATTCATAGATTTGCCCTTGTCTAGCAGTAAATATATCTAGTTGTTGTATTTTTCATTGAAAACGGATACTTATTGTTATAAGGATTAAAAACGTTACTAAGCCAAAATTTACAATTTGCGTTATAACTAAAATAAATGTTGATTGTCTAATTTTGAACTTGTAAAAAAACTATAAAAAAAATTAGGCTAAGTTATATACTTTAGAACGATATAAACGATTCTTCGCACAAACAATATTTTATATGATTCCAAAAGGCATAACTAACTTATAATAATTGTGATTTGTAATATTGTTTTTTATGAACTTGTTTTTACAAGTTTAAAATCAGTTAAGCTATTATACTATCAATTATTTTAATCATCATTTATTATAGTTATAACAAATAATATATAATTTGGCTTGGTGTTCTAATGTTGGGCCATTTTGAGTGTTCCCAATAAATAAATGGTAGGATCCAAAATTGAGTCCACGGTCACTCCTTTTACCCACTGTGAAGATATCCGCGATTCTCAATGAGACTATTTTTTAAAGCTGTACTGTGGATTTCTTCATAAGCTTCAAGGTTCTTGGGTCGAAATAATTGTTTGTATTAGACTTGATGTATAATTTTATAGGGCCTTACAAGTTACAATTGTTTATGAGTTACTTATAGCTGAAAAAATAAAAAAAACTAAACAATTTTAGTGCTGAAAAAAAATGCAATGGAGGAATTTTCAAATCTGGCAATTCTGTCTTAACGTTACAATTGTGGTCGACTACAAAAGATCTGCACGGGCCTAAAAAAGCTCGGTCCGGTCAAAAAATTAATTGTTTTTCTTTTAGGCGTAAATTGTTTAAAACCCCCTTTTTTGTTGTTATTAATTCTTTGATTAGTTTGTTGCAGCTCTCCATGCTTCTCTATCGTAACTTAATTCTTTCAGGTCCTTGTATTCATATCCTTCATTATTTGGGTCATGTATTCTGCCCTTGGTCTTCCTCTTCCGATGTGTCCTTCAACATCTCTTTCAATTATTGTCATTAGTAAACTTTCATGTCATGTGTCCTATCATCTTATCTCTTCTGGATTGAATACTTTTCCATAACTTTCGTTTTTTTTTCTTATCTAGTACCTCCTGGTTCGGTTAAAATTAATAAGTCACAACCCGGTCCGGTCTGTATTAAAAAAAAAACAATTTAGGCTGATTTATTTTATAATAAAAGAAACAATTTTAATTTTAAAAAATCCATATTGCTCCTAATTAGTTTAATTAAACTCGGCCCGGGCCTGTAAATGAAGAGACTACCAACAAAGACAGACATCGAATTTACGGTACCCGATGAAGCTAGCTCGATCTCAAAAGATTGACATTGTATAGGATTTGACTTCTGCCTTTTGGAACATTTTTTTCCACTCTGTACTCATTGATAAAAGTCTCCCTTGATTTTTTTCCAATTTTTTTTTTTATAAGACCTTTGGTAGTAGGTACTTTTTGATATAATTGCTTATAACTTACTAAAACAAGGAGAAAAAGTAAAACACGAGGATCAAAATATTCTTATTGACTTGTACACTTTCAACTTTAAATATATTTCTATCTAGTTTAATTTGAATTAAATATTTAAAGATATGTGTGTTTACTGTTTTAAGACATATATTAAATAATTGTTATTTTCTTTTTCAACGTTTATGTCGGTATCGGAAGTTGACTTATGCGGTTAGGTTAGGTTAGGCTCTTTTTAACTGAACGGGTTTTCACCTAGCAAGCGAATCCGATCGTGACCGAGAGTCAAACCGGCGACAGTAGGTACGAGCAAAGCGCAAATACACTTTTTGTTGACTGTAACATATTTCAAATTTAAATTATTTATTTATTTATACGACTCAAGTACAAGATTACGGAAAATTACAAAACAACAATAATAACAATTCAATCATCATACAAATAAATTATAGGTATTTTTAATAATATTTTTTGGTCAGGTGGCACTGCTGAGAGCCTTCCTATTCACACATTAGGCCATTGTATCGTTGTCATCAGACTTGCTGATTATACATATTTTGTATAGATTGTAAATAAAAAAAATATACTTCTAATAAGGATAAATTGTTTTTAGATTTTGGATTTGTTGAAATTCAAAAATACGATATCCGAAAGAAATTTGTAGGGAAATTTAAGCGTTTTTTTTTTAGATTTTCAGCAGAAAATACACTTTACTGCTTTATACTGCAATAATACTTAATATGTATTTATATGATTTTTAAGTGGCTTAAATAGTGTTTTATTTTTAAAATTTTTAATAATATTAGACGTTAAAATAAATTCCTTTTTTTTTTATGGATATCGTGTAGAAATTTGTTTTGAAATCCGAGATTCATGAGTCCAATAGGGTACAATTTGGCCCCATAGATTAATATAACACCTAAAGACTAATATTTTCCTTTGTACAACATTCTCAATTCCCATCCTCCTAATATACCACTTCTATTTACCGTGAAACAATCAAGTATCAGCACTATGAATTACAATTTTTTTTGTTGCTTTTTTGTTATTGCGACGACCCTATGGCCTATAATAAACTTTAGAAACACTTTTACATTGTATTGGTAGTAGTGTACTATCAAATAGTAAATACCAACCTCCATCTATGATATTACGTTTTTTTTTATCAGCAGCTGTGTATTATATGAGATAACGAAAGCCACTACTTATCAATTATTATATTTCGTTGTTTGAAACGAAATAGAGTTCATAATATGAATTATGATTCACGAATCACGACTATCAAGGAATATTCGTGTGCATGAAAATATTTTAACAAAATTTCTCATAGGCCAATAGTCTGCGGTTAAAAGGTACGTGTTGTAGATTATTTTTCATGTTTCTTTAAATAAAATGTTCACATTAATTTTTTTTTTTTTAATTAGTTTATTTAAAAATGTTTATATTTTCTTAGATATTTTTCAATTTGACTTACAGATAAGTTATTAAGGTAAACAATGGCAAATTCAAATCCTACTATTTATCCATCTACAAACAATCGAGAGAGTTCAGAGTAAGATAATTCAATTTAAACAATCTAGGCATGTAAATAAAAATAAATTTTACGATAACTATTTTTTTTAACTTGTAGACAAAAACATTGCTGGGTTTGTTTTGGAACTGACGATGATGAATTCGAAGGCAGCAGAGATTGGGTATCGCCATGCAAATGTCGGGGATCTACTCGTTGGGTAATATTTGTCATACAATTTTTAAACAGAACTAGTTGGTTTCTTGTTTTCATTCTTATGTTGTTATAATTTTGCTACATTCTTAGGATTTTTAATCCACTCGGTAACCTTGAAATGATAAGCGTTATATTTTAGGTATAAAAAGGTAATAAAAAGAAAAAAGTTTGATTTTTGATTAATTTTTAGATTTTAACATTGATGCAAAGCTGGTAAGGTATTAATTTTACAATGATGTGTTTTTTCTTTCTTTAATCTTACAATATTAATATATTATTTAAAATTTATCAACAGTTCATCATTTAAATTAGTTATTTTGATTTTTTGTTACAATAATAAATGTATTAAATAGTTTATAATTGTTTTGATATGAGCATAGATTTAATATATTTTATTAGATAAGCTATGCTCGTATTTTGATTTAATACTTCTTTTATTTATTATTTTATAAAACAATAGTAAATTAATTAAAATAATATTAATGTTCTAATCCATAGGAGGTTGTTTTACTAAATTCCATTTAATAATATATAGAAAGCAGGGAGTGGCAAATACCCTACCTATAATCTAAAAAATTAAAATATGCATGTTTTAAAATATGTCTCATTGAGAAACATGTTTGCTCCGCAAAATATCTAGTACGGCCGGCGTTATTTTTAATTATATAACGTAATACATTTTTAAAATTTTAATAATATATTTAGTGTAGTATATTATACATTTTAAAATTTATAATTTTATTTAAATAAAATACCTATGTACACTATGTAGTATGTATATTATTAACTTAAAGCAGTTGTAAAATGGCATTGGGTCAACTGAAGTTACCTCTATCACCTTAATAAGGTTGCTGCTGGTATCCATTATACATTTATATGTACTTTCTAATGAATATTTATTTTAATTAAATTTTCTTGAGCTATGACCTTTTCGATTAAACTAACCATAAATAACAGATAAAACTATTATTTTTACTTTATAGGTACATCAAGATTGCGTTCAACGCTGGGTGGATGAAAAACTAAAAGAAAACTCTACTATTGAAGTACATTGCCCACAGTGTAACACAGAATATATTATTATTTACAATGAAGTCAGTATGTGTAATCATTAAATCGTATTCTAACATATAAAGTACCAAATGAAATTTACATAAATACCTATAAATAATAACTTGATCACATTTTTGAGGACATTACCATTAATTATTTAAAAATTATTTCTAGAAACCGAATTTCTATGTTATAAAATATTTAATAAATTATGTTTTTTTGCTTTAAGTGCATTTTTGAAAAGTGTACAGAAATTACTTACAGAATTACTAAAATACTATATCATCACAATACAGTAAAACAAGAATAAGGATAAAACTATGAATTTATCTAATAATTGTATATTATTAGGATTTATAATTGGATTTAATTTCTTATAATTAGACATAAAGTAAATTTATTAGCGTTAGATCTAAACTAAGCCTTTTTCTTAAAATCTGTAAACAAATTGTTTTTTATTAAAAAAAAACTACAGAAACTTGTCTCCCTCCTCACAGATTTTATGTTATGATTATGGTTTTATGTCCAAATTATAGAAATGTATACGCCACCATACCTAATTCATTAAGAGGATGCCATAGTGCCCATTCATAAGGATTAAATTGTAGGCATTTTTTTTCCAAAATCTTTATTTAAAGGTTAAACTGTGATTTGTAATTATTAGTTCAGTAATTAAGACTCTTTTTTGGTAGCTAATTCATTTTTTAGACTATCACAGCCATACTTGACAGCGATTTAAAAAAAAAAATTCATCTAAACATAGCTACACAAAATGAGTTATACTTGATCCATAGTGGTTTTAGGGCAAAAACAACTGTTATCGTAAGATAACAGCATTTTGGAGACGATGACTTATCCATTTTTTGTTATGTTCAATATTAACAATGAACAATGCAAAAAACAGATTTTTTAACTTTTTTAAATGCCTGTAACTTTTTTTCTAAGATAAACTTTTTAAAAAAGCTAAGTCATTGTCTCTGAAATATTGTTTTCTACAACTTTTACCTAACGTTTTTTGCTTTAAAATCACTCGGAAGCCCGTATTATTAAAACGCACGAACAGATTTTTGTACCTTATTTTTCATTGTTATGGCTTCTTCTTAATACCCAAATTCTTTATTGTGCAAAATATAATATTGTGTGTATAAAAATGTTGAGGACCAAAGCTTGGAGAAATCTTGTTAAAATTAGACCACAAAGCCTCAATAAATAGATGGCAAAACATAAATAAAAATCATTATTGTTATCATCATCTTGAGTATGATAAATTGTAATTCATTTTTAAAATGTAATTAATTTTTCCATAGATTATATTGTCAAGTTATTGAATAAGCTTGATAAATTTTCCAATCAGTTATGTCCATTTCTAACGGCTGGCGTTGTTATTAGTACACTTTATTGGTCTGCAGCGTCATACGGAGCAATTACTATTATGCAGGTATTTAGTATTATTTTTACTGAATGGTAGTAAAAAATTTTAATTTAATCATTCATTTCAAAAAACCACATAAGTCATTGTTTTTACAGGATTATCAAGTTTGATACTTATGTATGTTACATATTATGTGTAATAATTACACGTTTTGGTTATGACCCTTCAGTTCCTTTAGATGAGTGGCTGGTTGTAATTACTTAGTTATTACTTTAGCGACATACTTAGTTGTTGCTGCTTACTTATATTATTAATAGTTTAACTTGTGTAACCTATTGATATTTTATTTTTTGGCACAATTTTTGTTTAAGAAATTGTTATTTCTTAAAACAATAAAACAATAAAAAGAAAATTTGTTTTTTTTTCATTTATTGAATTATGGTCAAAGGTAGACCTAGACTATTGAAAACTGAATAGCGAATAACACTAATTCTGAAAATAAATGTGTAAATAGGCTACTGCATATAATTTTAGTTTTATGACATGTCGTTTTTAAAACAATTTATTTTAATTACAAGCTTTGTTTTTAGGTAATGGGTGAAGAAGAAGCAATAACCATTATGGAAAATACTGATCCATATTTACTACTACTGATGTTGCCTGCCATACCGCTTACACTGATAATGAGTAAAACTGTTAACTGGGAAGAAACTCTACTATTAGCAATTCAACGCTTTACTTTTAATCTTCCTTTATTAAGGAATATTATGCCTTCATTTTTGTAAGTAAATTATTTCTTATATTCATTTAGTATTAGGCATGTTGTTACTTACAATAAGATTTTGTAGGTACGTGAAATTATGTTTTTATAACTTTGATTATATAACCTGTCTCTAATTTAATATATTAATAATTATTGGGTGTCGTATAGATGTGAACCAGTGAACATGGTATCTACAACTCACTCGGTACAGTTCAACCCTGTTATCAACCCGACAACTACTCTTTGTGCAGCTTTATTGTTGCCGACAACAGCAACCATAGTTGGAAATTTATTGTTCCACAATAGTTCTTATTCAAATATTCAAAAAACCTTGTTGGTAAGTAAAAATGATCAATTGTCATACAGTCTTTTATCTAAAAATAAATTATCAACTTTTTTTCAGGGTGGATTGTTGTATATTGCTGTTAAAGGTGCTTTAAGTATATACCAAAGACAACACAATGCAATAAAAGATAGAACTCGTAAAGTTATTGATTATCCAGATTCGGAGAGTGATGATGAACATTAACAATTCTTATCCTATCGACATTGAGTTGTTACATCACCACTAGAAATTGTACATACAAATACGTATTGTGAAAAATAAAAACTATATTTTTTACACCATTTCAGATTAAAACAAATTTATTGTCTTAATAAAATGTTTAGTTAACAAGTAATAATATTTATTAAAATGTAAAAAAAAACTATTATTCAAAGCTGTTATAATTTTTTGTTTCTAATGTAGACATACTAGGTTTTCGTCTTTGAAGTCTATTATTTTTATATATCTAGGAATAATTTGGGAAATCCCGATGAAGTTAAATATCTTTAAAATCAAAGTTAACAATCTGAAATCAAAATTCAGAAAAAATAAACAAATAATTGTTTTACGTTTATTATAATAAGGCATAACTTTTGTAATTTTATTATCACTATAAATTTGGTACTTCTCGAAAAACATTAACAATTGCCATAAAAATACAAACAAACAACTAGACTAATATTTAGGTTTAATTGTTCTCAATAACAAATAGAATAACTATTATTAAAGATTAAATATAGTACAGATGGATAATGCTCGTATATGGATTTTGACTCTTATTTTTTTAATTGTTCTAACTCTGTAAAATTCAGAAATGCAATTCAAATAATGATCCAGGATCGAAAAATGTTAGTGGCTGCAAAAATCCTACATAATACATTTTATTGTAGAATCGTTAGTAAGATAAATGGCCATGTATAACCTTGACTGTTCATAATTTTACTGTTCGATAATTTATATTATTTTCAACAAAAACAATAGTATCTATCTAGTGTAGAACCTACATATTATTATTATTCGGAGATCCAAATACATCCTTAATATCATCCTAATTTTTTAAGTGAGCAATTGTGTAGCATGACAGGTATAGTGATATACATTGGCCAGCACTTTACACGCCCATGAATTACTAAAACTTTTATATTTAAAAAATGTACTATAAAATTCGAATTAATAGAATAATTAAATATTTTGGCGATTGGCGCCAAAATCATAAGCCGGTAAGCTAAAAGCAACCTTTGGTTACCACGGTTACCAGCTGTCGATGTCACAAAGAATATCCAACTAAACCCCTCCCCCCTTTTGTTACTAAATGTTCCTAAGAGTTTCAAGCAACACATTTCTAATGCGCATGTCCAAAACCATTGGCCAATCAGATTTGGTCATGTACCATAGAGCATGCGTAGATGTGCACCGTTACCCGAAATAGTCGGTGACGGGAGATTATATTAGACACAAACTATAGGATACGGGCAGCAATTGGCTAATGCTCATATCACTGCACCCTACATCGGTCATAAATGATCACAGAATCACAGAATAATGTTGATAACAACAGTACACGGCGCAAGCGATAAGGCGAGCGTCTATGTTTGTGTGTTTACCAAACTAAACTAAACGCTGTAAGTTGCTTGCTGTTCAAGTTCAATTCTACCTCTACGTGTTTTTAGATATTATTATTAGTCGAAGCTTGCGGATTTTTAAAAATACTGTCAGGGTATTTTCATTTTTTTTTTTCAAACGAGCGCTTAGCTTTAATTGGTGAGTGATGCAAAAATGTTCCATGTAGGTTATTTTTTAATTTTCAATGTAATGCAAAATTTTTAGCATAATTATGTCGGGCGGTGAAGAGGAAACACCGAATGTGGAGGAATCTGCTGCATCGACTAACGATGAACAACAGAACGAATCGACCGAGGCGAGTGGCAATGGCGAGGGCAGCGGTGCCGGAGATGTGGCTATTCCTGAAGAAAAAGCTTCATCCGATGAATACATTCGCTTACGAGTGATTACTAGTGACATGACTAATGAGGTACATTTTCGCGTTAAGTCTGCCACTGCACTAGGCCGTCTAAAACGTTCATACTGCAGTAAGCTGGGCTTTCAAGTAGAAGAATTACGTTTTGTCTTTGATGGCCATCGTATTACTGACGATGATACACCTAAGAAATTGGGGATGATGAACGATGACGTTATCGAGATCTACCAAGAAAGAACTGGTGGTAAATAATTATAATATGTGCATTTGTCGCGGATATATATATACGTATGTATAGTATTTTAATTATTAACTGTAAAATAACTATACAATTTTAATTTCAAACATTTGTTGATAATACATTAACAAAGCAGTCATTATATGTATTTATACTCTATTCCATATAAAAGCGGTAGTGTGCAGAAACCAAAACACGTCTTTCCTGGCTGCGCAGGCCCTTACGAGAGTGGTACAATTTGGTTTCTGCGCATTACCGCTCTTATATGGAATAGATTATAATATATATATATAAACATTTGCCAAAAAGGTATATGGATGAACAATTTTTTATTTTACTGTTCTTAAATATTTTTAAACTTTACTAGATGTATAAATATCACACTATAATTATCAAAAATCATTTTGGTAAAAGTTTTTGTTTTTTTATTGTGTATACAAATTTAAAATAATATTCCATTTTATTAGTAATAAGCATGTAACATATTTTTGTTGAGATTATTTGTCTATAGTTCACATTTTGTTGAAATGTGTTATACCATAACTAGTACAAACGTCTTAATGGAAGTATCTTATAATTATAATTTTTTATTTTAGAATTTAGCATTTTACATTGTATGTCACACAATATTTTGGAGATACTCAAAACTAGGAAAATATATGAAAAGCACAAAAGTACTGTTAATTAAAAAGTATACACATTATATAGTATTTGTAATGTGCAATATTTTTTCTTTTCCTTGTGACTTGCCATTTATCAGAAATAGTTAAGCTACTAAAATAAATTCTTTATGATAGAATGATTTTATCATTCATTATTCATGACCAAAAGGCAATGAGGAAAAAAATTGTAATTCACGTTTGATTTTTAATTTTTTATTTATAAAAAATTATTATAACCATTTTATTCTATAAAATGTACAATCATTATATTTTTCTTTTATGTTTTTAAAAATGTAATAAAGTACAAATATTAAAACTGCAATTATAAATATTAGTATTGTGCAAAAAATAAAGCTGAAAAAGTTGAAGAATCTTGTTTGTTCTTTTACTTAACTTGGTTGAAATCTATTATAACTGCTGAAATAATTTTGTACAATAATAATTTTGTATAAAAAAAATCTCCAAAAGGTATTTACTATGAAATACTTTTCATAATTTCTATTACCTGTTGCCGAGAGATATTCTTTTGCCAAATTAAATATATTTAAATAAATGCTACCCACCATAATGCTAGGCTCTATATATATCAGAAGATTTCTAGTGGTAGTATCATTAAGGCGGACTTATACTAAGTCTGAGCAACACAGTGTCTCTCAAGAAATCAGACCATTAAACATGTAAAATATAACGTGCTTTATGTTATGTTAAATAAAAGGGACTCCTCGACCCTTGGTAAAACTCAATGAAGATTTTTGTTAAAAAATGTAACACAAAGCCTTATGGAAAATAAAAACTTAAGCTCATTTGGCAATGGTTACAATAAATGATATTGGCTTTTTTTTACCCAAAATGCAGCCTCTTTTAAATCAAAATCTTATAATAAGAATAATTAATTGTATATTGTACTAAAATATTGAAAAATTATAGTTCCTAATCATAATCATTATACAAAATAACTATTCATGTCGTAATTTAAATTTTACTAAACTATTTATTATTAAGGAAAATTGAAAACTTTCCAGGATTCCAAAGAGCGATATAATATTCTAGGTCTCAAACAATTTCTAGGATTTATATGAACCCTGATTTTAACTTTGGGACTGAGGTGCAGCAAAACGCCCAAGAGTGGATACCCAGCTATATAAATTTAAAAAAACAATATATTTTATCGACATTACAGGAACCACTCAATAAAACTTACAATAGTTTATAGTATTTTAACAAAAAACAATTTTTATCATTTACAGGTTAAGTCGGTTTAAATCCAATACCTTCACAAACAATTTCCTTCAGTCCATCTTCGGTTTGAGTAATTTCAAATTTAGCCTGTAAAATAAGTTTACAAAAAATTATTTATGTTGAATAATATTTAAAACTATTATTTTACATACATTAGTAAACTGTTTAGCAATATGAATTGCAGTTTCGGTATGAAGAGTAATTTCTTTGCATTTGACTTTTGATTTTCCATTTGCTAGTGCCATAAATATAATTAACTAAAATACAAAAAACAATTTTTAATATAAAATAATTAATAATTATAAGAGAAATATTACATTATCCACAGCATTAGCGTCGACACATGATTTTGAATCTAATTCATTTACAAGTTTATTGCACGCTTCATTTGAGATACTCTGAACTGTCGATTTTCTCATATCGTACAATGCAGAAGTTCCAAGTAAACACTTTCCTGATAGAGCAGTTAATCTAATCGGTACTTGTAAAATTAGTATACGCAAGGCACGAGTACATAATACAGAGATGTTTATAAAAACCCATTTATAAAAATAATAATAATGATGTCAATTGTATCTTGTAACTAATAATTATGTTTTAACAAAATATATTACAAAACCTTAAAAACCATTACTAAATTTTTTTTTTAATAAAATGCAAATCAGTTTAGTGAAAAAAAAGAAAACCATTTTTTTTAATTACTTGTTATTTTGAAAATAAAAGCCAAGAATATTTACAACCCCGAGTAAAAGTAGACGGTAGTGTTATTTAAAGTTAATAAAAACTCACACTAAACTTCCACCAGAACCATCAGATTCTTCAATCTTAGTTTCAACGTCAACTTTATGATAACCAAAGTTGTTTAATTTGTTTTTAACAGCACTTTCTATATCACTTACTATCTAAAAGAAAAATGCAATTAACCTAACCAATTCTAGCTATTATCATTAATAACAATAAATTAATTAAATAATTATGTGTGACAGCAGTATTGATTTTTGTTTTACTTGATGCTTATTATTTAAATGTCTTGGTCCAGATAAAAAAACTATTCCTCTGATGGTCGGTTGATCGCCAAAATTATCAATAACAATAGGATTTAAAGGTCCATTAATGGGATCAATTTTCAGTATTACTTCTCCACGGCCTTTCGGATAAAAACCTCTATACACAAATAAATGAGTCGTTCAATAAAGTAGCTAACAGTTTGTAAATATATTTGTATTTATATATACAGGACATTATTTATTACCGTTTATTGATTTGTGCCGAGCAACTAATACCCATTTTTTTAATAATAGGAAATAAAACCTGCAATTATAATAAAACAGTATTTGTTGTTCGTCTGGATTATCTATTTAACCTTACGTTAGTAACATAATCCATTGATGGTGCGAAACTAACGTCGGTGCCTCCCTTCATGATTATCGTTGAATTGTGTTTGGCAAATATAGCAACGGGCAAAACTGACTGAATCATCAAAGGGATGCTCCTGAAATAAACATATATATATGTCATAATTACAAACATTCTATACATTCACTGTAAAATGGTCTTACGCAGCAGTTTGTGGATTAATATTTAAATTAAAATTTCCCATTTTCAAAGTTTTAGGATTGAATATTAATTCACATGAATTTTGCTTGTCTCCCGTTACAGTTGCATTACACATTTGTTTTACTAATTGAATTCCTAATAAAAAAAAAATTAAAAAAGTACAGTCATATTAAACAATGTTGTTTGTTGTCATTTCCTCAATATTTTTAGCAAATATTTAACATCAATCTTATCTGTATTTTGTTGTACAAATTGTATTGGTTATCATTACTGGGGTTTTATAAAACAATCTTGTTTTTGGAAAACAACAACCAATTGTGAAATTTAGATCAAGTCAAGTTATATTAACACAGGCCTATCAAATTTGTATTCATAAAAAACCTACTCCTGCACTAAAGTAAACCTCATGTAAAGTTCTGTGTTATTAACTTATTCTGTTCAAAAGTTCCCAGTGAACATACAGTTGGAAATTATTTTTTATATTGTAGGTATATTAAAAAATATAATTGTTCATACGAAAAATTAGTGATATTATCTACTTTTAGTGGTTGTATTGAGCTAATAAATGTTTATGTGAAAACTGTAGAAGTACTAGATTGATTGTACCACATATCTAGAAGGTGTATCAAAAATACTTGATAAAACCTAATATGTATTTTGATTTGTAGCAAAATGAAACGTTTAACTTAAAAATAATGAAATTATGTATGTACTGTTATACCAGCTAAATGTTGCGGTTTCAATCCTGGACTTGAACGTCCGGCTCTTATTTTAAATATTTTTACATGCTGTTCAAAGAGGCATGAAAAAGCTATGCTCAATCTGAGTATTTGACCTCCCTATAAAAAACATAACAATGTCAATATTTATAAATGCATTTCATTTGTAATTATTATAAATGCTATCGTACGCCTTCTAATACACTGCCATCGATTTCTTTTAATTCCATTTTCCAGTTTGAAATATAAATCGGAACTTCACAACCCAAATGGAGTAAAACTACTAAACCAAATATAATAAACCTAACTGAACCAGCAATTTTGAAAGATGGTTTGTCAGTACTTGACTTGCTATTATAAATATTTTAAAATAAATATAACAAAATTGAATTATATTAAATAATCATTAGAGTAACAAGTTGACTGTTATACTTATAAACTGATTTCAACATTCCTTATATTATTCAATCATTCTATAATGAAGATACATAATCTAAGCTGTATTTGTAACTATATGAAGAATAATTAATAAATTATAAAGTATAAACTCTAAATTCTAATTAGTAATTTTTATTTTTTAAACCAAAAGTTATAAATCTTATAATATTTTATGGGATAAGAGATATCACCTTATCACGGAATACATTTTATGGCCCTAAATCAAAAGTGACGGTTATTTATCATTTAGTAATTACTAATTAGTTGCACCGTCCCAAGTATGATTGTTTATGCACCATGCACAGACTCAGTTGTATGGGTGATTTTCGGTCTGCATTAAGTAATGAAAGAGAAACTTAGGCAATCTACAAATAAGAAGTAAAATAATAATTATTCATTATGTTTAATATGTTTTCACTAAATCCATAATTTCAATAAAATTGTTTAGTTTGGCGAAAAACATGAGAAAACACAAGAATCATCCGATTTTCTAAAACATTTAACGCATCAAGCAGTAGTATTGCAGAAAAAAATGGACGAAATCTATATGGGGAAATCTGGGGCCATCTTACCTCCCATTCAAATACGGAGGGGGTGTATTTAATTCTTACATACAAGTATGCTTTTTTTTTTTTTTTGTAATTTTTAACCACTTATATTCTTATTAATTGTTTGTAGTCTGCTAAACTTATAAGTTTAGCTAATGTTGTTAGTCATTTTTTGAATTGCTCTGTGTCCTCCTGCTCATCTCCACATCCTCAAAATACATTAGATGATGTAAAACCAACTAAAAAGCATAACAAACGAAAGAGTCGACTAAATCGAATATTTACTGTTGAAAATAAAGAATGGGCTAATTTAACACGTCAAACATTGGGGACATGAATTCGAACTGAACTTAAATCGTACTATGTTTGGGAACTAGTGTCAGAAACAGTTGAATCTATTTGTGAACACTACTCAATTCAGAAAATATCATTGCTTAGGTAATAAAAAATATGTTAAAATATTTTAATTCTTAACAATATGTATTTACAAACATTAGCAATGTACATGTTGGCAATATTTGTATTTTATTTAATTATTTATAGGTCATTTTGTTTAAAAATTGGTACTCATATATGATTACGTGAATATTCCTTTGATGCAAAAAATAGATTTAATTTTTTTGAAGAAGATGTCATCAATATGTTCCCAGTTGTTAAGCATATCAATCCAAGAGTAAATAAATAATAAATAATTTATTTCACAAAATTTACTGGTTCTCTACTTTTCATCATGTTATGTTTTCAGGCAACTGACGCATTTTATTTCTACTCTACTACTGGTCAAACTAAGATTCAACAAGGTCTTTTGAAAGAAGTGTATTGTCCAGTGTTTAAGAATGTTGGCTAGATTGAGTTACATAATGGGCGATCATAATGAATCTATGGCATTCCAGTAAAAAGCTGTTTTTATGTCGGAACCAGTAAATAGAATTTATCACCCATACACAATTACTGAATATGTATGAAGTTCAATGTTAATATCACCTTTATTGTTAATATAATATCTGACTACATCCATTTAACACATTTCAGATCCATTCAGCTCTATACTGTTATGCAAATAATCAAATCACTCCTGCCCTAAAGTATTTAAACTTTGAAAAACTTTAAGGCAGAAGTAGAAAAACGTTCAGAAACTTAAGATTTTGTAAATGTACTAACAGAGCAACAAGACTGTACAAGTTGAGTACTTTCAAAACACGTAGTAAGTTGATCTTAAACTTTCAGAATTTTGAATGTCATGAGATAACTAAAGTAGTCATTAATGATGCTCATTTTTATTTTTTAATTGTTTTTTTTTTTTTGTTAGTTAATATTTTCTTCTGTTTTGTTACTAGAATTCATACACTTATGAACTTTTCATACTTTTGTAGTGTCATTATCTAGTCTGGGTTTTTTTCTGATTTATTGCGTAACATATATTGCACAACTGATATCATGAGCTTATTGAACAAAAGCCAAACAATTTTTATTTTATTTTTTTTATTTTTTTGTTTTAAAAATTTTAATTTAAAGAGCTTTTACTATATATATTTTTAGTAAAATATTATAATTTTTGTGTAAAGGGCTCATATAAAAAGTAAAATAAAATAATTCCTAATAGAATTTAAGCATGCTATGTACAACATTGATAACACATCATCAGGCTAAGATTTTTTTCCAAAAGCAATATTTGTATACTAACTTTTATATATTTAAAGGCTACTGAAAATTAAATATGTTGTAATTTGTTTTTAGTACTACTAAGTCAACCAAATGAAATGTTGAAACAAGACAGTTGATATATTTTAGAAAGTTTGTTGAATATTTGTATGCAAACTGTTATAGTTGAAAATAAGATTAATAAAACAAATGATTTTTTTATGACATTTTTTAAATTTATTTATTTTTGCTTAAATTCACAAATTATAATTGGCTATAATGCTTATTTTAAGATTAGTATACAACAAAAAATTGTATATGCTTAGTATACCTACAATTTTTTAATTGTATGATAACAGTTTTTTGTCAAAAAAAATGTACCAAAATTATATTCTATATTTTTTATTGCTAGGAATAGTATATATTAAGCATAGTTGCCGATCAACTAATAATAGAAAATTATGCAAGAACCATACTTTATAGTATACCATATACACGTTTGTGAAGACCCGGAGAGCTATCCTCCATTAAAATTATGGCCTCTTTATTTATAATTATTTACGGTTGGATATCGGCATTGTGTCCACACTCAAATCTAGAGTAGGTATTAGTCGTGTATTCTTTTTGAAATCCAATGAAAATACATACAATTTTTGTCAAGATGTAAAACTCTGCACAGGTTATGTTTTTTTTATTATAATAAATTCTAAATGAAGACTGGAATTTGTATATTAAGTAAAATATATAAATTAAGGTTTAAGTAAAGAAATTTGGTAAGTTTTTGTGAAATAATAAATTTTGATGTTTATAATAACAAGTAAGCAAGTTTCTTGATGACAGGAACTGTCCGTTCTAACTGCGCCCAAGGCACGGGTAAAAACAAAATCATACATGTAAACTGCGCCCGAGTTCTTATCAAGTAGAAAAAGGTGACATGTAAACTGTAATGAAAACAACTTAGATCGTTACAGCCATATGATATATACATCAGTTTACATATACCTATTTTGAACCAAATTATAGTCGGGTCGCAGTTTGTATGTTTGTAATTGTATTAACATTTATGATTATTCTTATTTTGTGATAATTTTGTATATTTGTAATTGTGTTATTATTATTGTATTAATATTTGTGATTTTTTTTTGTTTTTCAGGTCTTCAATCTCTCGATTGGTTGGCCGCAGCTCTCAAAGCTTCTCTTTCAAAACTCAGCTCCTTTAAATCTCGGTAACTTCCTATGTCCTTCATAATTTGTGAAATGTACTCCATTCTTGGTCTTCTTCTTCCGGTTTTACCATCCACATATCCTTCAATAATCAATCCGTAATAAACCTTTGTACATTTGTAATTGTGTTGATATTAAATATCAACACATATTTCACAATATCATATTTTGTAATTATTTTTTTTTTTTAGTCATAACTTTGAATAACTTTATTAATATATGTAATAACTGGGAATATATATTTATAAAATAATTTTTTGCTTTTTCTTTATTTAATTAAGTGTTTTTTGTTTAGACAGTAGTTGCGACTTGCGTACATAGGTCAATATATTATCGCAGAGTTTTTAGATTATTAGTAAAACATAATTTTCAATCTAAGTTTTATTATACTCCCTATAATAAACTACATTTATTAAAATCCGGTGATGATCCGAAGAAATCATTTTTTATATTATTAACCTTACTCCTTGAAAATATTAGAAATTTGTTTCATACAATTGTTGCATTTTTAGTGAATTTTAAACACATTCCATACGTCAAGAACTGGAAGTGCTGAAATTAAAACAAAAATCTTGTGTGCATAAGGATATCAAACGACTGTGTGGAAACGCTAAAAGTGCAATGAAAATGATTACCTTGTATTCTCAAGATAATTACTCTTTGGTCTGAAATTACAACACATAAATTAATGATATTGTACTTGATTTTTTATTCTATTATGAACAAGAAGATGAATTTCAAGGTAGAAAAAACATGTGTACTAGTAACTCGAAAGAAATATGCTCCACTGTATATTCAATACCAGTCTCTTAGAAAAATATTAATAGGAATGAAATATTGGAAATATTTTCATAAAATGTAACAAAAAAAATTATTTGATAAAGCGACCATAAAATTAATTTTGGTTGTATTTATTTTACTCTCAAATGAAATACTGTTAGGTTAGGGTAGATAAGGTTATTTCACAGATACACAGGTGAGTAATATGTATACAAGTACCTAATTGTATAACGAATATGTTCAATTGCTAATGGTTCTATTAATACATGTGCTGTTCAAGTTTTGTTTACTTATCCACTCCAAACCTTGAAGTTAATTATAAGTAATTAAAAAAAGTATTTGATCTACCTTAAAAAAATGTTCTCCCTTAAGCATAGATAATAAATTCTCCTTTATTTTTCTATGAAACCTTGGTGAATTTAGTAGGTACTGGTACAGTGTTTATTTGTGCAAACCCTGTTTTCACCATAACCAATATACTTAAAAATATTTATAATAAAACAATAATATGTTCACCGGAATAGTAAAAACAGCAATTCGGCGTACTAAATAGGCAATTTTGATACATACAAGTCGAGAATATTCCTATACAAAAGTGGTTGAATATAGGCTTGAAAACAACCGAAATTTAACTACAATTTTAAATAATGTTAAACATCTTTATTTTTTGATTGAAAAGAAAAGCGTGGGCCTTATTCAAAAAAGTCTAAATTCATTGAGTTAAGTATTATGAAATGTATTTGTCACACACTAAAATTAAACCAAATTCAATTAAAAAAAAATTACAATATAAAACATTATCTGAAATGTTATTTGATAAATTTATTAAAAATGTGCTACAATTGATTGGTAAATTGTTCTTGTAGTAGAATTATTTTTTACTTTTAGTTCACTTTTTACTATTTTTTAGAAAAGCATGTTTTTAAAAAAGTTTTTTGTTTTTATAATTTTGTACTATGTGAATTTGTAGTCGCACGTGTTGGCCTATAGCCCAACCACGCGTTGTCAAAACCTAGTGTTTTCGTCCTATTAATTTATGCCAGTAATTGTGAAGATTAATATAAAAGGGACCGATCACAGTATGATGGTCACTTAGTGTACTTACTACTTAGTGTCAATCGGTTGTTATATTGTTAGTATTGTACAGTGTACTCAGTTGTTGTATGTAAATTGTCTGTACAACTTATATGAATTATTAATATTGTGTTTTAAAAGAATTTGATTATAATATAACATATTATCATCATTGGTTCATTTATCCTACAAATAACCTTACTGTAGTGCATAAGTACTTGGCGCAGTACATAATTTTGGTGTCAGAAATGGGATTCGAACCAGGCGAAACATAGCTTATACTACTGTGATGACATCTTTGAAAATGTTCTACATTAATCTGCTGAAATCAAGGGCTATGAATGAAGATATCTTGGTCGGCTCTTAGTAAACACTTAACTTTAGGTTCTGATAATATGTTTATTTGTAACTCTTTGTTTCCAATTAAAAACAAAAATGAATAATTATTCAAAAAGTAACCAATTGATAATAATAATAAATAAACCAAAATAAAAGTTAAATTTTCTTTTATGCAGACGCTAGACGCTATCATCGAACAATATTAATGTCAGGTCTATATTGTGAAGACAAAATAATACCACTTACCAGTAAGTAGTACTGTCAAGTAACATTAACACTATGTATATCAGCTCGCGTATAATATTTATATAGGTAATATAAAATCATTGGACCACGAAGATGCACAATGTACATAGATGCAACAAAAATATGAATAATATTACATGCATGTACATGCAATATACATGTTAGTCATTTTATTAATAACCGATATCGAAATTGATCGAACCCAGTTTTGACAATATCTCACTAAACGAGACAGGTAGTCGGATAAAAATAGAACAATTTTATGAAACGAATTTCTAGTTTGTTTGGTTATCATATTTGATATTTTACAATGCGATTACAGGTTTAGTTCATTTTAATGCGTTGACATGTTCGTTGTACTGTTTCAATTATTTTTTACCTCCAAGACCGTCATTGTAAAGGTATGTACCACAAAATCAAATCCTTTAACGATAATATTATTATTTTCCAATATAATATTATTGTTCTTGGTATAAAATTGTATAAAAATTATACTGGGTATTCACTGTTGTATAGTAATCGGTGTGAAGTATAGGCTTAGACTAATAGTGAATTATAGTAAATCAAATGGTAATATTTAAGTTCTGTGGCCTGTGAACATTTTGGCTTAGTTGCGGAGCTGAGTACTATTTTGAAATTGAATCATTTCTTTCAACCATTTCCACTGACTTCTTAGTGTACTATTTTTTACTGTACTGGTTTTCAGTCGTCACATTATCGTTAAAAATTGGCGAAAATACCGAATTGTATACTTAAATTTTATTAATAAAAAAACCAATATCTTCTCTACTTTGCATCGAAGCTAAAACATAATAATTATTGTTGTTTTTAAATAATAATATGTAATATTCTTTTGTACTTTATACAATCCAATATTTATAATTTTAAAACAAATTATCATACTTTTATTTTGAAAATGTTTAATCGAAAGCCTAATTTCTTACTATTAGTATTTGCGAATTGCGAGCAGTGAGCACAAATTAATGTTAAGTTAGGACCCGTGAGATACCTTAAGAAAAACTATTTTGTGTATAATAATAATTAGAGGTGGAATTGTAAATATGGGGTTGTATATATGTGGGACTATAAATATGTAGACTCAAAGCGAAAATTTCGCTTAGCTACCGTTTGTAAATTAAATGTTTGTTTAATGTACTTGAGTCTTGACATTACTCTAATTTAACCATAACTTGGGTTGACTCTGACATGCATTTGATGTCAATAGAGTTGTACATACATTTTCCATTTATCTGTTTACACACTTTACAGATTATAAGAACGTAATATGATCGTGATAAGGTGTTTGCGTTTCGTACACCACAATTGGTATATTTAGAATATTATTTTGTGATACCAATATCACATTGAAGTTTAAATAAAAATTCATTATTTTGAAACCGGTATATTCTCAGCTCCGCGTGAAACTTAGATAATGTGAAAAAAGCAGCGGGATAGTGGCATACAAAAAAGAAAGGGAGGGACAGAGGAAAATCTCATTAGTTTAAAATTAGTTTAACCAGTTTTATAAGCTACACATGTTTTTAAAGTGTAAACATTTTTTTACTATGCTGTAATTCAATATTTTCGGTATGTTTTTAATGTGCGATACTTGGGTCATTCTCTGAAAATAGCAAAATTTGAGGGTACAGTTTTAAAAAAAAATCCATTATTTTTATACCATGTACCATGGAGATACTCCAGTAAAAAAATGCCTTCGTACAATTTCACAGTTTGAGAGATAATAATTGTTTTAAAATTTGTTAGTGTAAGGGACTTAGGTTCTTCGTGTTTACCCTTATTACAAACCAGAACTTAAATGTTAAGACCATCTCATTTACTTAACGGTTTTGGTCAATGTAAGCAATTAATAGCTGAAGAAAATTTGTCAATTTTACATACTCTTTCAATTTTGTGACCAACCATGATAAAAATTGTATAATCACATTTATTGTTGTCCATAATCTAGTCTAAGGTTTTAAATAATTGGAAACTGGAGTGAGTCGCTAAAGTTTTGTTTTATTTGTACCCAGTTTTTATACTGTTTTGCTATCCTGATTATTTCAAGTTTTACTAAGAAATATCTTATTGTCTCAATTTAGATTAAAAATCAAATACCTATAATTACAATAGTAAAGTTATAGGCTAAAGTCTTAACTGTCCTTGTATGTTAAACTAAACTGATGGAATGGCCATGAGAGTAAAATGAGTAATTTGTTTTAGATTAAAAAATGTCTTAATATTTTTGTGACAATGTCTAATTGGGTTTTAACAATTTTAATTATAATATATTGTATACTTACTATTAATGTAGGTACTATTCATTTAAATTTTAGATCTACTTACACTATTTTTAATATACCTTATAATTGTAGCCTGCCATCCTCCACCAAATTTTTGGATTTTAATTTATTAGCCTATTCGACTAATAGTCAATTTGACATTAGAAAATTTCACACTCCATTTTTTTTATTATTTTGTAGGTACCGTTGAACTATGACAGCACCACGTCAAAAAATATCAATCACCCCTCAATGGCCTACAAGTAATATCATCAATTATGTTTTCCTCCTAAGCTTTGCATTGTTTGAAAAAACGATTATCGATTCGTTTGTATTTGCAATATTTCATTGTTTTGTCGAAGCGATTGCCAATTTTTCATACTTTTTCGGTCAACTGTTTTAATATTGTACTCAGTTCAGGTTTATTCATACATGTTTGAAAAGAGGTTTAGTCGATTACTTATCCATTCTGTAGAATTTGGCTGAAAATTCATTAATAATAATTTATATTTAACGACAAAGTCTTAAGTCGGTCATGGTAGTTATTTTAGCAAAATATAATGAAGATAATTTGATATTTGTGTGTGATTACTTTGCTCGCGAAGGTACCGAATAAGTATTACTGATGTATTAAACCATGTATACATTATAAGTAAAACCCTTAATATATTTAATGCAAAACGTGGGTATGACTGACGTCATTCGAATAAATATTTAATAGCGCAATGTAGCTGTTCTCGCTCCGTTTAGCTCAATGACAATGATTTTTTTTTTTAACGTTTCATTTAACCCCAATTCACAAAGGTCTCCGAATTTCCTTGCTTACATAAATTGCTACGCACATAAGCGTTAAACATAATAATATTGCTTGCAAATGAGTGTCTTGTTTATAAACAGTTAACGCTCAATTAATTGCACTGTGTACGAATAGTGGAATAGCAATATATTATAACAATGGTAATAATACATGGCACGTGATCAATAAAATCGTACCAGAGCGGTGGAGTTATTTATTTTGATTAATTATGATATTATTACATAACTCCACCTTGAATATCGTCGATGACACGTGTCAGCGAAATTCAAAAGAAAAATAATGTTTTCCCTCAGTATTTGCTGTTTTTAAGTAATTAATAATAATTTTATACAACAATCGAGCGAATAACGGTTAGTACCTACAAGTTGAACTGTGCCTGTTACAAACCATTGCGTTAATAATTTTAGTAAAAACCTATTATTTCAAATATTTAAATTATTATCTAATGTAAATTCATAAGTAGTACATAAGTAGTATACTTTGTTAACCCTTTCGGTCCCTAATAAAATTTAGAGAATATTTTTTTCCCTAATACTTACCATCTATCATAATACTGTTCAAATAGCATGGTTGTCAATTTCTTATGATTCTAAAAATCTCTACATTTAAACAAGGGCTCCTTCACGGCCATAGATAATAAAATAATGGATAGGCCATAGCCCATGCCTATATTAACAAAATAAGGGGTCGCACGCCGGAATGGGGAAGAGAGAAAGACAGTTCTTTTTCTACAATAGTATTTATGTCTCTATCTATAGATATAGCTGTATGACGTTGTGACCATAGACCTATATAGTCCTTACTTAATAGGTATATGGTTGGTGACCCCTATTGTTGTTATCACTTTATTCTTAGGCGATAAGCTTGATGGCCCATCAATTTGTTTATTATCTATGGTCGCGTCCCAATGCACATCATAATGTGCACCCATATGGCGCGCTTTTGACACATGCTGATATCTCTAGACTGTCAACAAAAAAAATCATATTAAAATTTAAAGTCTTAATTTTAATTTTACTATGTTAATAATGTACAAGTTAATATTTTAATAAAGAAAATGGTAATTTAAACGGCTTGCAAAAAATTATATTATTATTCTTTAAATATATTATATGCTAGTTTTTTGTGTATTTTAATCACATAATTTGCTGTGAAACATTTTAACGTTCACCGTATACATACTAAGTATTTTTTGCGATCTTTGATCCATAAATACGAATCGGTCCAGTAGTTAACCGTTTATGAGAAGACAGAAACAGTATCGAGTTTAGACTAGCAGTTAACAGTGGTGACTGATGAGTCATCATACGTTTAGAAAAATGTATTAAATTGTTCATTGTCGACCATCAATTAAAATAATTAAACGCAATAGTCTTTGTCTACATTTTACTTTGTACAATATATAATGAGAAATTCTAATTTTTATTCACGTCCATTTTAAAACATTTAATTTCCTTGCAAATAATATAATAATATTACAACAAAAAATAAAAACTTGACCTTGAAAAATTAATTTCCAGGTCTCCAGGATTTTTTAAAACATTTTTCCCACATTCAGCACACAAAGAAACATAGAAAACCACTCTCATATTGCGTATAATTTTCTTTGGCTCGTACTAGTAAACATGATTACATACAGCAATAAAATGGAACATTATAATAATACTTAAAAATATAATTGTACTAAATCTAGAAATAAACGTTATAGGCAAATGTACGGTCAAAAGTGTCGAGTACGCAAATAAAATATGCAATACAAGTTTGTTGATTTGAAATGTAGTCTTTGTGAATCGAATATATACAGTATATCAGTATAATTGTTGTGATTAAATGACGATTAAATGCAAAATATGACGTTTAATATCTTTTACTGCATAATATATTATTATTAATTGATAGGAACAATTTAATAATTAAAAAATGAAATATGCAATATGCAGTTTTGTATATGCAAAATATGCACAAACAAGTAGTGTCTATAGGCTATATGGTATAAAAAGTTCTGAAACGGATTTTGGTAAGGAACATACATATAATTGCATTTAAATCCGCGGTCTAGTCATAAATATCCGAGCTTTTTATAAGTGATGGGAAATATTCGAATACTCGAATAGTTTGGATTCGAATCTCAATAAGGATTCGAATCTTTCGAATAGTATTCGAATCCTTCGAATATTCAAATAGTAATAATAATTAATTTACAAATCGTTTTTTTCATATTTTCGAATATTCCAATACTATTCGAAAATTAAAAAATTAGGTATTCGAAATCGAATATTCGAATCCTTCGAAGATTCGAATCCAAATTACAACACTACTTTTAATAGCAACTATAAGGGCAACAGAAAAGCGTTATCACGGGGATGATGGCTTGCAGAGAGCTGTTACTGTCCTACGGCCGTTCGGGGTGCGCCGAGTGCGGTAAAACCTCGTATCGATCCGGCCGTCGCGCTGGTGGGGATTGGGCACATTCGCGGTGTGGGCGCTGTACAACACCCGTGCGGCTCCCGTAGCGCCGCGGCCGCTCACATTGCTCGCAAGTCACAACGTCCCGAGACCACGTCTACAGCGTACGTCCGTGAGTCAGGTCGCGGGCAGTTTGGAGGTGCGATGCGATCCCGGTCGCGGCATACCGGTGGCACTACAGCTGACGACCAACGACCACAATCGCAGGGACAGCATGTCGGCGGCCCGCTGTTGAACCAATTATCTGCTCAGCGGTACGGCGGCGGTCGTCGGTCGTATAACGTGAGTACCACCACTGTTTAAGTGTCGTCGATATTAGCTAAAGTCTGAGCCGTTGAGCCACTTTGTAATGTAGTATACATTGTTGTCGTTATTATAATAATATTTAATAATATACTCGATGGCTATATACGATACAAACAACGCCGTGTCGCTGCGGCTGGTGTCGGTCGTAAGCGATTTTGTCGCAAGTGTATTTAGCCCGAACCGTTGTCGTACGCCGTTGCTAAAGGCCACCAACACCCCAGTGCAAACTTAGATAATACTTATCACTTGATAGGAGGCTCCTACGTTGACTATTCAATTCTGTACCTGAGAGGTCTACAGGGCCAATCTCACTTTTTTAGTTTTTATTTTCTATGAGATTGTGTGTACATTTTTTTCAAAACTCTTTATAAGCTACTCAATGTTGACCTCGACTGTTACTATTATTATTTTTTTTACATTATAAGTAGGTATGTTTTTTATTTACATGTTTTATGTTTAGTGGATTAATTTATGCCAAACATTTATATTGGCCCTTTCAGACTCGAGATCCAGAATAATTTTATTATACATACAAACCTAGTGTAAGACACATTTTATAGGTCGTTACAGTTTGTCGAGATAGGCTCCAGTTACAGAGATATTTATTTAATACCTACCTTATACATTGATTTAATCAGTCATTCGTTAAAATTTGAAATTAAATTACTATAATATTAATGTATTTTATTTCAAAGGTGCTAAAATGAAAATGTAATGCTCTATAAATTTGATTGTATAACTCAAGAATAAAAATCGTTATGAACACATGAATGATAAATTTATGATTTGGAGTTTTTTTACTGTAAGCTTTGCTCTATAGCAATTAGCAGTCAATAATTAGTTCTAGCAGCATTAATTTAATCGTTAAATACATATGAATCCATCACAGTCACAATAACTTATCGGTAAACTGTAAACGATATCAGGCAAATATCTTCAAAACTGAAGCCAATCCAAACAATCTAAAATTATTATTTAAATCGGCGCCTCAACGTTAGTAAAAATAAAGTCAATTCTTAAGGCAACGATATGTGTGCTAAGATAAATGAACTGTTGAATGTTTTATTCATAAGTTAACGAAATAGGCATTGCGTATAAAAATACATCAAAGCCCAAAGATATTTTAAGATTTGAGGTATAAATCGAACGTAATTCCAGTTCGAAACATGATGTTGTTATTACATATTATGAATGTTTTTTTTCATTTCGGTTGTAAAAATAAACAGCATCTATTTTATTGTATTCTTAATCACTTTTTGATCTGTTTACCCGTAGTATAATATACTAAGTACCTACTATAAGTAGTATAGGTAGGTACATAGTTTGTTACAATGTCGGAACGCCGAGGTCACAGTGGAAGACAAACGTCGATTTTCACAATTTCTTCGATGGTTATCGATCAAAATTAATTTAACCCGAATGCTTCCACGAACAATTTGTTTTCAGTTTATTGTTCACAAATAAAGAAAATAATGGCTTTCAGTTCGATAGCTCGACAGACGACTCTGCCATTTACGACTTGTTAAACTTGTTTTATTCTGTGTTGATCGCATCACAGTAATTTTATTATATTCTAGTAGAATAATTATTATAGCCTAATGACATTGACACTTTATACACCTGGCGGTTGCGGGGTACGCGCAAAATACGTCATCGTGTATCGATTGCAATAGTTTCAATAGAATATCTATTATTATTGTGTATTTTTTTTTATGTAATGCGTTGCTTATAACAGTAAACAAATAACTAAACGGTCGTTAAATTTCACAACGGCAAACGGTCTATACCGTTTTTACACAAATTGTCTTTTGAAAATGGACATTTCGATCGTATACAATTATACAATATCCACTTATAAAACAATGAGCTGTAAACATAATATTATGCTACTCACAACATGACGAACATTTATGGACCACCGGCTTAAAGCTTGTGTGTGTGCGTTAGTTGTTTGCACTTGGAAAAATTATGTTGACGAATATGAAAAGACTCATTCTTTAATCTAGCCGACATGAAACGAAAAAAAACGGCCGAAACTCGAAGAAAAATGTTTTTCTTGAAAATTAGAATAAAAAAAAGGCAAACGGCTAACTAACGGCGTGGACAAGCTTTCTCGAGACGCCAAATTACAGCTGTCGGCTCGTTCTTTTTTTCAAAATTTTTCCAAACAAAATAGTTCTTATTATATTTTTCTTTTCTTTTAGCTGTATACGTACACAGCATTGCTCCGGTGAAGGTCCTCGCCATTAGATAATGTTATTATGGTGTCTGTTATATACAGCTGTATCTGTAGTAATGTTTGACCGGTGACCGACACACATAATATGTTTGTAATCTTTGTTTTTTGCAATCGTCCGACGCTTTCACGGTCTTTTGCGATTTTCGCCGACATTATATATTATTATTTCACTATGCTATTATCATTATGTATAATACTACGAGTTAATTTGCATTTTATTCGCCGCGTGTCAAAGCCAGTTTTTTGTCGGCTTTGAAGAACGAAAACCTGCCCATCGGTTGACCCAAATTATTCGAATCGTTTTTTTTATTAACGACCACCGCGGCCGATTGCTATGATATAATTTTTGCCCGCACACACGGCACAAGCGGACGGCACAAGGTTGGTTAAAACAATGTCGGCGTGTGAGCCGTTATCGGTGGTAGGCTTCGATCCGTCATTTCGATAAAGAAATAATCGTTTTTGTTTTGATAAATAAATGTACCCAGCAAAAAAAAAAAAATGGCATAAATCCATGTTGACGCATTTTTCAAAACCGCCAACACGTGTGCGCGATGGCGTTCGCAACAAATACAATATTCTTCCATCGACAGGTGCGGTTAAATAAAAGAAAACGGTTATAACACTCGACGGTGGTCGATTATGTACATTTAAAACATATATAAATATATATACACGTTGACTTCGACGAAACGGCGGTACTCGGTCGTCGGTGTCCGCGCGGTAAACGTGCGAGCCAACACCAAATCCCTTTTTAAATGTACCAATAATTGTTATACCTATTGTTGTAGTGTAGTGGGTGTATTCCATCTTTTTTTTTTTTTTGTAGATCTCCTGCACCACTGCAGCGGTAATACCCGAAAATGAGCCTAAAGAAAAAGCCCAAAGAAGACGACCACGAAACACTGGCCGGAGAAGAAGCAGCTGAGGGTAAGCACTTGACGAAACCTATTTGATTGTGCTTATATATAATGCTAACAACAATCTACTTAATTTTAATACACACTTAAAAGGACGTCGTAACTACTGTTTTCGCAAAATCTCAATCGGGTTAATTTTAATCAGGCTGAACCTTGACAGCGATTTAAAAACAAAAATTTCATCTAAACAATGTTCGCGCAAAACAAAAAAAGCCAAAAGGTACCCTTCAAAGTGATTTTTAGTGAAAAAAACTTAAATAAAAAACGATATTTCCGATGGAACCTCATATGCGTTTTGCATCATCTAAAGTGCATAGGTCAATATGATGTAAAAATTAATTTTATTAACTTTTTGAAATCCTTGCAACTTTTTTTTATTGATATTTTGAAAGAAACCTTTGAGGTTCTCTCGGAAATCTTGTCCTCTATCTTTTTGTTTATGTGTTTCATCTCTAAAATTACTTTTAAAGGTACTTTTATCTATTTTGTGTAAACATGTTTTGACCTTTGAAAATCAATAATGAGACGTCCTCTTAATTTATATATATAATGCGATCATGACGTATTACCGGTACTTGTTTAAGAAGCTCTTACTACTTTATTTTCAACCGTGTTTTTTTATAAATAATTTAACGGCTCAGGTGTGTCCAATGAACCCAACTTGACTCAGAGAAGTTGGACGAAGGTCAACCACACGACGTGACATTATTTTTTTTTTTACTTTTTATAATTACAACTTGGGTCAATATTTTGGAAAGGCTGTAGCTTATTACCTTTTTAATAATAAATTAGATCTGTTAATTAAAATTATCGCATTTAAAGAACTGTCCATTTTTATAACGATATAATATGTAATATAAATATATTTTAGTAAAAAAAAACAAGAGATTTTATTGCCTATTTCATTTTGTTGATGTATAATTATTAATAAAATCATTTTGAACATTTTTGTACCTGGACATTTTAACTGAACACCAATTATTTTACATTAATGTGGTATTTCATTATGTTTGCACGATATCTACGGAATTGTCTTAACGTTTGTTTTAAATAAAAACCAGTACAGTATAGATCAATGTACCTTATAAGTCAGAAACATACGAACATAAGTCATGTTACGCCAATTTTTTTGGGAGAGCTTAAAAACTAATAAGAAGAATCATACATAGATTAGAACTTACGCTCTTACAACCCAAGACAATTATAAAAGCAGATTTTTTAAGGAATTTCGTTGGTAAGGGGTATGCCGCTTGATGTAAAATCAGATTCTACATGTAATAACCTGAAGTTAGTTAAATCCAAAACTGATGCAAATATTAGGTATCCAGTTCAGTACAAAACCAAGTACAGTCAAACTAGTACTGTAAGAAATTATTGCCAAAGTGGGGTCCAGTATCCACAATTTCGTTTTTTTTTTTCAATTCGTAGATTGGTTTAATAATGAAATATTTCTACATTCTTCTCTATCCAAAGCGACTTCCTTCAATTCTCTTTATGAAGCTTTTCCTATATCCAACATAATTTGTTTTATAATATATGACTGCCTAGGTCTTCCTCTATTTCTGGCTCCCCTTAAGGTTTTCCCTCAATTGAGGTCGTTATCCATGTATTATTTCTTATGAGATGTCCTTTCTACTTCTTTGATTCTTCTTCACAGATTCGTATACTCGCTTAATTTTAGTGCTATATTGGTTTATTAAAGAACCGAAAACAGTGATTTTAGAACCTTTTATTTTATGCTATTATAGGGAACTACAGCAAAGATACAATATTATTCAGTTATTGTAGACTAGTATTTTGCCAGTAGTAATAAAATCAGAATCGATAAAACGCTTTTGATACGCATCTCTTTTGATAACTGCATATTAATTTCGTCTTTATCCGACCATTATTTTTCCGAAGATTTAGTAAGTTTAAGTTAAAAGTTAAAAATCGTCAATTTTTGTTTTGTTTTTCCTGATCTTAAGGGTGAAGAATTCAACTTTTTTAAATTTTGACCACCAAAATACCCATTGTGTACATTTTGTATAATCGATAGATATGATACTCAAAGTAGTCGGTTCATCGGTTCTAAAATTATCGTGTGAGTAGACAAAAAAAAACACATTATTGTAAAATGAGTACTTTTTAAGTTCAGTATCGAAGCCAAAAACAACAAGACACATAGACGGAGAAGGTCAACTAGGATACCGGGCAAACGTCGACAGGCCCTTTTCTCGGTAGGGTTTTCTATATTTATATACTATACCGGGTGATTGGTTAACCATGACCCAGTCAATAGCTTCGAAGATATTAGATCTTTTTTTATTTATTTTTTTTTATACTTTTATAGTTGTTAGTTGGGATAAATTTGATATATTCTTAAAAAACATAACCCTATACCTTACATGTTAAAACCGTATGAACTTAAGTTTTTTAAATGTTAACGTATATATTTGGTTACCTTTTTAAATTAAGAATAATTTGCTGAACATATCAATAACCAGTTTTAGATAATTAGTTTTAAAGTTTTTAAAGTTTAAAAGTTAGGACGGGGGGGCGGCGGTTGAGTAATGCGTGCAGATAAAAATATCTCTACTCTCTACCCTTCCTCCCGTCCTAAATTTCAAACTTTAGTAACTTTGAAAACAATTATCCAAAACTGGTTATCGACCAGTCAAAATGTTCAGCAAATTATTGTTAATTTTAAAATTAAACCAAATATGTATGTTACCGTTTAAAAAACTTAAGTTCATACGGTCTTAACAAATAAGGAATTAACGTGTACACGTTGGTGCAATTGAATAGGGGCTTTCACAAAATTGTCCCTACCTCTCAACAAATATTTGTTTGAAAAATTGTAGATAAACACATAGGCTTGCTAAATACTTTTTTAATTTGGCCGATTTGTATTTATGGTGTATATTGTCATATGTTGAGTAGCCAACACTATGATCGGGTCAATAACTTAAAGATATTAGAATTTTTTTTTTTTGTAGTTATTAACACGGTCATAGTGTTGGCTACTCAACATATGACAATATACATCATATATACAAATCGGCCAAATTAAAAAAAGTAGTCTAGTAAGCCTATGTGTTTATCTACTATTTTTCAAACAAATATTTGTTGAGGGGTAGGGACAATTTAGTGAAAGCCCCTATTCAATTGCATTAACGTGTACACGTTTATTCCTTGGCTTACGGATTATAGCGTCATCCTGCAATTACAAAACATTTGTATGTTCATGTGAGGTAAAAATGCAGGGATATGGGTTTAGAAGAGGGTGAGTAATTCAGTAATCCATTGTCAATGTCATTGCGCCGACATACTGTGTTCGCCACTGACCTTAGCGTGGACTGTATTAGATGGACAAAAATACAACGTCACATAACCTTCCGAAGGTTGTACAATTTCATTCATCGAACATACGGTAGTCGGTTGCACTTAACGAATGCCAAAAACCGCTGTGTGTACTAATCGTGAAGGTGAAATGCCATTGTCAACTTAACTGTAATTACTGTCATAACTAAGCGGCATAAAGTAGCGGCTGTGCCAGAATTTTCAGTTCAACAGGACCAATGGGTGATCGGTAATTTTACTGTTAAAAACTCAAAAAAAAAAAAACTAAAAAAATTACAAATTTTGCATTGACAAGCACATTTGAAATTTTTGTTTTCACTATTTTAGAATTTATCAATATATAAAAAAATATTTGTTTCATTTATGTTAGTTGATTATTTAATAGACTAGACTTTATTATAAGAATTTAGTAAAACGTTTTAAACTCGGACGATTAGGTAAAAAGTTAAAATGTAATTTATAGAAAAAATAAATATATGATTTTTTTATAATAATCTAAATATATGTTTATGTATAATTTTGTAGTGTTTCTTTTTGAAAACATTTTTATGTATATTAGTTTACAATATTTAAAACTTTTCAAAAAATTAATATTTTTGGTTCTTTTTAGAGCGCTATTAACTTTTAAAATAAGTGACATATACAATTTCATATTTTTTTTTAAATTGATAATAATTTTTTGAATAATTAATGGCTGGTTGAATATTAGTTTTAAATAATTACTTTTAAAGTTATAAGTTTAGACCTCTTGTTCTCAATTTTAAACTTTAAAAGTAATTATTAAAAACTGGTGGTCGACCCGTCAAAATGTTCAGCTAATTATTAAAAATTATTTAAAAATGAATTAAATACATACGTTACCCTTTAGTTATTAGTTTCAAAAATTGCTAGCGCTCTGGAATAAACTGCTATTACAATAGTACTAATTATTATGAAAGAGGTTTACATGATTAATTTGCATATAAAATGTACCTTGTGGAAGCCCCTCTAGGCGTATACGGCCGTAGATTTATAATAATATACCATAAAATAATTATTATAAGTTTTTGCTCAGGCTATTTCTATGTAAATATTAATTAATTAAAAAACAGTAAGCGCATAATCTACACCGTAATATACCGCATTATTAATATAACGGTGACTAATTGAGTGACTTTCGAGTTACCGTGTAGTCAAGAAGTTTGTTTGTATTATTATGTTATAGGTAATAGGTATTATTAATTAATTTGTTTCATACTAATACAGTATGCCATTTTTGCTATGAGCTTTTATAATGATGATTGGTGTTTTTGCAGATGGACAGCAGTACGTGCTCGTGCCCCCAGATGGTGGGTGGGGCTGGTTGGTGTTGTTGGGTAGTACGTTGGTAAACATGTTGATACCCGGCACTCTTAAGTCATTCGGTGTGTTGTTTGTGGAGTTTACCGAAGATTTCCACGCACCTGAGACCGAAGCCTCTTGGATACCAGCCATCTGCTATTTCCTCTACTGTTCCTTGGGTAATTATCATTAGAATCATAACTTTAAATTTTTTAAAGGTCGGTAAGAAAAGCGTGACAAAAGCGAAAATGTTTGTTCAGTAATAGAAATATTTACATACATTTTTCAAATTTTTCAAAAAGTTCAAATGAAATCGGTAGACGTCATAATGGAGTAAGGCAAAGAGGGAAATACTCAGGGAAATTACAATGAGTATTGTAATTTAAAAGTAAAATGTAAAACTATACTAAAAAGCAACTCTGGGTTCCTTTCTGGGTCAGTCAAGAACAAGACTGACTTACAAATGCTCTGTTGTTAAAATAAGGTCGTGCGATTTGCATAAGTAGCACATTCTATTTGGCCGGCCACGTCTGACTCGCAATTTCTATTGAGTTTTGTTTTTACAATACATTTCTTCATGCTACGCACCAAAAACAAAATCAGGGTTTCACACAACACTGGACAGAATAAACAAATTTTAGCCATCGCATCTATATTGTACAGGGTGATTAAAAGTGTATAAGATACTCATTGTCTTCTGAAATAATGACAAATGAATTTCACTGTATTTCAACGCGCTAACTGGTTTCGCTTAACACTTCTAGTAATGTTTATTGAAACTATACCACAAAAAAGGTAACACCTCGTTCGAGTTGTCCGTTAGAATGTATAACGAGTACGATACTAATCGATTACTTGGCAAATTTTCAATGCCGCTCATTTCTCTATGCACATTCATAGTAAATCGCCTCCACAACAACACAACGTTATTACCTGGACAGACTGGCACAAAACGTTGCTGATACGTGTAAACGGTTTGTAAAAGTTTCCAAAAGTTGCATCATAAAAACGGTTTAATTTTAAATGCATACAGCCTACAGGAACTAGAAAATATGTATGACTAATAGTAATTTTATCATCGACTTATTTAAAGATTTACGTTTATGATAATAGCAACAATTTGGCATACGGACATAAACATATAGATAACCATTAAAATATCTAGGTATAGGTAGTAATTATAGTAGGTATATTTGTTATCAATAAGTATTTCTTTACTTAAGACTTGGTATAACCCTATGACTCCGAGACGATAAAGTGGTTAATTGTATTTACAACATCAATTACTGGACCGTTTTCAACAACAGCCGCCAATATTATCTGAAGAGTTTTAATAATATTGAGAAAAACATTCTTGTCCGTCCGTATTCGAAACACTACTTGAATAATTTACATAGCGTTTTGCTGCTCTGTAAAACCGATTTTTCCTTCTAATAAATATATTTTCATATTCGTAATGTACAAACATTTAAAATCCAATTTTTTCAACCTATCCTAACACACATGCCAAACGTGACACGTGCACAACAAAATAAATACAATCTGTGTCAAACTATTATGTATAGCGTTTCAGCGAACTCATGATAACAAAACGAACAATTAAAGCGTTTGTCAGATAATTGCCTTGATATGTTGCACATTTATCTAATTAAAATTATAATAAAGTTTACTACAATACCTACACTACCATATCTACTACACACACTATTATTTTAATTTTTAGCATACACATTGGTGTTAGCACCTTAAACGATGACGGCAAAACGATTTTTCATTTTATACCAGCTTACACGTGGTGCAAACGCTGCGAGATCGTTTACTCTCTTGACTCTTAACCATCAAAAGACTTATTTATTATAATTATTATTGTACGGTTCTTATGAAAATAATAATTGGTTTGATGATAACGGTTTTTTTTTACTCAGTTAATTGACCGACTGATTATCCCACAAACTATTTTGTTCATTTATATTAATAAACAATAATTTACAATAATAAGAACTGTACTTACAGAACCGACTATAATGCGATGGTTAAGTAAGCGCATGCATATTTTCTCGTGTATTTCAATTAATATTCCTATTAAATACGTATTTAATGAATGATAATATGTTGTCTTATATTAATCATTGTCCGTGACCAGAGATAAAACACAAGGGTTATTATCCTGATTTCATGTCTCAACGATTTTTCCTAAACGATAATTTATTATGTAACCCAAACAAATTAAATCATCCAAATAAAAACTTTATCAATTATATAATAACAATTCATTTTTATTATTTAATATATTTAGTAAACAAATATCATTTCAAGAGGTAATCGTTAAGGGTTACGGTTTCAAACGGGTAATAACACAACTATATTGCACAACGTGGATGATAAATGTTGAATATAATTTTTATATTTACTCATATTTGTAACGATATGAACTTTTAAATCTAAAAAAAAATTGAATAAATAATACTATCATTCGGATATTTTGAAAATGTTAATCTATGTAAGTTCATTATCTAGAAAAAATCTCAAAGGTAAAATTCTAAAATTAAAAATTTCACGAACAACATTAACATCATTCATCACCGCATATTTTACAAATATTTTGCATAGTTTATACATAATAATGTATATAAATTTAATTTATTGAAATGTAAAATTATAAGTATAAGTCGGGTTTCGTATGAAATATTTCATGTAAAATTTTGACTTGAAAGAATTTTTTTTGTTGACAATTTCACATGATCTAAAATATTTTAATAGTTACACTGATTACAAACTAGAGAAAAGATTTAAAAAAAAAAAAATGTTAAATGATAAGACAATTCAAACGTTTATAACGAGAGAGACTGGAAACAGAGCTTTTGATAGTAGAAATTGAATTTCTATTATTTAAAAAAAAAAATTCCTTACATCATGTCACATTTATCATATTATATAAAATGTAATTAACTACATTTTTCAAAATTTTAATTAATAATGTTAATGATAATTGATAAAATACACATAATGAAATATTATATAATCGGGGTACTTGATTACTCATAAAATATGATTTGTATGTATACTAAATTTGTGTCTTATGTAAGAATTGTATTTATTATATTTTTCTTCGTTAAATTGGAGCGATATTTAATTGTCAAATGGTTCAACAAATGAGTGGCATGGCATGTTCTCTAATTGCTCTTAATGAGATTTTTATTTTAGTTACTTAAACAACATTTTTCCAAAATGATTTCCGTTTTTCGGCATAGTTCTCTTGCTTGATTTTTACTTGTAATTTCTTATAATAAAAATAAATCGTCCTTGTATCGTACCTAATAGACACTATGTAAGTTAAAAATTGCCCACGTGTCATTAATTACATTTACCGATTATTATTAAAATTATTATGATTTATTTTTTATTACATGCTTTATATAGGTCCTGTATCGAGTTACTTGTCGTCCATATACTCATACCGTACGGTGACCCTAATCGGAGGCACTCTAGCTTCTTTGGGTCTGATGCTGTGCTATTTCGCCAACTCCATCAAATATCTTTATTTCAGGTAAGCGTATAACTTGTACATTTGTTATGCGATAAGTAAAATATCAAACGCGCAATTCTTCCCCCCCCCCCAAAAAAAAATTACCTACATTCAAATGATTCGAATAATGTGTGTTCCTATGTTAAATTGTGTTGACGATTAAGACGATTTAAACGTTTAGTTTTAATGATAATGTGAAAACATAAAGACTGCGATTCGCGATAATAATGATAAATAAATCCGTTTATCGTTACGGTAGTATTCAAAAGACATAGCAAGCCAATAATATCTGGTCAACGTTAACGACTTGACACAGTATTCGTATCTCGAGGTTGGTCTACATTCACTATGTATAGTATCTCGTGTATTTCCGTTGTCATTGTTATAAACTCTATAGTGCGTGGTCTGGAAAAATTATTAAATTACAATCTAAGAAATACTTAGAGATTGGAACTTGTTACGGTGAGTGGATCACACTCACGAATAGGGTTAAATTAAGGGATCCTGGCTGGGACAGGGAGCTACCTTAAAGTATCCCCCTAGAGACTCCTTCTAAATGTATATAACCGCCCGAAGAGTGAAAGGACGTTCGTATCTTAAATTAACTGACTCTAACTCTTAAATTTTCAACGTACATTAAATGTCTTTATGCCGAGTAAAATATTAAGCTACTAGATAAAATGGATAACCGTATATATCTGTATATTATATATAATGTATATATTGTACAATATTTTGGTTTTTAACAATTTTTTAATTCAAAATTAAGGGGAGATTTGAGGGGTAACTTTAGAAACTTAAACAGCTACCTACGTTTTAAATTATGTAGTTCGATTAGTTTTTTTTTTTTTTACAAATATTGACGTTATATAGCCATTTAAATATTTTAAAAACTTAATTTTTTTAACTATCAGCTAGGCGTACAAATGAAGTGGGATGGCTAAGTAGATATATTAGTTATCAGAATAAATACAAGCACATACTGTACCTCGCAGATTGACATTTATGTATGGGTAATACAAATAATTCAATTCAAAATATATCAATAATTTCAAAATAATATTTTCATGGTGCTTATCTGTATTTACTTATGGATATTTAGCTCAGTAGTACGAATGTGTATACATTCGTAGTAACGTTCAATAAGTATTAAATACATTTAGAATTTACATTTATGTTTATCTGTGAGTCAGATAAGGTAAGTTGTTCATTTATCGTAAAATTAATAAAATAACAGAAATACGCAGTTAGACGAGCAACATAAATTTAGATTGTAGGTAATATTTACATTTCATTTCAAGTTTTGTTTTATAAGTAAATTAAAAAGTGTAATAACTATCTTCACTTATCAAATAAATATTTTTAATTATTAAATAGCGTAAACGTAAATGTTATTTATGAAGCAAAAATGCTTAAAGCAGAAAAGAACCAACATTTTATTTAAAAAAAACATATAATATCTAAATATATTTTTATAAAGTTATCTTAAATAATGACATATTATATTACTTTCCATCCTGGATGTTTTTATAAGTAGAAGATAGTGTATAATGGTTTACCTTGGAAATATAAAGAATAATATGAAATGTACCTATTGGAGTTAAAAAACTTTTAAGTAAATCATCTATTTGAGAAACAACGTACCTTTTTTATTTAAAACATCTTAATTTCTCTACACTAATCTTTCTTATTGGTTTTATTGTTTTTATGTAAGCAACACATCGATTTGGTCTACATTTTCTTTTGCCGTTGACTTATATTTAATTACAGTTTTTGACATAAATTATTACTATTATTGTTTTAATAATACTTGGTACTGTATGTAATTTTAGCTATGGCGTCTTGTTCGGATCCGGTGCTGGCTTAGCATTCCCGCCGGGTATATTCATTGTCACTTCGTACTTTGTCAAGTACAGAGGATTCGCAAACGGCGTGGCTATTTCGGGCAGTTGTTTGGGTTCAATGTTTTTGCCACCGTTCCTGGGCTATTTAATCGAAAACTACGGATTCAGGTAACACAATATTTTGTTTTTGAATAAAAGAGAACAGTGTACTTTTTACAAGTTACCGCGTATCGAGCAATGATTATTAACAACGACAATAGATTTTAGTTATTATTATTTTCTAATACAATCAATTCAAATATAAAACAACGCGGCGCTAGTGCCGGGTTTTAATATGGATATGTTTTTGGGCTGAGGGTAATTTCTGATGAGCAAAGGATCGTGGGGGGTGTCAGATTTTCGATAGTGATAATAGACTAATTACGGATACGAGACAGCTGATAGTGGCTCCTAATAAGGGACAGTTGGTAAGTGGTAAGCGAGAAGGTTAAGGTTAGATCTGGATTAAATAGGTAAGGTTAGGTTTGGTTCGTTTTGTTTTAGGTTTGGAAGGAAGGAGAAGACTATTGGATAGATCAGGTAGGGTAAGAAGTAAGGGAATGGTAGGACCATAGAAAAGGTCAGTGAGGGGAAGGGAAAACATATCCAAGGTTCACAATACGTAGTGGAGAAATTAATGTGTTTTTTTTAATTTTTTCGCAAATTTAATCGTCATATTTTTTTGAAAAAAACTCACATCTTGATGTCTATAAAAATGTAATTAATTAATTTCTTGTTATTTATTCTTCGTAGAACGGCCGTGCTGTTACTCGGAGCGCTCACGTTAAACGTTTGGGTGGGAGCGTCTCTGTACCATCCGGTAGAACAGCACATGGTTAAACAGTACTCGGACGACGTATTGACGGGCACGGTGGAAGTGGACAGGATATCCACGATCTCGGCGGACGAGAACAGCTCTTCGATGGTGGACGTACTATCGGCGAACGGCGTGTACTCTAGGCGGGGCAAGTCAGAGTCGCCGATGGTGGCGCAACGACAAGAGACGGTTTCGTTACTGGCCCAAAACCTAAACGGGTGCGTCATCATCAACGAGCTGAACGCGACCAGCGTGAAGATACCGCGGGACGACAGGTTTCTGTCCGCGGTGTTGGTGGACAAGCAGTCGGAAAAAACAACGTTTAGTAGCTGCAGTCTATTGCGGATTGATCATCAAGCGACCGAGCGAAACAAAGTGAACGTTTCGCTATCGTCGCTGCGATACGTGAGCACGCCGTTTCACGGCAGCACGCTGGTGAGTTTGTACGGAGAATCGCAGCCGAAGAAGTCCGATAACGGGTGCACCTCGTCGTCGTCGCCGCTACGAAAACTGAAACTACTGTCCGACCCGGTTTTCATAATCATACTGGTGTCCAACGCCACCACGGCCATCGGGTACACGAACACGGCCATACTGCTGCCATCGTACGCCATCGGGATCGGACACGACAAGACCAGCTCGCATTACTTGCTGTCCGTGGTGGCGGTTTTGGACCTGGTCGGCCGTATCGGCGGCTCCACGCTGTCCGATTGGGTGCCGCTAGACAAGCGGTACTACTATCTGAGCGGGCTGGTGCTGTCCGGGTTGTCGCTGTTCGCGCTGCCTTTCGCCGAGACGTACGCCGCCATGTGCTGGGCGTGCGCCGCGTTCGGACTGGGCTCCGGCGTGGTGATTGGCATCACCGCCGTCATCATGGTGGACATGCTCGGCGAGGAACGGCTGTCGTCGTCGTACGGCATATCGTTACTGTGCAACGGCATCATGCAGTTAATCGGGCCGCCGGCGGCCGGCTACATCTATGAGACGATCGGATCGTACAAGCCCGTGTTCCACGGTATGGGCATCATACTGCTGTTCGGCGCGTCCGTCTGGGCGCTGGTGCCGTTGTTCAAGAAAAACGGGGACAATCGTTAATGGAAAAATGAGAAAATTACCGACGGCAAAACAGGGAGGCAATGAGAAACAACGTTCGGATGCGATCGACTTTACCCGCACCGCGAATGGCGACTGATTTTTATTGAAATTGACTTTGTCGAAAAGCTCAACACCTGTACCGCGTATACACCGTGCGCTAATAATATCATATTTTATCGTCCACTCGACCGGCTGGTGCAGGCGTGGCAACCGTTATTTTATACCTACAAACGATATATTATATTATTTTGTAAACGTAACGAAATATAAAGTGTATACAAATTTATAGATAGATTATTTATTGAAATGTTGGCACAGCCTAGTTAGTGCTTCGAAAGTATTAAAAAAAATATACAATTTGTCTTTCTGCGAGTTCTTTTTGGAAAGAAATGTATAATAACTTATATTAAGAAAGAAATACTCATAGATAGGTGCTATTGTAAAATATTTTATTTATAGACTAACTATTTATTCTTCCGAGTCATAATTTTTTTTTTAATTGATGTAATTATTTTTGGAATATCACCGAAATATCCCCCCCTTTTCTTTTTTATTCGTCAATAAAGAAAAACTCCTTTTACTTACTACCCATACAAGTTAAGATACGATAATACATATTGTGGTACACCCAAAACGACGAATTTAAAAATTACCTATAATATTATAGTATATTAATTGTACGATAACGATCCATAAGTGGTTTTGTATTATTGTTTAATCGTCGTACTGTTGTTTTATTAGCTGTTAAACTTAATTTTTTTTTATAAATTTATGTAAAATATAATATATTGGTATATTTTATTTTAGTTGCATCCACCGGAATAATTGTTGGCGGTCGTAATGATAACAATATAATGGAAATTATTATATTTTACGTCACTAGTCAAATGAACAAATTCTTAATTATAAATGAATACTAAATTAATATTATTATTAGAAAATAATCCATTTTACTATTAAGACACACATACACACATGTAACCAAATACATGTTATCGCCCACTTATTTCATGTACTAATAAAAACTCAAAGATATTTTAATATATATATATATATATATATATTAGTTAATATGTGTTTACACAAAAGTATTGTGTTAAAAAGTATTTATATTAATTGTTGTGTCTTCTATAGATTATTATTATTATTATTATTATTATTGGTTGGATCGTCTATTTAATTGTATATGTATGTATATATATATATATATATATACCATAGATAGGACTTGTGTAAATATTATAAGTTAACGTTTTGAATTACCATACTAATTATTAATTCGTGTACATATTATTAAAATTATGTAAAATACAATTTTGATTTAAAACAAATAAACATTATATAAAATTGTAGCATTTAACATAATTTTTGTTAACTGAACCCCTTAGTAATTAACCCAATCCGTAAGAGCATAAATTAACATTGTCTAGTTCAATTGTAATTTGGAATAAAAAAGTAACACACATTAAATAAAAAAAAAAACAAAAGATCAAAACAAAATACAGTACACCACTTCTACGCCCTTAAAATTAGGAAAACCCAAATTCTCTAACCTAAATTTATCTTTAAATTTACTATAGCCAAAGTGTAATTTCCACCATTATTTTTTTGCTTTTTCTTAATAAAAAAAAAGTTTTTACACTTCTAAAGATTTTTTAGGTAACTGTTATAGCGCCATCCCGTATTTCTAGCTTCAGTCTAATTTTAATACCCATAAAGCGTTTACATGAATGTGATTTAATCTGATTAAATTAATCATTACGTTTGACTTGAAAGAATGAGCATCGTTAAAAATAAAGCAAAAATACACCTACTACCTTACCTATCCCCCCCCCCTCTTTTAAATTGCTATTATTATTATCTTTATGTTATGTCTATTTATATTTGTTATCCTTTGTTTAATTGTACTTTTAATTATCATGTCAACTATGTAACTTAAAACAGCCGATTGGCGTATATACTTAAAATAATAATAATAATTTAGCCGTTGCTTAATAAAAATAAAATAAGCAAACATAAAATTAGTTTTATAACTAATTACTCTTATAATATGTAAAATATATAAATAAAGTATACCGTTAGTCACTTAATTCCAAATAAAATATGTTACTTAAATATAATCAAATTAAACTTTTAAAATAAGATATTTAAAATTAAAATAAAAACAAATAATTAATGTAGCTAAAGTTTATGCGAGAGCTACAAATTATTAAAAAATCAAATTTTAAAAATCCAAGAGGGATGGATAATTTTAAACAAAAATAATTGGGGGGACCGTAAATGATTATTTAAAATAAGTGGAAGGGCTTCGACTACCTTTTACGAGTGCTGCCCAAATGTAATCGATAAAAAAAAAGCAATATCGACATCAAAGATCGATGCCGTCGGTGGTCCATTTGCTGACCTTTGTTTTCTCTGATGCAATAATTATAACATATATATAAATATATATATGTTAGGTATTGCCTAACAATAGATATACCGTCGGTGTTTAACATGTAATTGTTTTTTTAATCGATTTTTTAATGAAACCGACATCCGGCTACTGTTCTGCCACTAATTTGTATGTATTATCGCTCAGACCACCTAGTCTTGGTCATGCGATTTTTTACAAGTAGTAATGAGAGCCGTTCGCGAGTGCCGTCATCGTTTTGGACGTAAAAATTGTTTATTTTGTTTAATATTGAAACGCCAATAATACACATAATGTATAAAAAATTACTATTTATAACGTTACCCTACAATGACAGCAGCTACTGATTAGGATATGCACGCCATCATGAACGACGTCGACGAGTCATCGTACATACTCAGACATAGGACACGAGGTGAATGTTTTCAATGTGACCCGTTCAATATCTGATAGGGTTTAATTAGTAACTGATTTATTTTATAAAATTGTATGTTTTCAACCCACACACCTCTCCCAAATTATCTGTAACAACTTCTACGTCTACTTTTGAAACTTAAATGACAACGCACACGTTTTGTTAACATTTTTTTTTTATTTACTAAAAATGTTGATTGGTCGATGTTTTGGGTCATACCAAGTTAACACAGAGTTCAGGACCGAGGGGAAGGCGGTTGGGTAAAATAGATAAAAAAATAATACTTACTACACTCCACACCATTGCCGGTGATCTCAAACATAATATATTATCCGAATCGACCAGTCAAATATTGTAAGTATATCATTCGTTAATTAAAAATTTGATAAAATGCATACGTTTAACGTTACCATAGATTATGTTTCAAAAATTGTTATAAAAATAATTAACTTCGAAAGGGGTGGTTTTGACACTAACTTGTGAAAAATAAAAATAAAATTTCTAATTAATCCCTATGAAATACTGCGAGTAGATCACTAAAAAAATCACCTGTATACTACAATAGGAGGTCTGGGGGCATATACATACCTTATACATTCGTTTGACAAGTGGGAATAATCGAAAATGAAAATTCTATATCATAGGCAGAGACCAGAATTGTGCAAACTTAAATTCAAACAAATTATTTAATAAATAAATAAATATAATACATTTTAATAAATCAATTATTATAAGTTATTCAAATAAAAATGTATTCGAGTAATTTGTTTTATCAATTTATTTGAACAATATAATTATGTTTTAAATAGTTATTTATAATACTCGTTTTATATATTTTGTAAATGTATTTTATGTGTTATATATTTATACGAAAAAATGTTTAAAAAAATATTATTAAAAAAAAACACACACACAAAATGTTTAAATAATAATATAAATTATAATGTATTTTCTAAACAATAACAGACTACTACTGTTTAGATAACGTTTTATTCGAATGATGCACAACTCTGATCATATGTATATAGGTAGAGGTGGACAAAGCAATATACCATACCTATATTAAAGTGTCGTTGAAATTGACACTGGACTCATACTTAATATCAGTAGGCCTAGTCACTATAGTGCATACGTCTATGCGTTCTTGTCACAGCACCTTCGGCGGAGGACAACTCCATGCTGGTCGGTCCGGATGGCGACTGGGGATGGTACGTGGTGGGTGGCTGCGCGTTTGTCAATTTCTTGTTGGTCGGTATGCTCAGGACTTATGGCCCGAACGTGCTGGAACAGTTTGTGGAAAAAAACCAACTCGGTTACGACAAAGACTATGGCGCCGGTTGGATACCATCTACATTCAACTTGGCCTTCTATTTAGCGGGTAAGCTGTTAAGGCAATTGAAAGCTGTCTGTTTTGGCCTTAGAAAATTACTTCTACTTTTAAGATGGACCTATTCCAATCCTACACAAATATTTTAAGTTTATTTGCCTTTTCTCTATAGGTTTGTTACGGGAATCGATTTTTGATTCAAGTTCAATTAAAATTGTGTTTAAATCCTATTTTAATTACCCAAATTTTGTAGTAATCGCTTCCTTGAATTTCTTTTTTATGTAAACAAAACGGTTGTTCAAAAATCGACTTCCACGATAACCTGGAAAAGAGGCGGATATTTGTATAGAATTACAATCCGACCATTCTAAGTAATTAGTAATTTCGTAATTTTGTCTTGCTTTAGGTCGAAATTGGTTTCTTGTACTATCAAAATGGCTTTAATTCGCAGAAAACATTGTATATATATTTTTTTTTTAAATAAAAAAGTAGTTTTACATAAGTGTAATATAGTTATAGTGGGTCTACGCTTCTCCGGTGATTAACAAAATGTATTAATTGAGCACACTCGTATGTGTGTATATACATTTTTTCAACAATGATATACAGAATCTGTGATTTCTAAATCTGTGTTCGACCGTTGATAACAGCAGCTGATATCAAATAACGTTTATCGACTTATTACACAAAAGTAAAAAACACAATGCTGTTGTGTTGGAGCACGTGTTCGACTAATCAAATGCACGTGTTGCTTGTAATCGTCATTGGACATCCGTTTCACACAATAAATAAATTAATATGTATGTAAAAAAAAATATATATGTAGGTAGATATACACACACACACACATGTTATATATTATATAAATAAAAATTACAATGGAACATAACTTTTTGTATAGTGATGAAATTACCATGGCTTGCCATGCAATAGCCTATAGCCTTTGTTGAAAAAAACTGTGTGTTAATAGCCTTCAAAAATGTTGCTTAAAAAAAAAATCAATTTAAACATCCTAATATGACTAGTAATTATCTATTCAAAATAAATACAACGTGTAGATACAATATGAACCCTAATAAGCTAAATACAAAGACTGTATGCAATTGAAAAAAAGAGATGATAATGTTTTATCAAAGTTGTCAGAGTTAAGTGATTATTAAGGACGATAATTGTTAGCTACGACACGTACCTATACGATATTCAGTTTATAAAATTGAAATTTTAAAGAAGTTAAATTTATAAACAGTTTTTTATTTAACTTGGTAATAAATAGTTAAAGAACAATAATATATATTTTATCGTTTATCTTATACTTTATGCCTGAGTGTTGTAAAAAAATGGATTTTAATATTGAAAAAACAAAAATTGCAAATTTAATTTATTTAACACAAAGAAATTGAAATTTTTAAATGAAAATCGGCTTCCTAAATAACATAATAAAGTAGCTAAAGAATTTGGATCTCTTTATAGAATTGAAATTGGAGTAATGGACAGATATTTTGTCTTGCTTTTTGATCTAAAATAAACAAATATGGTTTTTACTCTTAGAAAAAATTATTTTAACTAAAAATAACACTTTGAAGCTAATACAAATTAACCGGTAAATTAATTGTCATGGTCAAAATATATTAAAAACCTCTTTTTTTCTTAAATATTGCCTATACAAAACTCCTTAAAAAAAAATACATGCAATTCCCTTAATCGTCAAAGTTAAATGACTATTTAGCATATGTACTAGGTAGGTTTTAGAATACATTGAACATCTAACCGACCGGAGCCGGTTGTAACAGCTCTAGTATTATACAAAGTAGGTTTACAGAACAATCAGATTTAAAGTTTACTTTTTTCAGGACCTTTAGGATGTATTTTATGCGAACCGAGCTCACACCGCGCCATTACAGTTTGGGGTGGGCTCCTGGCATCGACTGGTATGTTTCTGAGTTCGTTCGCCAACTCTGTACCATATTTGTACTTAAGGTGTGTACAACATGCATGTTTCAAATTGATTAACAAAACATTATAAGCTATGGTTTGATATAGTTACGGCGTGATGGTCGGTTTTGGAGCCGGTCTATGTTATCCGGCCGGTATACTCATCGTGATCCAATACTTCAACAAACAAAGAGGCTTAGCCGTCGGGCTGTCAATGGCAGGAACTACTGCCGGGTCAATAATAATGCCGACGTACATAAATTACTTGACTAAATCTTACGGTTGCCGGTAAGCGCCAGGATAAGGAAAAATATTGGATCATGAATATGTCTTATGGTACTCGGAGTCTGCAAGACATATTCATTAAGACACATTCATGAATGTCAAAAAAACCTATTGATTAAATATCATTTAAAACTTAACTTTCGTATCGCTTCGAGCATGTGTGGAGGCGAAGGGTTGACTTTTGAAGCTTGAACAGTAACAAATATATTTAATTGAATTTTTAAATAAAGAATAATTTTCTTAAAACTGTCGACTGGAACTACATAATTTCAAATATTTTAAGAGGAAACTAGTATAGGGCGTTAACTGAATCATCCGGTGTGTAATCAGGATTGATTTTTATACTCGCAATAAATCCATCGAAATTAGTCATTTTATCAACATCGTCAATGGTGATTGTTTGCAGAGGAGCAGTGTTGATCACCGCCGGCATCATGTTGAACGTTATCGCTTGCGCTCTGATCTACCACCCCGTCAACGAGTACGGTTATCCGGTCGACGTTCGTACGCTGGCCGCCGAAGAAGTCTGGCCGCCGCCGGTACATACGCCGTGCACATTCTGCTGTCGGTTGAAGAGTGCGTTTGTGAAAAACCGCAAGAGAAATCGTTACGTTAGAAAGCAAAACTTCAGTTTGGTCGAACTGTGCGTGAAACCACAATTCTTTGTCGTCACCTTGACCAACGCCGTGTATTGCCTAGCCCACAGCGTTTTCCAAGCCTCTGCCCTGCCAGCCGATAGCGAAAGCTATCCCAGCGAGACGTTGGCTTTTCTCGTGTTCTCCGTGGCCGATTTAGTGGCTCGCATAACCGTTCCCGCTCTGCTGGACCATCTGCCTTTGAACGCGTCCGTGTATTCGATAAGCGCTCTGGGCATCGGCGGCGTGGTCTTGTCCACCGTACACGTTTGCCGCGAGTACATCCACTACGCGTTTGCGTACATGTTCGCATTTGGTCTGGCGTCCGGCACTTTTTTTACAATGCAAACGTTGCTAATGATCGATTTGCTGGGCCACGAACGGTTGGCCGCCACGTACGCCACCACGTTACTCGCAGAAGGTATCGCACAGCTGAGCGCCCGACAGTTTTTCAGCCAATCTCAATGGTTTCCAGTCATGTACTCAAGTCTGGGCGCCAACCTAATCCTGTTGTCCGTCGTATGGACGTTCTTGTTGTTGTTCGCCACGAAATTCACAAGACAAAGCAATTGGTAGCAAATAGAAATACTAACCGTTTAAATATGTTACAGCGTAATTGTTTAAGTAAACAATTAGGCATATTATGTTTTAGCAGACTTATTATTGAGTTAAAAATTTGATACAAGACTGAATAAATGTATAGTAATATTTATAATAACTTTAAATTGTGAATATTTTTAAAATAACAAACTAAATAAAACTGTAATCCATGTAATCGTAATGTTGTATTATTATAAATATACAATTAGATGGGACAAAGCCTGAATGTTTGGGCTTGATATTTGCTGTAAGTGGTAAAAATTGCAAAGTTAATAATACAGTTTTTGTATTTATAATGTAGCCTTACTACAATCATAAAACTTGCTTGGTGTTTAACTATTAATCCACAAATTTCATTTAGTATTTCCGTTTGAAAAAAAACTATAAGAGTTGTTCATTTATGAGTTTCAAAGGAATCATTTTTTTCCCCTAGCGTTTTTCGTTATGCTGTCAGCAATTATAGGTACACAAAAATAAAACCAAACACAGTCTAAACCAGTACAGTGTAAGTCAGCACAGTCCAGACCAAGTACAATATAAAATGGCAAGACTAATCAAAGTTCTATACAAATATCGACTCGAACCGACCGAAAAAAAAAACATAAAGCATCATACGTAGTTTTTAATAGCACTCGCGAGTGACAAATTACAATAAATAATATATAAATATATATTCTGTATATTTTTGTAACAGAGGGTGACTTCATACAACTTTTATGGAAAAAAATAAATTGTTAGCTTGTAGGTTTGGTGTAGAATAAAAAAGACAAAAAATAACTATGATAGTACTTGAAGTTAATTTGATAGAGATTTATGGTATTCAATAATAATAATTATGGAAGCTATGTGATATACCCCACCCTTATATGCTCTGACCTCACTATGCTAACTTTTATCGAACAAAATAAATTGTTTTTCAGTGAAACATTTTCGTACACTATTTTGAGTATTTCGAAACATTTGTGCAAATAAGAACAACAGCAGAAAACACAAAAACAATTTCGTTTTACAGCAAATAATTAAAGTTTTAAACTCAAACCTACACGTTTGTGAAATATCTGTTTATATTTCATATTAAAAATTCAGAAAAATTTACAAAAAAAAAACGGCTGTAATATACAGTTTTACCAAAATGTTTCAAATAAAATAGTATGTAATAAAAAAATATATATTTTATTCTATAACCCCCGTTATTTGAAAAACAATTTTACTGGTAAAAAGTAATAAGCAGTGGAGCTTTTGTAGTGAGCCAAAATGTGAGTTATTTGAGGCTGATGTATATTTTATTAATTCGACTATACGAGACTGATGCGACGGTTGGAATTGTTATTATACAAGCTAGAATTTTTGCAAACGCCTTTTTACGGTATTGACATTTATTTTATATCGTGTGTTTTAATATTGAAGTAGTACAAAAAAAAAAAAATAACTAGTCGGTTATTCTTTCGTTTACTTTAGAGTTATTTATCGCGAAATATCATATTTTTGTTAACAGTGCGATCAACAGTGTAACGTTTATAAGCGAATATTTTATATATGTCTTTTTCATATTCACTGTAAAAGCTTTCAGCTTTCAGCTAAAAGTTTGTCGTTTCTTCGCGTTAAATTTGTAACATATATGAAATATATATGTAAATACTACGAGTGTACAATATTGAATATAAACTTTAAAAATGTTTTACATAATTATAATATTATTAACGTGTATGTCTGTTGTGGACTGTGTTGAAACATCTGTTTATGAGAGTATGTGTGACAGAGATCGAGTGAGTTCGAATTTTTATGATGACTTTTTTTTAAGACTATATTACTAAAACCATGACTAAATAGACAGTCACAATCGGTAGGTTATGGTGATTTGTATAGTACCTATTTATAGTGGTCCGCCGAGTGAAAAAGCACTCTAAAGGGGAAAATTTACTGGACACTAAATTAGAATTGTCGCCTTTTAGCTTTAAAAGATGTGATATTTTATGGGAAAGTAAATATTATTGTTTTTGCTAAATAATTTTCTAATCAATGTTTTATGTGATAAATGTTTCTTTTTAGGCTATAATCGATGTTTTTAATAAAGCTCTCGTATTTTTTAAAAATACCAAAGTTAAAACAATTACGTTTAAACAATTTTTAATAATTGTTGGTGAAGACGACGACACTAAACAACTTATTTTAGATCACTTTAAACCCCGCGTTAAACACGGTGTCGCAGGTAAGCATTACATTTAATCGAATCGAAATTTCAATAGAGAGCCGTTATTAGTGTTAGTTTTTCATAACCAATAAAGGTTATTGTCGCTTGCTAATGTTGACGCATCCCAACTTATTTAAGGTATTTATTTTTAGCTTCGATGCGGAGCTAAGAAGATATTGTATTTACAATGATGTGTTTTTTTTTTGCGTCTAGACCCACGATATTTTTTAAACCACTAAAACGATTTCTTCGTATAGCACCTCCATAGATCAGAAATCGTACCTATAAGGTACTTTATTCGGAAAAAAAATGTATCCCATCCCTGTAAAAATCGATAAAATCACCCAAAAAAAAGTACATATTTTCAGCTTAAAATTATAATGCATCAAATATTCCTAAAAAAGTCTAGTTGGTTCCAAATTTGTATGAAATATCAGATTAGAGATAAAAGATTACATATAAAATAATGTTTTATTGTAGGTATATTGTAATCATAATTATCTTATATATATATATTTTCAAAGGGCTTATCCCGCAAAATAAAATTAAAAAAAAAAGCTATTTGTGCACGAACAAAAACAAACAAATTTTGGCCTGTATTTTAAATATGTTAAAATAATACGAGACATTTTAGTATTCGTATAAAAAAAATACGTTTTGTTTGTTTTTTCAGCGAGAATAAACGATTTCATGTTTTTCGATTTAGTATATGCAGTTGTTCACCGTCGTGAAGTTTCTCATGATTCTTTGTTTTCAGTAATGATGAAAAATATGGTTAAAAAAAAGAAAAAAACCGGGAAAAAAAAACCAAAACATGTATTATCTTTAAAATGTGAAGAAACTCTAGATGAACTTGAATCATTAGTTGAATCATCAGTTGGATCATCAGTTGAATCATTAGTTGAATCATCAGATGAATCATCAGTTGAATCATTAGTTGAATCATCAGATGAATCATCAGTCGAATCTTCTAGTAACCAGCCAACTAAATTGTTATAATTATTACTATTGGCATTGTAACACATTAATAGGTTGAATAAATCTAATAGTGTTGTAAAAGTGACATGCAATTGTGTGTATTTTTTTTTCTAGGGACAGTTTTTTTCTTACCTTAAAAACTAAAATTATAACATTATCGAAAACATAATTATACTAATTGTGTATTTAAATAACTGAAACGAAATAGAGCCCAATAGTACAGTTGGGAAAAATTAGAACTTAAACTATAAATAGATTAGCTAAATTTATTTGTACCAATGAAATTCAATAATTTTCTACATAATCTCTCACAACAGAGAACAAAAATTAACATTTGATCGGTTGCCATACAAAACCATAGCCTTTGAAATTTGAGTTTTTTTTTTTAAATTTTTACTGAGGACATAAATCAATAGATAAGGAACATCAATGTGACCGTTAACTAACTTATAAGTAAAAAATATAACAGCCATATCATGTTTTGAGACAAGAATAAGCATTTTGTCTTCTTGTAGAAGAGTAGAGAGACAACGACATTTGTAAGATCAGATTTCGGTAAGCGCTTAACCCTTAAACGGATTATACAAAGGCCATATTAATACATCATACAAGTATACAATATTATGATAATAATTATTCGAAGATTTTATTTATTATAAAAAAAAAAAAATATATCGTGCTCGGTTCGGATTCGCATCAAAGCGTTTGATTGTGATATAGTCACATTAAGATAACAGATTTAATAATTGCTTGACCCTACTTTGCTCTAACTTCTTCTATACTGATTTATACTGTACTTGGTTTGGACTGTTTTGGTGTAAACTATACTGGTTAATACTGACTACTGTGCTTGATTCGAGGTATAATCAGTTACAACTGTTTTATTTTGCGACTTCACTATCTTCCTTAATTAGTTTTTTTAGCCGTAATTTTAGGACCTTTTAGCTGAGATCCTCGGACCAATGGACGACCATAGCCGACTAGGTCAATTCAGTCCTCTCAAAGAAAGAGCAGGACGAGAGACATATACAAAAGGGAGCGGCCGGTGCTGTGCCACCGACAAGAAGGAGTAATATGTATATAAATGTAAATAATCAAGAAAAAGTACATATTATCATAACTAGAAGTAAGTAAAATTGTGAGCCCGCCTCGCGAAGAGGAAAACGGGATTTTTTTTAACTCCAATTTTTTTGTAGTGGATGCTAATAAACGATGCTGCCTGGTAGGAAGTAGTATGTAAACAGTTCCCCCCAAGTAACCGCTAACTTGGGGGGAAAAAAGGACCTTTTAGTAAAAACTATTGTCAATAGGTAGGACTCACTTATGTAACCATACCTAATACCTTAGTTGGACACTGGACATGGAAAAAATCGGGAAAACAGTTGAATTGTAAATTTCGAAAAGGGTCCATCTCGAGTTTTGATCAAAATTGATTTTTCCGCGTTTTTTTCATTTACACATATAGACCGATATTTTATGAGCGCAAATGGTCCAAATCTGTTTTCTATTGTGATGAAAAAAAACATCCTCTTTTTAATCATCCTATTTAACATAATTAAAAAGAAAATCAGTTTTTTTAGTTTCCTGAATAATTTTAATTTTCCGATATGAGCCCTTTCCGAAATTCCCAATTCAGTTTTTTTCTTTGTATTGGCTAAAAACAGTCATAATGTACGAATGTGTAAATGATGGCTGTCTGCTATAATCGACAATATACAAGGTATAATTAAATTAAAAATAAGAATAATATAACATATTTAAGAACTACAATTATTATTGACCTCTTAAACCAGTCACTTTTTACATAATAGTAAAAAAATTGGATAATTGCTATAGAGAGATACATTTTATTTTCTTCGCACAATGAGTACAATAAATAGAATTTTAGTTATTATTTAAATATTACAGTAGGTAATAAGAATCTTATAAGATTATTAAATTCTAATACCATTAATAAGACGTATTTACATTGTGCGTTTTTATATAGTGATATATAGTATTTAAAAAAATTATTAGTCGAAATGTTTTTTTATATTTTTGTTTTATATGATATTTTATACTTTTATTAAAAGTGTAAAAGTATAAGTGTTTGTGTCTTTTAGATCTTTAGATTTTTTTTTATCGGTATGAAAATAATTATTTATTGGAATGGAATGACATAGGTACACACTTATTTATATTATATGTATTTTTTTCACCCTTCCTTTTTGCAGTTTTTCCATTAATTTATTACTTTTACGATAAAATTATTATCGTTTCTAAAATGTTTGATTAGAGCTTATCAAAATTGAGTTCATTAGCGGGTTACGTTTAAAAAAAAAACATAGAAAAAATAATATAAATTATAATATATACTTATACTTATATAGATGTATATAAAATACCTATACGGTCCATATACGGTTTCATTGCGTAAAGTGTCCCTTCTGATTACATCTATTCTGCCAACATGCCAAACGAAGACATCTAAAATCTTAGAACGCGGTTCTCGGATAAAATACTACTACAAACATTAATACTGTAAACATTTTTAATACGAGACAGAGTAACTCGATTTACCATTAAAAATACAAAATTATGTTCCATCTTCAAGAAAGCTCGTAAATTAAATTAAACAATATTATGATTGTTCGTTAATAGTTTACCTATAAATAAACAAATTTAAAAAATTTAGGGTTAACACGTTTTAAAGTCCTTGAAATCGGCGCAACGATTTCCTACGTGGGTCATCTGGCAGATCCCTGTCGGTATTCGCCATTTGGTCAAATGATGCGACAGTTCTTTAGAATGAAAATGTCGAATAAAAATCGTTAACTTTGCCCGACATTTTACTTGGTTGACATTTGCCGTTCGTCTGCCTTAAGTGATTTGCACGTCAGCATTTAGCAATACATAATATTTATAAATAAGTTTATTGTTTTTTTTTCGGTTCCCTCCTCAACGCAAACATTATGTTTCCGCCTTGCTACTATCAATTAAAAAAATCGAAAAACCAAGAAAACGCGATGGAGAAATCACCTCGATTCAATACTCAGCTCGTACCTGGTAAACAATTATATTAATTAATGTATATATATAAGTCTCATACAGTTATACCTAAGTGAGAGTAGAGTTAAACTTTTTCGTGAATATTTCTTTTTTTGTAGGTAGAACAATCGCAGCCACTGCAGTGAACGAAGATAGTTGCGAGTTTGGTTCTTCAAAATACTTGCTACTTTGTGGTTTGGGCGGTATACTATCATGTGGTATAACTCACACCCTTGTAACGCCCTTGGATTTGGTCAAGTGCCGTCTTCAGGTAGATCCGGGAAAGTACAAGAGTTTAACCAATGGTTTCAGAGTTACCCTAGCTGAAGAAGGTGCCAGAGGATTAGTTAAGGGTTGGGCACCTACCGCTATTGGATATTCCATTCAAGGCTTTTGCAAGTTTGGATTGTACGAATACTTCAAAATCTTGTATGCCAACATTGTAGGTGAGGAAAATGCTTACTACTGGCGGACGTCGGTTTATTTAGCGGCTTCTGCATCCGCAGAGACCTTTGCAGACATTGGTCTTGTCCCTTTTGAGTCTGTTAAAGTTAAAATTCAAACTACACCTGGCTTTGCAAGTACAATGCGCGAAGCAGTTCCAAAAATGATTCAACAAGAAGGTGTATCAGCCTTCTATAAGAGTTTGGTACCACTGTGGATGCGGCAAATCCCATATACCATGATGAAGTTTTCTTGTTTCGAAAGAACCGTCGAATTAATTTACATGCATGTTGTGCCTAAACCGCGAGCCGAGTGTACCAAAGGTGAACAGTTGATAGTTACTTTTGCGGCTGGATACATCGCAGGAGTTTTTTGTGCCGTTGTTTCTCATCCCGCTGACACACTCGTATCTAAATTAAACCAAGAAAAAGGTGCTTCATCGGTTGATGTTTTGAAGAAAATCGGATTTGGCGGTTTGTGGAAAGGATTGGGACCTAGGATTATTATGATTGGTACCTTAACTGCCCTACAATGGTTCATATATGATTTTGTTAAAGTTTCTTTGGCAATTCCTAGACCCCCACCACCAACGCCACCTAAGGGAAAGAAAGCTTAATTTATTTAAACTGTAAAACTATTATTGTATTGTATAATTTTCTGCGCTGGTTCATTGAACATTTATTAAGTTAATTATTTTTCTTTAAAAAAAATCATAATTTAGTTTAGATAACTCAAGAAGTGTTTTGTTAAATTATATTAATTGTTGTTCATATTAATTGTCAAATAACATTTAATAAAAGTTTCTCTATTTAATTAATTTTTAATTGTGTTTAATTACCTAGTCTGTCTAATAATGTTTGTAATTATATACATATTTAAATTTACTTTTAGTTCAATTATTTATTGTAAGGCTTGCCAAGTACCTACATCTTTTTCAACTGGGATATTAACCAGTAATTTTTATTTATAAAATAAAGGTATCTTAAAAATTATATTTCATTATATATTTATACTAACAATTGAAATATCAAATACATTTCTTACATAAAATTATTTAATTAATTATTTTGAATAAATTAACATTACTCAATACATACAGAATTTTAATATGTAGAAGGAAAGGATTGGGCTAATAAAATTAAGTTGAGCCTGCAAAGATCGTACCTTTAAGCAATTCATTAAAAGAGCACAAATTGTTGATACTCTATATTTAATATTTGTAATAATTTTGTACTTTTTAAAAATATTGTCTTGTTATAAACCTTGTTATTTTGAATAAATACCTAATTTTAGTTATTTCCGTTAATAAGTTTAAAAACCCAATTTTAAATTTGTTTAGCCTCCGTGCTTCCACTGGGTAAGCTAATCGTTTCTCAACTAAAAGAAATAATTTAAAACTGCTAGTTACAAAGAAAACAATGTTTATTATATAAAAATAAATAAATGTATAAAACACACAACTTTTTTACTCACTACTCCGTAATGCTAACTAAATAAAAATAAAGTTATCTATCAAACAAAAGATTGAATTCGCAAATTTGCTCCAACTTATAAATTCAATCATCCATTTAAAAGTAATAGGATACACAAATTATAAGTAAATATATTCAGTCGTTCCTAATAAATATAGTAATTTTATATATCTCAATAATCGCATAATATAATAGTCGAGATACAGAAAACCAAAGTAAAAAACAAATGAGTTGATTAATGACAGCCTCTTTCATATATATATATATATATATATATATATATAATAGCGTTTTTTTCTTTAAGACATAATTCTCTTGCTATATCATAAAAACTATAATTTTTTAATTAACTACGTTATAAATTATTATGTAATGTAAACACCACACTATAAGAAATACATATAAATAGTATTTCTACTATAATTATGCAAACAAAATTATGTGTTAGAGAAAAAAAACATTTTATGATTGGCTTGAGGTCGTAGTGGTGTACGTTACATTTTTTTCATTTACAAACTGCACACAATCAACTTATGAAAATGTGTCACCCAAAAAAATGATTGCACTACAACAAATTTATGTTTTAGCACTTGTATATACCTATGTATAATAAAGTAACATATGGCACATATTGTTTTAAATCTGTACAACTGTTTTCTTTTTTATAAACAATCATAATATTATCCTAAAAAATTAAGTATCAACTTTGAATAGTTTAATACAAATGGATAGACAGTTCGAATAGTTTGTATTTTTAGCCGAGGTTCAAATGGATACTGCATTTAGGATTAAATCCTAATATTTACTTTTTGATTAAGTTTTTAAATGAAGTTTAAAATTAAATTAATTCTAATAATAATAATTAAAAAAAAAAAAATTATTTACACTTCTGTAAAATTGGTCTGAATTATATTTTTACGGCTTCCACGAAGTTAATGCTAGTTTATTATTTAATTCTGTTAAAATAATTGCACACACTTTAGCCTTTTCTTCATTCATAATTGCGTGATAAATTTTGTCTTCGGGGTCTTGTAAAATTCCTGGTTTAAACTTATTTCTACTCGTAACCATTCCTTTTTTGGGTTGGGTTATCTGAACACCTCTACGATTTGGATACCCATCTTTTTGCTTTGAGCCTGTTTTTTCAGAACGTTTCTGTAATAAAATAAAACAATTTTGTAAAATAAAAATTTTGTTTTATTATATATTTTACCATAGCTATAATATATCTGTTAAAAGACACCTACACTTGCATATGTCGTGTCAAACACAACTTATCCTAAATTTAACCATACTCTAAAACTCATACGCAACGATGAAAACAATTATCGCTTTTTTAATACTTGCTTAATGCATTATCATCAGTCAAAGAACATTTAAAACTTTTTTATAATCTTGTAGAATTTATTAAAACTCTTTAATATTATTAATTCTTTAAACAGAAATAATTAATAAACAAAAGGTAATTTCAAAATTGTGAAACAACTGGTGTTTTGTAAATTTTATGAAGGATTCAAATCTTTTTTCAAAACTAAATTCGGAGTATTCTCAGTAACATACTATAACAAGTACATAAGTTTTGGTACAAAAAGAGAGCCTATATTCATTATTAACTTAAAAAATAAAACTAGAATAATACCAAATTAGATACCTCTCTGCTACATAAATATATGAGTTTACAAATTTTAGCTTATTGTTTGTTTTGATGAAAAATTGCACATACAATGCAACATAATAAATGCTAGTATAGAGACCCCACAACATGTGAATAAAATAGATGTAGGATAAACCAAAAATACTGAAATGAATAAACTATACAAATTTAGTTTTTTTTAAATTAAGTGATTCAGAATAATTTTCTTCTCACTGATGCGTTCAAAGACCATCGATAGTTTGTAACACAGTCTAGATAAGCCTATCAATAATAATGTTTTTTAATTATTATTATTTTTTTTAATAACAGATTATGCAACACAAATATATATACAGATTATATACACTAATCTTTCGATAAAATACAGTAATGGAGCCCTGCATAATTGTTTCTAATTAGACCTTCGAGCGGGACCCAAATTGTGTTTACACCTAAGACAACAAAAGGTCTCATCATCCAACACTTTTCTGATTAATCACATACTTTTAGATTTCTTTGTATTGATTAGGCTAACCTAAACATTGATTAACATATATTTTTTGTAACAATTGTACACTTTGTAACAATGATGAGTTAAGCTAGAAATTAAACTCGTGGTATAGCTACTATTTAGCAATTATTACTAAACATCAATTTACCCTTGTTTTGCGTATAAATGCCGAAGCGTCATAGTAGTTTGGTTTTTCGCGACGTATACGCTCAGTTCTACGGCGGCCGTCTGACTTTGTAGTTGTACCCGTGGGTACATCTTCTTTGGATTCCTCCGTAGGTGACGTACTGGTAGACGTACCTCCTTGTGCCGTTGTAGTTAGTGGTATGTCCTTCTTTGAAAGGTAAAACGAATGCTTGCATTTGGTACAGGTCTTTACAGCGACAGGAAACTACAATCACACAAGTTGGTTTTTACATCACTTTAAAATTACATTACAATAAAATACGCCTTTTAATCATATATAACAATTAATTAATTCACAAACCTGTAGTCCGCAACCAGGGCAGATTTTTTTGACGGATACTTTTTTATTTTTTAACATGTATTTTAGTTATACGAGGACGTTAAAATAAAAATATAACTGCCCGCAAGGTCAAGTCAAATTAATAATTTTGACATGACATAATCTACAAATTACATCAATCTCACGAAAATGAAAACATTAAAATTGATCTAAATTCTAATTTAATGTTAATAAATAATGACCAAAAACTTGTTTCTTTCGTTTGTTGTTATTGAAGAAAAACACGACCTTTGCCCTCTCTTAAAAATGCGCTGTCTTGATAATAAACAGACAACGCTGGACACCGTTTGAAACGTAATGTTGGCAACACTTGTAATATCCCGGTTTATTTAAAATGAATAATTAAAAACCTCCAACCAACATATGAAAATAACATTAACTATGAATTTATTATTTATTTCAATGATTTTCATAGAAATAATCATATAATTTTTAATCAGGAACAACCAATTAATAGTATATTTTATATTTCAAAACATTTACATACAAATCTATCTTTTTCGAGTTTTCATGGTTTCGCCTCCGGATTATCACTAAATTCTTGAAAATTCTTAAATCTTAACCCTGCGTTCCGGATTCAATGGGTTTGATAACATGTTGTTTTATTTTAATAGTATTAAAAAATTTTCTGTAAAATACATAATACAATAATATAACCATCCAAAAAACGAGTTCTCCTCTTATGTGGGCCAACTCGCATGTTGGGTTGAATACCAGGTAATGAGAACGCAGATTGTATAGTAGATTCAGATATATGAAACACTTGACCTATAGTATTTACCGAAGGACAATATTTTTATGGCTTAATGATAAGTATCCCTAGATCATAAAACCGCAAATCCCAGGAGTGTACCCGTTTATACGTACGAGAACAGGGCACATCAATCTAACCCTAATACTTTATTACCAGAGAACCCAAACTAACATGTAATACGTACACAGGAAACGTATCAATCAATTAAACATAATATCATTGAGTATATATTGTAGTGTACTCAATGATAATACTATGATCGACTGCCCAAAATTCTCCGAAGCACGTCCTGAGCTGAAGAATCCATCCTCATTCCTCACTGAAACGGGCCTCGACCAAAAGAACTCCGAAAATCTTTTGTATAAATTGTTTAAACTTCACATTTTAAACACCTATATTTCAGCCACAGTTTGTAATAATTTGTAAGCAAAAGTTGGCTAAGAACCGACGTTGTTGAAGCCTATACTAAAATAAAAACAAATTTGCATATTAAATAATAATAATTAAATAAAAAAGTATAACATTAATCAATTAGCAAATATATAATAATATAGATATTTTGTTAACTGAGTTCAAAGTTGTAATAAAAACGTACGTATTATTATGTATTAGTTGTAAAAAATAGTATAATAAAATAACTATATAAATTATTGTGTACATTCATTTATCTGTTTTCGGTTTTTATTCATGTTACACGCATTTTTAAGTTGTCATTTTCTCTTTTTACTTCATACTTTGTTATTTAAATTTATGACGCGTAATAGTTCAATAATTGTTGTATCCATAACTTTTTAAAATATCTCTTACATGGTCACACTGGTTCAGCAGTCATTATCAGCTCAGATATTGTTTACAATCTTATAAGTTTAATCTGTATAGTGCTTATTGCGTCACTTTAAGTTCAAAATCAACATTTTTTTAAATTCATTTTAAATTATATTTTATTAAAATCATTATTTAAAAATATGCCGACGATTCAGAATTCAGATTCAATTAAAAAATAATTTTGAAACGACTGGTAAAGTCCTAAGTTGTTTCAATATTATTTCATACAGAAATTGTTTATACTCTTGTCTAATAATTTAACTGTTTTTCTTATTTTAGGTTATAACTCACAAATTGAATAATTTGCAAATGGCAAATCTTTGGCCAGTCATATCTAAAATTCCAGTTAATTTAGCATTTGACTTTAATACAATAAATAGTTTTCAAAAATGTATGGAGGATGCTGGTAATTGGTATTGCAAACATGTCTGTATGCAATTATTTCACGAAAAGAAAATATGTGATGTAAATTCATTAGAGCACTATAAGTGGCCCAGTATAATTGCCAAATTGCCTCAAGTAGACTTTGATGATTTTACTCTTCAACAAATTAAACAAAAACAATTCACTTATGAACTTAGCGTTTTACATGGGTTTAAAGTCAAACAGTTCATGATAAACTTATCTGAGAACCATGTAAATTTAGCTAGAATATTAAGTAAATATTTAGATCACCCTATTCATTTTTACTTAAGAATACCAATAGACTCGTGGGATTTGTGGAATAACTTTAGGAACTCTATAGGGTATAGTCTGCAATTAGGAGTTATACTAGTATTAAAGAAATTTGTGTTGCCACAAGAAGAAATTAAAAGATGGATTGGTGAACCAGTATTAGCCCTATTAATTGAAACGGACATTTTCATACCTAATGTGAAAAACTTTTATGTACTCGGTGAAGAACATGAAAAATTTCTAAAAATAGCTATCCAACAAAAATGGATGATCATGCTATCTGGTGAGTCTTCCCCCTCCATACTGGATTATTTTTATTATATAATGTTTGTTGCAAAAAATGTTCAAATACCTGTTCCAATATTAAGTTGTGACAATCTCTTGCAATTTCCTTTACAACCGTTAAGAGATAATCTCATGTCTTGTGTTTATCATGTATTTGAACAGGACCCAGTAAAATATTCGCAATATCAAAAAGCCATATACACAGCAATAAAGGATAGAAACAACAAAAACGTAGTCATAGCTGTTATTGGTGCTGGAAGAGGACCACTGGTTAAAGCCAGTTTGAGAGCTGCAGATTTGGCAGCGGCAAACGTGAAGATATTTGCAGTTGAAAAAAATGAAAATGCTATACCAACACTACTATTGTTTAAAAATAATGTATGGGGCGATTCAGTGCAGGTAGTTTTCAGTGATGGTCGAGATTGGGATCCACCTGAGAAATGTGATATTATGGTGTCAGAATTACTAGGATCATTTGGAGATAACGAATTATCGCCTGAATGTTTAGATGGAGCTCAAAAATGTTTAAAGGATGACGGTATAAGTATACCGTGTACATATTCTTCTTTCCTTAGACCAGTAATGTCACATAAATTATACAGTCAAACTACTACAAATAAAGATACCGATGGCTGTGAATCAAAATTTAAGTACCCAGAATTTGAACAAATGTATGTTGTTCTTCAACCAGAGAGCTATAAGCCAACAGATCCTAAAATACTATTTACATTTAACCATCCTACTAAAACTTTACCAGACAATACAAGGTATAAATGTTTAGAATTTAAAGTAACAGCTAACATGCAATTGCACGGTTTCAGTGGATATTTCGATGCCATTTTGTACAAAGATATAATAATAAGCATTGAACCATCAACGCAAAGTGTTGGTATGTTTAGCTGGTTTCCAGTTTATTTTCCAATCAAAGACACTATGTTTGTTAAGGCTGGGGATGTTATAACTGTACATTTTTGGAGATGTTGTAATAACTACAAAGTATGGTACGAATGGAGTGTTTCGTCTCCAAAACAAACACCTGTATACAATTGTAATGGTCGATCATACTCTATGAAGCTTTAAAAGGATAAATTTAAAATGTAATTATTTAATAATAACTGTTTTGTTGTTGTTGTTATAATCAATGTTTAAATGTATGTTTTATATTAGTTGTATATTAGGTTTTTATATTTTATTTTGGCAAAAATAATTATAATTTATTAATTAGCTATTTTTTAACTGATCATTAGTAGCACACATTTTTATTTGTTTATTATAAATAATATATTGATATTTTTTAATAATATTATATTCAATATTCGTATTTTGTAGAAATTAGTGTAAGCTAATTTTTAGTAATTGCAAAGTAAAAAGTTACCCAACAAAGAACCGTTAAGTAGCTCCTTTTTAATAATAATATAGACTACATCACTTATAAGTGACAACGTAGTAGTCAGCCATTACAAGAATATTGCATGTACGAGTAGGTAGTCTGAATATTGTTTCGGTAATCCTTTATTGAAAAACATCATAATTTTCTTTGGTTCTATTGTTGTTTCAATTCCAAGAAAAATCATGTAGTAAAAAATATGGAAGAGTAGAAATTATTAGCTTTATTTCAGATTCTTGAGTGTACGGAAGGTTGAAAAGACCAATTACTAAATTTTTTTTAAACCAAGCCATTTAAAAATGTGTTCACTGCCCTTAAATTATACTATTCTTAAGCACTACCCATAGCTTTAAGTATTATTTTCATCGTATATTTTATTTTATTATAACAGAACGAGCATAATTAGAATTATGTACCTAAAATCTTATTTTTTTGTCATAATTACAATCACAAAATATAATATTTGATGGTATATGCTATATTATCTATACAGAATGATAAAAAAAAAGTATAAAGCGGAAACTTAAAAAACGGTGAAAAATTATATTATACTTTAAGGGGGGGGGGGGTAAAGTTCGTGCAAAAAACGGCAAATTTTTGTGAATTTTTTTTTACGGCACAGTTAAAATTTATTTATTAAAACTAATGGTACATTTAAGTATAACATTCGAAGAATATTGTGTAATATTTCATGTAGAAATATTACAAAATACGGCAATGGCAGCAATTATTCGGAAAAAAGTAGAATTGCGGTGTCCCTCATAACTCGATGCTGGATCATCCGAAATTAAAAAAATCAAGTTCTTTCGTTAGATAATTGCTTTCCCCAGGTAACGCTGGGAGGGTTTTTTGAAATTTCAATTTTTCACTTTTTAGGAACACTGAAGGGAAAAACGCGATTTTTGCGAAAAAAAATCGGCTAATTTGTTTTTGTAAAATAAAAAATATTAACAAATTTAAAAAAAAATCTTCAGCGTTACCTCGTAAGTTACGTACAGAAATAGTGTTCAAAATTTCAAAAGGATCGGTGTAGTAGTTTTGAAGTTATGAGGGTCACCGACTTTGAAAACGTGAGTTGTGGGAAAAACGCTTTAAAGTTAACGATAGTGCGCTCGGGCCGGGCAATTATAAAATTCCGACAACTCATAACGTCGTCAATTTTGTTCCGATCGACTTGAAATTTTGACACAATATTCTTGAGATATTATGCATTCAGTTAACAAAAAAAAAAAAAAAATGTTAATACCTTACCCCCCCCTTAAATACACTACCCATTTATTATATATATATATATGTTTTTATAAGACTACAAATTACAATTAATGATTGATCACTGTTATATTACTTATTTTGGTTTAAATTGAAAGTTATGAGTGATTCACCGAATGAATATAATATTTTTGATTTTGAAATTCGTAGGCAAGCGTAAATATGTTGTTTAATACTTACACAAATATGCACCAAGGAGTTCAATAAACTAAGCCTCTTTAATTGAAGGAACTTCAATTGATGTATTGTGCACTAATGTGCAAAATTGTCCAATTAGTAATAAAAAAAAACCGTATTTCATGCAAGATGCACAAAAACTCGCCAATATTAAACTTCTACAATTCATATCATATAAGCCCATAGGCAGACTAAAAAATTTATTTTGGGAGGGGGGGGGCTAGCGAGAGCCTATTCAGTCATTCCCATAAATAAGTCCCTGCATTCGAAGCGCGTGAATTGTAGCTTCTGGCAATGCAGGTTAAGAGATTCTTGTTATTTATATATATTTTCCTTTAGGCTTTATTTGTGAGATTATAAATATGTCAAAACTGTGTTTATATGGGAATTATTTTACTATGGTAATGTAACCATCATAACGACAATACTGTCAAATGTATTTTTGTGTGTTGGTATAATTTGATTTGTATCGTGTCGCACTGTTTTTCGAATCATTAACGATGGATGCCTACGACAGAGAACCGTGCCCAATGCGAGTTATGGATGATATAGGCAGTGCATTTGCCTTGGGCCTCATCGGTGGAGGAATATTCCAGGCGGTTGAGGGTTTCCGAAACGCACCGACCGGATTCAGAAGGCGTTGCAAAGTGAGTGTGAAAATCACAAGTAACCAAATCAGAAAATTTTTAATATGTTGGGATTTGATTTCCAGAGCGCTTTTCAATCGGCCACCACCCGAGCTCCGGCCATCGGCGGAACGTTTGCTGTTTGGGGTGGCCTGTATGCCGCCATTGAATGCACAATGATCGGCATCAGGAAGAAGGAAGACCCATGGAACACGATTACTAGCAGCGCTCTGGCCGGCGGCATACTGGCCGCGAGAAAAGGGCTTCGATCGATGGCGTTTAACGCGTTTGGTAGTGCCGCTTGTATGACAGCTTTCGAAGCCTACGGCTGGTACTCGGAGTACAGGTCAGCCGAAGAATTTAGACCGCGAGCGCCAAAATATGACAACTAACAACGCGCCCACCCAGAGACAGAGACTCGGTTATGCCCGTGAGAGAGCCAAAAGTTTGTACGGGATGACACTATTGACTATGGTCGGTAGTTAGCCTTTTTTTGAGCAGCAACGAGACAGATGTGACACGAGCTAAGGATGTCACTAAACAACATCATAGCCAACCACGTTTGGGTTTTTGGACCGCTGTGTTTAAAAAAATCCGCGTCAAAGCCGAGGCTGTCTTGTCGATCTCATGTGGCCAATAATTGCCGCCTTCATTTTAAATGCTGCACTATATAGCCAGAGCGCGGGGCTAGTTATTTGTTTCTTAATTGGTAATTTTCTTCCAAGTCTTTTTGTGTACTTTATCCATTTTCGCCCAGACTTGTCGGCTGGAATGGGTAAAGTTTACGTTGGCAGTGGTTTCATGACATTAATTATTGCGTCTATTTTCAAAAATTAAAACCGTGAATGAAAATTCATGCGTTTATCTTTTGTGTGTAAAATTTTTCTTGATTTATATTGCTATACTTTGTTCGGAATAAGAACGGGCTTTGGCGGCCATGTGCACTAGTCGCGGCCGCTGAAGCCTGTACTTATTCTGAATAGAGTATATGTGATGATATTTTGTTGTGTATCACTTTTTTCAATGTTTATAAGTTATAACTTATATTTAAATGTGCTTATTTGTTGTGTAATATTTCTTCAATGTTTAAAATGTATTTTTTGTGTATCATTTTCTCTTGATATATATTTGTATTATATAATATGATAATTTGTTGTGTACTTATCATTTTTAAAATATTGTATTGTAAATTGCTGTGTACTACTATTATGGATATCTGTATTATAAAAAAATATATTTATTACTCGTATTCTAAAAACATCAAACATAAAAAATGGTTGTTTTTTTAAAATTCATTTAGAAAATATATGAATTGTAGTATGCCAAGTACACGTCACATTTTTACGAGCTTTAATGTTTTTTTACCCAGACTAAAAAATAAAAATAAATTTAAACGTTATTTTATCGACTGCTATAATTTAACACACATATACTTTAGCTGTTAAAACAAATAATTGTTTTTATTATGTAAGTTTTAATCTTTACCCCTTCTTCAGTTTCCAATTTTTCAGCACATTCTTGTACAGACATATTTTTTCCCTTGGAAACGTGTTTAAATAGGTTAACAAATCCTTCTAAATTTAAAGGTACTAAAACAAAAATATGCAAAATTTTGAATTTTTATATGTGAGCGATAATTATTATTATTTATAATATTGTAATATTGTAAATTGTAATTAAAAAGGCATGATGTGGTGCAGTGGTCACCTCTATTATCGATGAAATAATTTATTTTAGATGAAAATGTATTGTTTTTACAGTGATGTTTTTTTTATTTGTCTAAATTTGAGTGCGGACTATTTTTTTTTTATTTTACCTTTTTGAGCGTATTTTTAGATCTCATAAATGTTTAGTATACTACTTTGTGTTTACCATCTTTTTTTGCTGTTTGCTTTTTGAAGTAATCATTCGCGATTTTCAAATCCTCTAGAATTTTACCCATGTACAATACACATTGACCCAATGTTAAATCACTAATCTGATATTTTAGGACATTGGTGAACCATTTTCTACAATCCTTGAACGAATGTTCTATAATCTGAAAATTTGTTATCAATACAAAATTGAATTTTATAAAAAATCCGTTTGTAAAACTTAAATAATATTATAGTACTTAAATAATTTTCAAGTTAAACCTACAAAAATGGTTATTTTTTTATGCTAAGTACACGTTGCATTATTACAAGCATTAATGTTTTATTATTCAAACAAAAAAATTAAAATTAATTTAAACATTATTTTATTGATTGCTGTAATATAATCAAAATATACTTTAGTAGTTTTGAAAACATTATTTTTGTAAGCTATTTGTGTTAGTAACCAAATTTATAAATGATATAAATATCATTCTTGACATTATTTCATTATTTTCTACAAAACACAAAACGTATACTTTAAATTAAAAAAAACAAAAGATTTTATTTATAATACATTATTGATTACGCTTAGATTTACAGTACTAATAATTAATTATTAAATCAAAAAGTATAGAACTATTAATATCTAATAGCTTACAAAGTAGTAAAACTTATATATATTTTTTGGGCTAAAACATGATATTGAAACATTAAGATTCGATTATAACTTATATAACAAAATTAAACAATTTTTTAACAATTAACATTAAAAACTTTTTTTGACTATAAATATGTATGACACGAATTTTATTCGTAAGTCTTTATGTTAAAATAATAATAGTTTCCTAGATAAGAATGACTGGGTTTTGGGGTAATTTTTTCTTTTATATTATTAATGATGCAGCAAAATATTGTCGAAAAACTTACAGTTTTAAAATAATAGAATGAATTACCTCAGCTTCGAGATCACCTGAACCGGAAGTACTAGGTCGGTACGGAATCCTACAGCTAGGCGTTATGATACAAAATATTAACAATATAGAGAAATTAAAAAACATTTTACTATTTTATAAAGTATCAGCTGAAGTTAAACTTTGAGAAAAAACGAATGAATTTTACCGTCTTTGGATGCCTGTATTATATTGAATTGAAAAAAAATAAAACTAAAACTATACGAGTTGAATTTTTTAGATGCGGCACTATTTTTTAACTTGCACAAGTATGTAAGTATATGTATATGTTGTATACATACAAACATGTCGAAGAGGTGTGCAATTTTTTTTTATTTCAAAGAAAATAGTTTAGAAATTGTGTATTGCAACACCATTACGTATTATATTTAACGGACTTACATGACATCAAATACCAATACTACTAATCTCTAAGTTCCAATATGTACTTAAAATGTGTAGAAGAATATCATTCATACATTAGTGTCTCTTAGTACACTACAACTTTCCCTTACGCGTAATCATAGTTTATATTTATTAAAAATATAAAAAACTCAATTAAACACTTGAAATTAGTTTTATTTATTTTTTATTATATATACGAACACAACATAATATATTGATAAACTATAACTACAGACCCTGTTTAAAAAAATAAACTAAATGTACATAAAGCAAACAGCTTATAATCATAGTAGCTATCTTGTATTCTATCTTGTAGTAGAAAAATATTTGTTTTATTAAAAAATATATTTAAATAAATAATTTTAATTGGTTTGTGGTTTAACCCAGAAACCTAGAATATGTTCTAAAGTATTTGTAGTTTAGCTTGAATCAATTGGTAATGTCTTGTCTTGGAACAACTTATTGAAAAAGTCAAAACAGCCTTTCTTCGAACGAGGTCTGTCTGGGTTTTTAAAGTCCACCTCGTATATGCCGAATTTATCTCTGCAAAGTATAAAACGTTAGATCATATTAGATACAACATGCCCACTTCTTGATGCCCACAAATGACTAAAAACTCTTTACAATATAACATAGGTTACAGAACAGTTAGTAATTTTATAAATAGGATTGTTACATAACATTTATACGCCAAAAAGAAATGTGGTATATTTACAGTTTGACTCAACTTACTTGTATCCCATGATCCATTCAAAGGAATCCATGAACGACCAGACGCAATATCCGAAAACTTTAACGCCATCCTTAATCGCTTTATCCAACTCCACTAAAATACCCTAAAAAATAATATGATGCACCGTGTTGTTATCATTATTTTTAATTATAAACTATATTATAAGAAAATCGTATAGACTACTTAAGAGTTGTGTTTTATACGAAAATGGTTACATTTAATTATACTTTTAAAAAAATGTAATCATTTTTTTGAGCCACACTTTGTTGTAGCAAATCAAAAAATTCCATCTAGGTACTACCCTAAACTAAACGTTTATTTTTTCTGAAAAGTTAAAGGAATTGAGCAAGTAATCACAAGATTACTTAGTAGTATGTATAGCCAATCTATATTAGTAACATGTGTAGTATACTTACACGATGATAATCTATTTTTTTTTTGGTTTTTTCTTCGGCGCTTATTAATTGATCATCGGAATCCTTAAGTCCGTTTTCGCAAATAATAAATTTAGTGTCCTTCTTGCACTTTTCGCTTAACCATTTTAAAATATTGTAAAATCCATTATAGTCCTAAATAAAAGAAATTCGTTTTTAACAATTTAGTGTAATTATCAAGCCAATTTCCCAACTTACATCTATCGGAATACTAGGTTCCGTGTAGTCTCCTATGTCGATTCTTTGATCGATTTTTTTAAAATCTTTTTCTTTCTTTATGTCTTCCTCAGTCAACATGGTCACTCTCAACGCCCTATAGTAGTTAAACGCCATGAAGTCGTAAGCACCTATAAAAACAAACGTGAAATAATTATTTAATGAATTAACGCTTGGCGGTTACAAAACAAATATCTTAACTTCGGATCCTAAGTTTGAAAAAAATCGTTAAATATGAACAATATGATAATAATATATAATATATATTATATATTATGGATAAATATTGTAACTATTTTTTAATAGTTTATCATTAAACATGGTTGAGTTTTAACTTCGATGAGGAGCTAAAAAGATTTTGTTACCCAATTATTGATACTTTATTGGGTCATACATGTAAAAAAGTTCACGCCTCATCTTTCAAAATTGAAAAAAACCCAATTTTTTTACTTAAAATTACGACGCATAATTTCCTGAAAAACCTGTTGGCAAACTATTTTTTTTATTAAGGAAAAACCAAAAAAAAGGGGGGGAAATTACACTTAATCGTAGTCAATTTCTTGGTTGCTAGGGGTGAACTGTCAACAGGTATTTGAAAATATTTTCATTATATTGTTAATTCTGATATATGGGTGTAACTATGGCAATACATTACGTTAGACAGACAACCAACCCTAACCCTAATCGTATACATTTTAAAACTTATAATACATTTTTAAGTACAATGCTTTTAGATCGTTTTTTAAAACTTTACCATTACAGATTCGTTTATTTAAATTTTAGATCTGTGACCTCCATATAGCCATATTACGCCCCGACCACAATGTTCTGTTTTTTTTATCTTTTAAAGTATAATCATAAATATTTAAAAAGATCTTTCAATACCTATGAGTACTTTTTTTTCCTCGTCGGTGAACGGAACAAGTCGCCAAGTACTAAAATTTTTCCGTTCACTTGTATCTATAATAGATTCCAGGACGATTTTTGGAAATTCACCAGTTACCAACGGTTCAATGAATATACCGACCTAAATAAAAATCACAAGTATTTAACAAAAGAAAAAAAGATACGTACTAAAGATTAGTAATATATATGTTATATATATATATTAATGTCAATAGTTAATACATACATAATGTTGCAATGCCAACTCTGAGGCTTTTACATCATTTTCATTATTTTCATTTTTAGGGAACGCCCATGTCGTATCTGGGCATATGCTAACTCCCCCTAAACATAAACACAATAATATATTATTATTTAATATGTTTTTTAATGGAATTTATATAAATAATTACTCTAATAATTAAATTTTAGCAAATGTACAACGAAGTTATATGCTAACTTCAATATTAATTATATGGTACCTATTATACGTTTTTTAGCAATCAAATATCATACACACAATCAACGGTTTTAGAAGTAATAATATAGGTATGTAATTAGTAGTTACCATTTTGTGTGGGCTTAAAGTCCTTTTCGTATATTCTGTATGCCGTGGCGTGAGCAAGTAACATATTACGAATAGACAAGTAATCTCCAATGCCACTGTATGTTGCACCCAAATCAGGTCCAAATGGAGCAATGCCATAAAATCCCCCATAGCCTTCGGACACCATCCTTGGTTCGTTAATCGTTGTCCACAGTTTCACCTATAATAATAAAATGGTGTACAGACTATAATAAAAAAAATAAGAATAATTTTAAATACATTTTAACTCACTTTATCTCCAAACGTTTTAAATAAAAAACGGGCGTAGCTTGCGAAAATTCCTATTATAAAATTGTTTGTCCAACCGCCCGCCTCTTGTAGGACTTGAGGAAGATCAAAGTGATACATGGTCACCTGTGCAATTTATTAATTATATAGCTAATCATATAATACAGTTAATAGGTCTTATGTATATTCTCTATTGTGTTGCTTGACTCAAACAAATATTGAACTCTCAATATTTTATTATCAAATAATCGATGTAAAATTTATGATTCAATGTAGAAAAAAAAATACTCAAATAAGGACTTTTAAACTTAAAAACCCGGTCTTACTATTGGCTGTATGTTGTTAGCGAGTAATTTATCGATTAAATCTTGGTAATGTTGTATTGCTTCTTCATTTGGTGCATGATCGTATCCAGTTGGCAAAATTCTCGACCAACTTAACGAGAACCGATATACTTGAACCTATAAAATAATACATAAAAATTATAGTGTAGAACTAGATCAATAAGCTATATTATTATTAATATTATTATATTCGAAGCCTGACAGACTATTTTAACCCTATGTGTCCCACAGGGACACCCAGTAAGTTTCCCGAACACAATATCTTACATTAGCCCACCGGTTCCGTTTAAACAAGGCCGGTATCAAATCTAGTTGGATTGAGAACTCGAAAGAAAAATTTTTTTTTAATTTGATGATTTCAAAAATGATAGTCAAACGGTTATACTCACGCCGAGTTCTTTGAGAAGGGCGATGTCCACGTCCGTTTTATGATAGGAGTCGCACGCAATACTAGCATCGTCAACCGAAGTAATGCTTTCAACTATTTTATCCACAATCTTGAAAACAAGGGAACCTTTTGAATAACCTATAAACTTGACTCGATTTATGTATTCTTTAGGTATATCCTTTAGGCTCCGGACAGAGAACACATCTAAATATTTTTGTTTTTTTATAAACACGTCCCATATGTTTTTACTCTTTCCTGTAATAAAATATTCAAAATTACGTTTAATTATTTAAAAAGCTTATTTCTTTTATAATTGAATTGCATACACATATTTTTACACATAAATTAAATCGTATTTCTCCCAGCTGTTTCTCCATTAAAAGTTCTTTATTTTAAAATATCAAGTAAGTGTAGTAATTCAAATGAAAAAAAAAAATATTGTTGATAACTTTAAAAGTTTTATGTGAATAGAAAAAAAATGGTACGCGCTAATAGTGAGAGATATTTGTCTTAGCTATAGTTAAAGATAATATATAAGTAAATCGGATTTTATTCCCATGCGATATAATCACTTTAATTTGAAAAAGTCTATGAGATATATATTCCAAACGCTTAGTATTCAATTTTCTAACTACAACTACAACTATAACTATAATACATTCAATTTTAAACTTATCAGAATGAGCTGCTCCAGATGAAACAAAATATGTATTAATAAAATTAAAAACTAAATATTTATGTTTTTTTATTTAAAAAAATTGTCAACTTCAGCTTAATGTTTCATTAGCCACTGTGATCTCTGAAACTGATCGAGAACTTGAAGTAAATAAAATATATAATAAAAAATAATTTTATAATTATATTTTAATTTTTAATTATTAAGAGTTTAGTGTTTTGTACAGTTTTGACTTTGGCAAAATGCTCAAATTAAATGCTCAAACGCAGACCTATTCTGATATTAAAAATACGAATTTACAATAATTTTATAAGGCTAGCTATTTTACTGTAAACTGTTTAAAAAGATGTACACATAACTGATAACTCAATAATAACTATTGTGATTATTAATTTTTATTAATTATACATTAACAGAGTCCAGAGATGAATAAAATAGTTACCAAAAGGCATTTCAAATGCAAAATTGCATTTAAAATCAGAGAGTAAGAACGTGTAAAGAAATTTCATCGTGTAAAATAAATGTAAATAAAAGTTTGTTCAAAAACGTTTTTACTCACTGTTTAAAATAGTCAAGATTTTTTTTTCTTTATTAATAAATACACAATCTGTTCCAAATAGGTACAATAAGTGTATTGACTAAAATAATAGTATGACATGAAAAAAAAAAACATGATAAAAGAAGCCACCCATTGATGACACTTTTAAGCGATTAAAAATAGTCAAGATAAACACAAAATGTATAAGTAAAGTTATTTTTTGAAAGTATTCAATTTGGAATTTACAATTTTATTTTTAAATTAGGGGAAGGTGGGGGAATTGCGGCCACCTAAGCAAGAATTATAATATCTTCGGAACTATAAGTCCAGAAATTTCGTTATTTCTTGAAATCGAACTATCGAGTTTTTTTTCGGAAAAATATTCCAACAAATCACTTAATTGATAATTGTTTTTTGGTGGAAAAAAAGTTGTTTATCATTTTGAAACATCTGGTTAGGTAGTATTATTTTTTTACAACCCCCTCAGAGTAAGATTTTTCTATAAATATAACAAAATAATTTCCCAATAAAATAAGAGTTTGCTTACCGCCCTCGTCTACTGCGCCTTCAATTTGGTAAGCACTGGACGAAGCGCCGAATAAAAAATCTTTCGGAAAATCGACAGCTAAATATGTAAAAAATATCAAAAATTATTTCATTAGAAAATGTTAAATTATTTTTTTACACGTGTATACATTTGTAAAATTTAATAATAATTTTACGTTACCTGTAGTCATTTTTTCTTATTCGCGTTTTACTTTTAAAATAAAACAAATAACATTCACTTTGTGCCTGGTTAACTTTTGACTGAATGATTTGTTGATGTAAAATACTTTGTATTTATACTATTTGAAATGAACTTATTTATATTTCAGTATATCTTTTGGGTTTTCTACTCAAGCAACAGGTCAAAGACTAGTTGTATAGACGTACTGATTATGTTTTTTTTAATCAATAAAACTATTGTTATTTATCTTGAAATAAAGATAAGGAATTGTTGATTTATAAAAATGCAATACCTAATGTCTGATTTATAGACTTATTACAGGATAAAATCGTACCAGCGGTGAAAAAGTTTCTGTAAATCCTAACCGCTGCCAAATCATTTGCAGATTACTTTTTCAAGAAGTTGATGAAAAAAGTACTTTTTCAACTCCATAACGAAACTAAAATAATTACTAGATCATAAATACAATATAAGGCAACACAATACATATTTTTGCCATGCAAATATGGGTATCAAAAATATGTACTGATTATTACTCAGAAATTCTTGTTCTATTTAAAAATATTTTTGTTGATTATTTACAATGGGGTGCCATTTTTTCAATTTGACTATTTAAATTAAAATTAAACAAACTTGTGCAAAAAAATAGAAATTTAGAAGTTTGATTATATTTTTAGACTTTGTAAGGGAAGGAAATGGGGGGAGGGGGAGAGGAGATTAAGCGTGACACAAAAAATCTCACAAATTTTCTTGGTTACCTCTAGGCAAAAAAAAAAAAAACATTGAAATCAAAACCGCTTGAATTAAATACAATAAACAAAGTACTGTGCTTGTGCATAATACACGATAATCGATATAGTACTTAGTCAGTAGTTTATCGATAAGAAATTATGTTTTCCGAGAAATTATCTGTATAAATAATTTGTTTTTTTTGTATCATCAGACAATGCATAGATCTGTTACACGAACCAGACATTGTGTATTGACAAATGTACGTCAAGAGTTGTTTTTATATTAACGCACTAATCAAGAGTGTTTATCTAGTTGTTTTGCTGATGAACAGTTAATAGATGCATTTTAATCAATAGAGAAATGCTTTTTTAATCAGAAGGCTTTTAGTTTTGAATAATTATCTCTATTACTCAAATATTTATGTTCAATAATATTAAGTAATTATGACCTGTGACTTACCTATGACCTGAGGGTTATCACTAAAAAGATGAAATATTAAAAAAGATGCCGAACGCCTATTGGCGCCGTATGATAACAGCAATTTGTCTGTGTCGCTGAAAGGTCTACAATTTCTTATCTGCCGCCTAAATCAATATTAACCATTTACTTACGTTGTACAAAAGTCTTGAAACTGTAGTGCTGACAGTGAAAATATAAGAATACACCATAAATACACAATGCTATGTATACCTCTAATTATACCTCTTTGAAAATTTAAGTAAAATTTTACTAAATTTTTATTGAGTAAAATTATTTGTTATTTATTTTTAAAAATAAATTACACATTTTAATGTTAAAGTTTTGATTATATATGTAACAATCTTTAACGGCTTTTTGTTGGTTTTCCGGAAAACTATTTACTTCGGACAAACCAACAAAATTGTTAGCACAACTTTTTTGTGCACAACTTTGTGTGCTTTAAATTTTATATACATTATTAACATATAAAGTATTTTACATATTGTTTTATATGCACGTGTTCATTCCACCTCAACAAGAAATATTAGGGTATTATATTCTATTTATTAGGATGTAATGATTCTAAGCAGCGTTCTACCAAATAGGCGTACTTTATTTTTAAAGACTACTTAAATAAATGAATCAGTTTATTCAAGTTTATAAGAACTCAAGAGGGTTGTTATTTTCACAGAAAAAAATGAATACGTTTTCTTACAAAAATGACAGTTCAAAAGCAACCATTTGAATAGGTGACGATGATTCACATGTCTGTGTGTACTATTATGAAAAAATATATATTATTCGAAAACCTATCGATAATGTGTTTTCAATCATACAGGGTGATTTTGAAATGGCAATACTTAAATGGGCCACAAAAGATATAAGGCTTTTTTAAATTACTCTTATTTAGATATTAAAGCTCAAAATCTAGTAGTGTACCTAATATTATTTTTATCTGCGCCCGTCACACAATAAGCATGTTTAATATTTTTTTTTTTTAAGATTTTGATAAGATTTTTTATTTTTTAGCCGTATTTCGACGACTTTAATTTATATTTTTATAATCGATTTTGAAATGAAATATAATGCTAACTTTTCTACTGTGTTTTTTTTTATAATACTTTTACCATTTAATAAAGCAGATTCTTCAGGCGGCCGATGTTATCACAATGCACTATGAATACAAATTATTTTTAGCTAGCTTGACGCTTTTCGTATTTTTTTAATATTACTTACATTTACCGCCATGGCGTAACCTGGCCGCGGTATCTAAAATTATAAATAAAAAATGTACAATTAGTAGCTTTACTCATTTTTTTCTATTTCTGTAAAATCTCCTCGTCAAACACTCAAGTCTCAAACGGTTAAATCCCGTTCCCGTTTTGAATCGATTAACTTGATTTTTTTTTTTTTTCATTAAAAATTCCAGTTATTTAATTATACAATTATTTTATTTAATCATAAACTTTCAAGACTTGCTGTAATTTAATTTGACATATAGAATATTGTTTTAATAGAATGAGAAATACTGTAATCTTTTATGTCATACCAATCGCATATTTAATTAACTAACTTATTTCTATAGACCTTTGTATTTATATCATATATTAATAATATGATATAATATTATAATCTAACGTTAAAACATGCCTAGCGTCTCTCTGAATGTTTTTGTTAACAAAGCACACATTGAAGGTAATAGTCGCAGTCTCACTATTAGTAACTGTCTTGTAAACAAAGTTAAACGTCATTCTTTAGTGACGTACTAATAAGCTTAGCACTAATAAGTTGTTTAACAAAACTAGTTAGTGTTTTGCCATGTTAAACTTAGTTATAAACTTAACATTTGAATTTCTAATATATCTTTCTACTCAGCTTAGAAAAAACTTTGTAGTTATTGTAATTAAAAGACCAATCTAACGTATACAAAATAATTTTGAACTGTTTTTTATAACATAAACTAGATACAATTCGTTAAATTAATATTAAAATTGAACTCGACTTTACTAAGCTAACTGAAATCTTTAACATGTAACTTAATTTAATAACTCAAAAAATGTATTAAGTTCACAACTCTAGATTTAAATAACCAACATTTATACAGCTCAATCTTCAAAAAATATAATATTTTATACCTATATCAATTGACAATAAAAAATCAGTCGACGAAAGTTCCTAAAGGTACAGATTTATCGTATACCAAACAAGCAGCTAAAATCAATGCGATCTTCCACAATGTCGTTGGGATGCAGAATACTGGCGTAGGGAACGTAATGTGGATATTTGTAGTGTACACCTAGAGAGTAAGCACTGATGTACATGGAATCGGTCATAAAAGACGGTCCGGCCGAAGACCAAGGAAACATCTTATCCGTTCACAAGTCCGCAAAATTTCTTCTCAAACACTACATGGCTAACTGAAGTTAAAAAATAACTTATTATAATTATACAATAATTATCATTAGTTATTGTTTAAAATATAATTATTAAAGCCAATAATTAAGGCGCATATAATAATAATAAAAAATTGTCAACAATTGTCACATTGTCCTTCAATAAATAATTCATTACTGTACTGTTTTTGTTTATGCCTTTCATTTTAATTATGTCAAAAATATCTATAAAAATTGTAATATTAACTAATGTTCATTGTTTATAACAAAATAAAGCATAAAATTGGTAAAATACGCATATTTTTCTTTTTAATTTTTTTTCATAGTTTAGAGAAACTCAATCTTATCTTTTTTTTCAATCATAATTCATAGGTTTTATTCACTTTTATCACTTTATCTATAATAATTCCTGTAGACCTGTGACCTCTCCGTCCTCACTATGCTTTGATTCCATTATGCCTATACTCCACTGTACTAGTCCTCTCGGATAAAATCACTTTCAAACAAACCCTTTTTGCCCCTTCCCATTAAACAGAGGTGCTTGTTTAAACAAATTACATACACACAGGTAGAGTAACGGCGGTGCAGGTCCTCAGAATATCCCAATGTGTTTAACGCCTTGATAATATTATATTGTACATAAAAAGCCAATAGCGATTTATAATCACTCGCGGCTCGACTTACACATCTAAACACAAATTACGAGCAAACAATTTTTCAGACTTAAGTATAGACGCTCGTTGGCCAGTAGCCAGCGCCGTAGAAAAAAAAAATCAGCCTCTGTGCACTGTGACCCAATGAATGGAAGCGGTGTTGTGAATGTTCGTTCTAAAATTATCAGTCCGTCAGTGTTTGGCGCTCACCACGCTGGAGCGTAGGAGAACATTTTTATAATAATATTAGGTACCTATTTATTTCTTACTCCACGGCAGTCGTGCGGCCTCTGTGCGTTTCGCTTAAACCATACAAGTCATGATCGTTTCCTACAACACCGTTATCGTTTTGATATTGTTGACAGTCTACAATAGTAATTGCCAAGAAAATTCCGTCCAAACGGATGACGATGGCATCGCCAACCCACCGATCGTCCACAAGAACACTGTCAAAATCGGTATGTGACAACCCGTTTATTCACGGTTTACTGTCGTATAAGATAATAAAATAATATTATAATTCTTACTATTTTAAAGTTGTACATTCATCCCTATATATACTTACTATTGGCACCTATATTAACAGGAAATCCAAGCGAACACATGGTGGTTAGAACCGCTACGGTTTATAGGGATAATGTACAAACATCCAAAAACAAAAGTTTTAATCCAAAAAAAAAAAAAGTAACCGTTTTCATTAAATTGATAGAATCCAAAAATGCTTTACATGTTGTGCTCTAAGTTTGTATGTAGATTATACATACTGTGTAAAAAGTATAGCACTAAATTTGGGAAATATTGTTACTTATAAACATCTTAAATAAAATAATTCACGTAATTTAAAATTATAGCTTGTGAATAATAACAGAAATACGATCCAACACCTCATTCCTCAGGCAATGCTATGGCCCCAGTAACCAAATTCAATGCTTACTCCGATTTGACGACATTACCTGTAAAACCAACAAAGAGGGGTTGGGACTTGGGATTTTCACGAACCTAACTGCTTGCAGAATAATACTTCAACATTCACGATTTATCATAAATCGCATTTAAACAATTCACTATCCATAGAACTCGAGTTCCTTCTATAATATTACCTTTACAGTTTACTATAGGTTTTGTATTGTATGTCCTTTACAGTGGCAGTGTTCCACGAAGACGATGATACGATTAACCGGTTAGCATACGATGTTAGTGCAAGGACGATCAACATAATGGATACTGTGCTACCTAAGACTAACATTGTGCCCAGGTCCCAATACGTCATGTACGACGTGCACAACGTGACAAAAACCGGTAAGTAAACACAAAGGTTTATTTCTACACGTCTATTAAAAATTATATGTATAAGAATTATCTTCTTCATGGCTTTTTACGGGCCATCTAGGTTCATTGCCGCAACTACCAAATACCTACTGCTCCTAAACACTCTAATTATATTTGTATCTCCATACAGTTCTTATCTTTTTCTCGGCTTGTTAATTTCTTGTTTACTCCTAGAGCGTTTCTTTTTGGTCCAAATATCCCCCTAAGAACATTTCGTTTAAATGTACCTAATTTAGTTCCATCTGTCTTTGTTGTTGCCCATGCGCCATATGTATATATGACTATCGGTCATAATCTAAATAAGAAACAACGAGGATTACCTAAAGATTTATAATATTTATATGATTTTTACATTCTAATATCTGATTAGTGGGGTCATCAAACAATACATTAGTTTTTGACCGAGCTTTTTGCAGTTTTTTCGAATGTGCATTGTATTATATTTGCTTGTGTAATGCATAGTTTGCGACTCGATGAGTCCCGGAATCGCCTCGTTTGTCGGGGGAACCTACGAAGAATATGTAGAAAACATCATCAGATCAATCAGTACACATGCTCAGATACCGTTTATCGAGACCCATTGGAAGACATCACCGCGGCCGGCTGATCCATACACGGTCAATGTCTACCCGGATCCATCGCTTTTGGCGAAGGTAATTGAAAAGTTCATTTGCCTCGATTCGTATTATACATCGACTCCTGTTGCTTTTCACAGGCCATACGGGATATAATACTCGACATGGATTGGACTTCTTTTACGGTAATCTACGATCGGCCGACCAGTATGATTCGACTGAAAGCGCTGTTGGAATCGTTTGATTACGGAAACTTTTCGCCAACGAGAGCAGTGAAATTTAAACAGATATTGCCTACAGAAGACTTTCGGTAAGACGTGCCCTATAACGACGACGTCACTTGTATTCAAGTAGAAAGCCTTTTTAAAAAAATCTACATATATATTGACCTAGGCCGCTGTTTAAAGAGCTCAAACAGTCGAATGAGAAGCACATAATTTTAGACTATGACACCGACAATATAATTGACGTGTTGGCGCAAGCCAAAGAAGTGGAGTTCATGGGCGACTACCAGAGCTACGTCATCACAAATTTGGTAACGCAAACCAAATAATATTACCTATTAAGGATAAATACTTATTGCTCGCTGTGCGTCAATGACGTGGCGGCAATGGTTGCTTTCAGGATGCGCACACGTTAAATTTCGAAGATTTTCGCAGCGTCAAATCAAACATAACGTTGATTCGACTGGTCGATCCGGAAAACCCGCACGTGGTGAACGCAGTAAACGAAATAGTTTTCAACGAGCAAAAAAAAGGTCGGTTGTCGAGGTTGACGCCGAACACCATGAAAGTATGCTAAGCCATTTCTATTTGAAATATTTATATTACACCGACAAATTTTCTAGAGCTAGACAACTATACAAGTTACTATTGTTATTCAAATATCTATGGTATTTTTATATTCTCGCGTTTCAGACCGAAACAGCTTTGATGTATGATGCAGTGAATTTGTTTGCCACGTCTTTGCACGGCCTAGTGGCTACACAATCGATGAAATCCCAGCAGATATCATGTAGACGTATCCAGCCTTGGATGCACGGATTCAGTCTAATCAACTACATGCGAGTAGTGAGTGTCGAGACTTTTTATTGAGCAATGACTGGCTGCCCAACAACGAACGCTATACATACTACAGTGTATATTGAATCTGTGATCGCAATTACATAGGTGGAGCTGGACGGACTGACCGGTAAGATGAGGTTCGACAACGTGACCGGCAACAGAAACTTCTTCAAGTTAGACGTGGTCAAAGTGCACGACAACACTATGCAGCGGTTGGGTTCGTGGGATCCCGAACGCGGTATGTCTTACACTCGAACGGCTTCGGAGATTTACTCGGACATCGTGCAATCCATCACCAACAAGACTTTCGTGGTGGTCGGCAGAATTGTAAGTACGGCACGTACTTGTGTATTGCGAAAAGAGTATTCATTTAATTTGTCTAAACAGGGAGAACCGTACCTGATGAAATGCAACGGAACGACGGAGAACGAATTAGACGTGAGCGACCGGTGTTTCGAAGGATTCACCTACGATTTGATCTCGGAGATGGCTAGTTACAATAGGTTCAAGTTTAAGTTCATTACTAACGGCGAATACGGGTCCCTGCAAAAGAACGGCAAGTGGAACGGAATGATGGGCGACCTACAGTCTATGGTTAGCGGAACGAGCTGGCTGCTCTATGGTGCAGTTACGATTTTAAAAGCTCAAATGTAGATTTTGTTTTTTCTAGAAAGCCGATCTGGCCATATGTGACTTGACGATTAACTTCGACCGTAGCCGGGTCGTGGACTTCACCACGCCGTTTATGACCTTGGGCATAAGTATACTATATGCCAAACCGGAGAAAAAAAAACCGCAGCTGTTCTGGTTTCTCAACCCGCTGTCGTTCAGTGTCTGGATGTACACAGCCACTGCGTACTTAGGCGTTTCTCTGTTTCTGTTCATGTTGGCCAGGTAAATACCGGAATGACGACGTGGGCGATCACGATTGCGCGGCCTCGTCAAATGCATAAAATATAATAATAATCACATTTATTATTATATATTTAGCATCGAATAAATGACAACGATCATAGTTCGCCATACTTACTACATTAGCCGTTCCTCCAGCTGCTTCAGTTCAGCACTTGTCTACAATAAAAATAATTGTTTTTAATGGTTTAATTATTCATTTATTTTTGTTTGTTATTAGAGCAGTAGATAGATAATTAATTGATTGGTATGCTTTGGCGTTTGAGTTTTATAGTTATATTATTCCTTAACATTGCTTAGGCCCAGCTAGATTTGAGAAAACTTAAGCGGTGGAAAATAGGTCCCGAGATACGTTGTTTTTTTTACATACCATAAAATGAATTAATTCTTTTTAGTTTATAACAACAATAATAAGCATTATCACAAATTATAAAAAAAAAATCGGGGTGTTCCAACATAGTTTTAACCGTAAAGGCGCTTTAGGCGATTTCTTATTTCAAATTCATGTCAAGAATTATTTTCCCTCTAAAATATTGATTTTCCACTTTATTTGACTGGGATAGGGAAATTGTGCATTGACCAAACTATGTATAATATGTTCTGGATATTGGAAAACGAAATTCGTAATTTCCTATTCCCTGTGTATCTATAACGACTGTGGACAAATTGAATGCGCCAAGTAAGCTCGCTTATGCCCCCTATAGTTGTGCACAGACTATTATCATTACATTTGGACGCACCAACAGCTCCGTCGCCGTTTTTCAGAGTAACGCCATTCGAATGGGAAAGCCCACACCCGAGCAAACCGAACGATGACACGATGGAGAACTCGATGACGCTGCTCAACTGTCTGTTTTTTTCAATGGGCTCGGTGTTGTGTGCAGGATCCGAGATCTTACCCAAGTGAGCGCAACTGCTGAGAACCGCACTCGTCGTGCAATCTTTAAATTAATATTTACTACATAATACCTATAATGTACCTTTATATATGTTATTTTTTGCATTTATCTTCTCCGTATTAGCCGGCTTTAGCTTTAGCCTTTACATGTTTTAAACGTTGTCCAACGTATGCTTTAGACCATACTAACGCATGTACATTTTGTTGAGCGAACCTTATATTGTGGACACCGCAGACATAGAAAATAATAGCATTGTTCTTTTCTGTGAATACTTGTAAACTAAATAGATACCTAGCAGCTATTCACAATTTACCATGACCGGCGGCCGTTGGTTGCGAGTGTCCTGGCGACTATGACGCTGCGGGAGGCCGCGTGTCAGTATTGCGATATCACATCCGTGTATATTCTTACAATATCTTAGTCCACGTGCGACCATTTCAAAGTCGGTTGAATTGATTGTTCGCAGAATCACGCCCAACGAATGGCACGATCCGCAACCGTGGAAAAACGGTAACAACGAGCTTGAGACTAAGCTTAATGTGGCTAACCTGATATGGTTCAGTTGCGGCACCATGTTGCAACAAGGTTCTGATATATCACCTCAGTAAGCGAATAATATTATTAACAAACGAGAAAATTTATGTAGCTACGTCACAAAGCCACCGCAATTACCCTAAGTAGGAATTTATTTCGGAGAGAGCAGCAAACCTTTGTTTCCTGAAATTTCTGAAAGGGCTTCGGCCCCCTCAACTCTTTCTCTAATTATGCCAATGAGTTATCCACCTATCGCACATCGTTATAAAGGTAAATTTTAAGGTTTACTGTAGGTATATTATTGCCTTAGAACTCATATTCCAAGTAGCATAATGCATGTATCCAAGTCCATATTGCATGGAATTGAATTTGTATGGGAGGTACCTAATACAATTTTCTAATCTTTATTATTAAATTAATTAGGTATAATAATAGAGTGAAGGTATAGGGTCAATCCGGTTAGAATTCAATAAAAACATACCTAATGTAAACATTTATGAATCGAATATCCAATTTTCTATACGAGCCAATCGAAAATAATTATACCTATCATCGTTATGCATACAAAAATGAAATTCGACCCACAATTCGAAATACTTATACCCACTCGGCACTTGATTCATATTTTTATTGAAACTCGGTAAGCACTATACTATTACTGAAATTGCACTCTTTTCTTTTTTTTTTGTCGCTCGTCGTAACAGAATTAACTTGGCTATGTGATATAGACTCGCATATACACACCTGTACACAGCATAAATAGCACAATATGAACGTCTTCACAACCTATCGCAGACTAACATAACACAGAATAAAAAAAAAAAACAAATAACATTATCTAATGATTAAATATTTACAAATTACACTTGCCTACATTTTTCCCGTTGCTTCCTATTATACTTGCTCAAGACATTGTATCGATTGTATGTATCACGACTAAATTGCTGCTAGGGCGGTGTCCACCAGGCTGGTGGCGGGCATGTGGTGGCTTTTTGCCCTGATCATGACCTCGTCGTACACCGCGAACCTGGCGGCTTCCATAACCAGCGGCCGCCTGGACACGCCCATCAAGAACGTCGAGGATCTGTCCAAAGAGTCGGACATCCAGTACGGTTGTTACCGAGAAGGGTCGACGGCCGGCTTTTTCCAGGTCCGAACGGCAGCTGTCGGGGTGTTTTTTTTTTTTTTTGTTAGGTCCGCTAACCCAGCTATGTCGTTTTGTAGAAGTCCAACTTGAGCCTTTACCAGAGAATGTGGAGCGTAATGGAATCGTCCAACCCGACGGTGTTCACGAAAAGCAACGACGAGGGCGTGGACCGCGTGTTGAAAGGCAACGGCCGGTACGCGTTCCTGATGGAATCGGCCACCATCGAGTACCAGACGGAGCGCCACTGCAACCTCATGCAAATCGGCAACACGTTGGACTCGAAAGGGTACGGCATCGCCATGCCCATGAGTGAGTAGACATAAATAACCGCTGTACAGTGGAGTCGGGAGGTTATACAAATATCACCTTTATAATAAAGGTGATATTTGTATCGATAAAAGCATTGTAATACAATGACAATAATGTGCTTAAAAATGTATTTCCGCTATTAGAGTGGATGAGATTGGGGTTGATCGTATTTGTCTATAATAATTGATTACGTTAGTATTACTTGTAAATGTCGTAACTAACAATATATAATGAAAATATTTTCAAATATCCGTTGATCCACTCACACATAGCGACCTATCAACTGACTACGGTGTCGTAAGACAAAAATAAAATAAAATAAATACTCTAGACTCTTGATGTACACTGGTGAACACTGGTACAAGAGTGAAACGGATTGCTGTCCGGGTTCTTCGCGGATGTCGAAGAGCCGTTGTTTATACTGGATTAAAAAGAATTAGAAAGGATAGGTACAAGGTGCGAACGAATCGCAAGACACGTGTGTGTAGAGAGAAAATATAAGGTGCGAACGAATCGCAAGACACGGGTACTTTTAAGAAAGGAATGTGCACTGTGCGAACGAATCGCAAGACAAGTGCACAAGGAAAGAGGATAGACTACTAGGTGTTAATGAACGAACTCTCGAACTTAAACCTTGTAGACGGACAGCGACAACCGAGGTAAATTCGACTGACAAAAATATGATTGAATCTGATTGTCTTTTATACAGTTTTACAATTTGCAATTCAGCGTTATTGTTAATTTAATCGTTTGGTCATCAGTCTCAAGTCGCCGGAAGCACTGCCCGCATTTATTTAAAAACATGTAACCTATATTGATGACGTGGTCATCATATAACAACGGTCAAAGACTAAAAAGTAACTTTGCTACCTTTTCTTTGGTTTTTTGAAAGAAAAAAAAGTTTGACGACATTTGTTGTGAAAATCGTATATGCAATAGTTCCATTCTGGTCTATTTTCAGACCCATATCCTTAAAACTTCACCTAAAAAAGCGATATAAAGAAAACGTTTCCAAATTCCACCCCTTCTAGGGCAAAGAGTTTATTATTTGTTTTTAATTTTTCAACATTTATCGATAGTAATATACGTCTAAAGAATATTCTATACAAATTCTGAACGAATTTAAAGAGCGCCTTAATTTTAAGTTGAAAAATATGTGGGTTCATTTTTGGGTGTTTTTTTCGATATCGAAAGGGAAGGGGTGAAAGTTTTTAATTTTTGGCCCAACATAGTATATTTTAGGCACGATTTCCGATTTGTAGAGTTGCTACACAAAGGAATCGGTTCAGCGGCTTAGAAGGTATCGTGGGTCCAGACAAAAAAATAAAATATAACATTATCATTGTAAAAACAATACCTTCTCAGCTATGCATCGAAGCAAAGCAAATTTAGTTGGATTACATCTTACCGCATTGTTCCAAAAACAACAGTAAATATCTACTATTTTGTTTAAGATTCTCCGTACCGGACCATAATCAGCGAATCAGTGCTGAGAATGCAGGAGTCCGGATTTCTCAGAGAGCTGAAAGACAAATGGTGGAAGGTCCAAGGACATAACAAATGCGAGGCAAGTACCGTACACTTCAAATTTGTAAGGCAACGTAAAAAATATATGAAGAGTGAATGTGTCAAACGTTCCAAGTGCCAAAGTATAAAAATTAAACTTTATAACTTGATTTGTATTTTATTCATTACCGGAAACACTTTAACATATTTTTGAGTTTTAAATATGATTGTTTTTTTTTATAAATAACTATTATTTATTTGAAAAATTTACAAAATTGTTTCCGGTAATGAATAAAATACAAATCAAATTATAAAGTACAATTTTTATACTTTGGCACTTGGAACGTTTGACACTTTCACTCTTCATATATGGTCACCCTGATCGGTTTTTTACTTTTTATAAACTTTCCAAGTGGTTTTAAAGTAAAATCACTTGCCATACGTTGAATTGGATGTTTAATGGATGTTCAACGTTAAATTTAGTGTAACGATGTTAAAACTATTTATTCTATAAATAAATAAATTTGAAAAGCAGGTTTTAATATTCGGAAAACCCCTTCCCATTTAATAGATACTTATTAAAAATTCGTCAGGGCATTCATTATTGATTATTCTATAAATTTGATGATGGAAGTTTTTGCTCTATAAAAAAAATTTAATTAATTAAAATCAATAAAGAATCCTCATGGCTGTACTAATAAAATATATACTTTAGTAATAGCTTAAAACTAAGGTTTTTTTTAGAAAAATCGCCTTTATAAAATAGAAATGTAACATCCACTAAATAGAAGTCTAGCTGTAATTCGTTATTTTTGTCCACAAACAGGAAGAGGTGGAGAGCGACGAATTGGGATTGCCAAAGATCGGTGGCGTGTTTGTCGTGCTTATACTCGGTTGCCTTATAGCATTCTTGATTTCTATACTAGAGTTCTTATGGAACATACGAAAAGTGGCTATCGAAGAAGGGGTACTATTTTTGTATTTGATTCAAACGCCACAATTATTGCAATAGTACAAATGCATTATATTTTAGATAACGCCTAGAGAAGCACTAATCCTGGAGTGGAAATTTGCCATGGAGTGCAATGGAGTGGTAAAACCGTTAAGACGACGTCATAATTCATCGGAATATGAAATAACCAATTCCAACACAACCATACATCAATAATTTACTAAAAAAAAACTATTGCACTTAAGTTTGCTCGTTACATCAAACATAGTCAAAATAGTAGTAACCATAAATTTAATTGGTACTTGCATTTAAACAGTAGCTTCTAGTGATACGGTTAAAATCCGAGTAAGTATTGGGATATTTAAATCTGGATTTATCGAGCAAACGTAGTTTCTGAAATTTAACTTGTTTCCCATCGTATAATTTAGTGTTTTGTAATATTTTACAAATAAGTTTTCAAAACAATTAAGTATTATTTAAAATAAATGTAAATAAAATATAAAAGTATACAATTTAATATTCATAGAATACTTATCATAATGATGACACCAATTTATGGTTTCAAAATTGTTTGGTAATTCGTAAGTACATTTACTAATATAAGTTAAATAGTCATAGTATTAGTAGAACATGTCTAAAAAAAATTAAAACCAATCCGGAGATTAGAGGAAACATTACAAAAATATATATTATGTCATATTAATTATAATACATAAAAATTATTTACTAAAAAACACTTATATAATATATAAATATTTACATAAAATATGTAACTCACAAATAATATTAATATTACTTTTGATTGTATACAATATTTAAATCACAAAATCCAGTCATATTTTAGGCACAATTTATTAGAAAAAAATGTATTCCCATAAATCTCTTAAATCTCAATTTATGTACATTAATTATTTACACGTAATAAATTATTTCATTATTGAGCTAAGATTGAGTAATTAGAATAAAATACTTGAGCACCGTTTAGATTTAACATGATACTTTGTTTTGTCATTTTTTAAAAAGTAAATAGATTTTAATATTATATTATACATTAATTATAATTTGTATTATAAGTATATACATTTAAACATAAAAACTATATATATGTATATATATATATTATGGTAACTTTATAACATCAATACTACGTTTATTTGAGTAAACGATCCACAATTGAACAAAATATATAATAGATGTGGAAATTATATAAGACCAATCATTGGAAATGTGTATGAACAATCAAGTATAAGAGTAAAGAAATTATTGGAGAAAGAATGTCTGGAAAAGTTGAAAATAATAACACTACTATACAAATCTTAAGTGTTAAAAAAAAAAAAAATAGTTAAAAAAATAAAATTAAAATTGATTACAAAATGCAAATAATTATAATAATAATAATAATAATAGTAGCTATCGATACTGATGACTGAAAATCGAAACAAAATTCTTTGAGTTCCGAAACGAGTTGATCAGATATCGATAGGCCAGTGGACGCTACCTGGGAGCTGACGATAAACTCAAAATCGATGTTTTATTTTTTCTATTTGGTTGAACCGACATTGGAGGCGATGGGTATGTATGATTGTTGGTCGACGACATTTCCTAAGAGAAAATTAATTTTGATAAATACATTTTATTTAAAACACATAACACAAGATTTTATACCATAACCAATAATAATATTAAAAATACTAAACAGTCATAAACATATATTATTATTGTGTTAGAAATACATACATTTATAAATAAATATATATATATATGTGAATAAATAAATTGTTTTATTAAATAACACTGTACAAAGCATATAAATAATAACATGTAATAAGAAATTATTTTCACATTAATATAACAAAAACATACCGATAGTGGAACGGCAACAAAAAACTTTTTAAACAAAATTTAGTTATTTAACGACATCAATGACAAAAATTTGTATTTATAAGTCTAGCTGTATTGGTCTATTTTTTAAATTTTACCATTGTAATTTTAAACTCCTTGTAAGTATTGTTAACATTTTTTAATGACCGATTTTTTGCTTTTTCACTCTCAATAATATACAATCTACACTCGTAAAAAAAATGATTCCGAAAAAAAAAACCAAATGTGAAATTACATAATAAATAAAAATATACTCAAACTATTCTTAGATACCCCAATTTTTTTAGGGAAATATTACAAAAAAAAGATTTTTAAATGAAAAAGTGTTGTTGAATCTATAAAAAATTCACTAATTCATAATAAAATAATTAATTGTTAACGCGTATATTATTTTTCATCTCTTTGTAAAAACTAAGTAATGAAAAACCAATTGCTTTCTTAAATCGAAAAAGTTAAGGGCCCCCCTCAATAGTAAAATTTTTATAGGTAATTTGTACATTATACATTATTAAAGAAGCGATAACACTTATCTAGGGACTCCTAGCTGTTCGCTCTGCTGGGTCATTTATGTCATTTGTACACACGCGCATGGGAACAATCAAAATCCAAGACTTTGCCTGAAGGTGGGGGGGGGGGGATTTACGGACCTCCGAGTTAGACCTAAGTCCTGAAAATTTTAGCTTGTTCTGTTAAATGGTTCTGAAGTTATGTACATATATACTAACATACAAACATTTATATAAACAGTAGTCTTTCGGTAATCCAACAAATATCAGACTAGAGGACTACTGGATTAGTGGAGGTTTATTAAAAAAATTAATTTTACTAACAAAGCTATGTGTTTATGTATATATGTTTATTTGTTTTTAGTGTACAAAATATTATGGGCTTTATTTAACTATATTAATATTTACACATACTTTTGTTCATTAAGTCAATAAGTGTGAATTTTTCGCTTGAAATTACAATTTTATCGCTATTGTTGATTAACTGAATAAAAATTTAAAAAAAAAGGGCGGATTACTGGATGTGTCGGATTAATATATAGCCAAATTACCGAGAGACTACTGCTGTATACATAGATGTTAACGAAAATGTTGACATGCTATCTCACATCTAGACAATGGTCTATTAAATCTAGACAATAGTTTGTTAAAGCTAAGCTTGGATCAAGTTTCCGTTTTTCCCACCTTTTTATAATTTATACATGCACAATATTAAATAAAAAAATAAATCAAATAGAAACCATACTAATTTGTATAGCAGGTTAATTGCCACAGTAAGCTTTGACGAATAGCTAAAGTAATTTGTGAAGTACCTTAATTAATTGAGATCCAATTAGGTATTTTTTTTTTAAATATATAATTAAATATATATATAATTTTTTTTTTATTTTAGCAAAAAGACAACACATGTTATCTTCTTTATGAGGCTGCTGGCTGGAATATCAATGAGTCGTACACAATTTAGAATTATGTGTGACACTATATATTTTGACATCTTATATTTTGTTAGTGCGTCTACGAGTATGTTCATTTAATGGGCTCACGTTTAGAGTGGTGCAAGACGCCAAGTGCATGTTGGCCAGCTGCGTGGACGGTGTTAGTGCATGTGTTCCTGGCCCATTATTTGTTAAGCCGAGCACGGGACTCATCATTGTTGAAACAGCTCGTTTAAGCTTACTTGGTGTCTTATTGAAACTTAGAGCCCGGCCTACTTTCATACGAGTTCTGCTTGCAAATCTTAAATGACAAAATTAATTTCATGGTATTATTAATCATGTTTAATCACAAAAATATTTTCGAAGAACTGAACAACTTACTTGAATGCTTTTCCTAGTGTACCGGTCGTGATTTCACTTGTATCAATATCCAACTGTTGAGAATCCAAAGAAATCAATATATTTCCCTGAAAATAATAAAAGGTTTAAAAACAACAATTTATCACAAAATAAAACCACGATTACAGAATGTTAGTATTTACTTACAGAGCAATTTGTGTTGGCTACTTGCTGAGATATATTTTTTAAAAATAAATTTTTGTTATTGTTATTACAATTACTTCCAGTTAAAGTAAATGTATACAACCGTTCTTGAAAATCATGGTTATCAATAATCATTAATGAAAATGCATTACGACAATCTGAAATATAAAAAATAATTATTTCAAAAGTTAATAATTTAAGCGTATGGAACAAATAAATAGTTAAAATAAATGTACACATACCATCAGTCTCTTTGATGTCTATCACTTGTTTGATAATATTTAACGGCATTAGCTTAATATGTTTGTACAATTTGGCACCGTTTAATTTGTGAGAACCCGAGTTCGGCTCCTTAGGACTTTTTCCATTAAATGATTTTCTTTTTTTACAGACCTATTATTTGAAACAAATGAAATTTGATTACATGTGCACAATTCGTACGTTAGGTTTGAAAACATTACCTCTACAATGTCAGAAAAAACAAATATTGTCAAATGATCACCACGGCCACTAAGATTGTCGCTGATTTCAATCACATCACATTTTGTGATAAAACTTCTATGTGAAGAGACTAAATGAGGCTAAATAAAAAACAAATTATTTATAAATTTATAAAAAAATCGAATTATATAACATTATTTAAATGGTATTTACAGGACAATTGTCAATTTCATTGAAAATATCAAAAAGAACAACTTGGCCTTCAGTCCTTCTTTTGTCTTCATTTATATGGGTCATAATTTCTCTTATACTAGCCAAAGCTGATACGAGAGCTACATGGTCTGGATTATTTTTGTCTGAATGTTTTAGTATGTCTAAATAAAACAAAAATAAAATATTGTATTAATTCTTATTTGTAAGAATTTTTTTTATTACAAACATATTATATTGTAGTTAAAGTTTATAGACAAAATTATGTAAATGAAATATAACATTTTGTGTAAAAAAATTAATTTAATTGTGCAATTGGTTCAATAATGTGCCAAGAATCAATCCATAAATGTTATCTTACGCCTCACTACTGTTAAACTAAACTAGCGATTCTTAAATCGAGGATTTGCAATTTAAAGAGTTTACATAAGGACTAATATAATACAAAACCTTTCACGCAATGAAGAGTTAATATGGTTAAGACAATTGTCATAGGTTATAACTAAATGTTAACCTTTTGACATGAGACCATAATATTTACCATTTAAAAGTAGACTAATACTAGGTAGTCGTTGAACAGGTCGTATGAGAAGTTCTTGGAGACTTTGGCGGCAACATTCTGGTCTTGTTTGACCGACTTTAAGGAATGCATGAAAACGGGGTTTTGTTTGGTCACACTGTAGAAGCATCTCACGTGTCTTTTCAAAAAAGTTTACAAATGGAGGATAAGCTTTTACTAGCTCGTTGGACTGTAGAAATACGACAACATTTCAATTAATACAAGTTATCATGTTTCAATTGATTATTATCAATAGTTTTGGGTTTACATAACATAACTTACGTATTTCAAAAAAACACTGCCTATGCTACTATCTTCTTGCCAAGTGCCAGCGAGACACTTCAGTTCTTCTAACATTTCTCGGTGTACTTGATAAATGGGTAAAACATTTCCGAAAATAATTTTTATCTCTGTGTTATTAAGTAAATAATCTTCTTTATCAACCATTTCTTCTAAAGGTTCTTTATACACCTGATGTGTTTAACGAAACAAAATATCAAAAATAATATAAACAATGTAGTATATAAATAAAAATATATTACAGTTAATACTATCTATAAGTACTTACAGTAATGATTGTGTTTAAAACTCCTACATAATTTATTTCTGTTTGCAATAATTCAGAAAAAACTTGATACCTAGGACTAAATGGCTTATCCTTTAAAACTAAATCTGGATCTAAAAAAATGATTTTACCTAATTCAATTAGATTTATTCTAATGAGTTGAAAAAAAATATATTCTAGACAAACCTTTAGGATGCTTAAAAGGTGACGGATCAGGGCTAGTAGTAAAATTTAAAAATGATCCACAGGATAATCTCAAACCATCTAAAGTATTAGCCGCTGAAGAACGCCGTTTAGACGGACCTGAACAGCTAGTCGGAGATGTTTCACCAATATTTGTTGAAGTAGTTGGACTGGACTTTAATAATGTACTGAACCGGTCTAATTGTCTTCTCCTCTTCCTTGTACGAGACGACGAGCTTAATGTCAAAGTAGACGATAAAGCAGATGTTGGCGTATTAGACACATTCAACTGAAAAGCGTAAGGAATCAATATTTTGGCGTCATCACTAACTAAGCTAATGCATTGTTAAAAAAAAAAAAACCTTAGAATTTTAATTTTATGTTCTTACATTAGTTAAAAAATATTCTTTAATTAATGCACAACTTTGATATTGAACTGACGTCCAAAACCAGGCTTCTTTCACCACTTCGGCATTGTTTTTCTTTACCATAGGAATTGATTCTACTGAAGATTCATTTACCACCTAAAAACAGCAAATCATGTAAAAACTTAACTATTAAATATAACATAATGCACAAAATACTTATACAAATAATTAGATAAAATATACAATCCAGTGAAATATATTTTATGAAAATAATTAAAATTCTATTGTTCATTAAGGTTATTTTGTTTTCATTAATTTAGATTAATACGCATTAACTAAATAGTTTTCAACATTTTACAAGATGTTTCTTTTATCCTTTATCAGTGTTCAAATATAAAGCTTATGCTGGATATAGTTATTAACGACTAAAAATAACTAGCCGATACCCTCTCGGGAATCATCACCTTTCAAGTTAAATGTATGTAAATGTAGCGGTGGAAGAAGAATAGAGTTAAGTGAGCTAATAAAGTTGCAATTAAAAATAATAATACTGTTCAAGCAGTAAGCACTCCCCGCCCCTCTTTTTTAAACAAAATTATCTTGCCTCCATTTATAGTAAATAATAAAAAAAATACCTGAACAACATTAAAGAGATTATGAAAAGTGCATATTTTTAAGGCTTATAGTGTTAGTTGCAATATATTACAAGCAATGTTGTCATACAATTTACTAAAATTTTAATTTTTAGTAAAGATACTTAATAAGGAATAGTTTGTTACATTAGATAAGTAAAAATTAAAGTTTTTATTTTCCACAAGGATGCATTATGTTCTTAAAAAATTAAATCACCAAGAAATTATACTTTTGAACAAGTGTGAGTGTGTCAAAGGGGTTTGCTATAGTTTTTTACTATCAATTTTAATTATGCTTTTAGTCAAAGGTCATTCGATAACACTCGATTACATTTAGTGCATAGAGCCACAAAACGAAAAATATATTTATTTTACTAAAAAATTAGAAATTATTAATACATATAATTAACATTAATTATTGCATTTATTTAACATAATCTAAATTGTTTATAATTTAAGTTTCTCAGTAATCTGTGTTAAGTGATTATTAATGTTAATATGCAAAAATGCATTTTAGTGTCATGTTATCATTATAAAAGTCACACACCTTACATAAATTTAAACATGCTGCTACAGTTTAAAATATATCTATGCACAAATATAAATGTTATTTATACATTATAATATTATAAAGTAAGACTTTGTAGTGGACAAACATTAATAGCTTAGAGTCTGTAATTAACTGTCACCGATGTCAGAAATGTATGTAGGTGTTAGCTGATTACTTGCCAAAAGAAATAGTTATCACCCCGTATTTTAATACACTGCATTAACAAAGTTGTCTTTCATATTAATATATATTTTTTTTTAAACAAAATTAAACTATATTATTTTCTAAAAATATAATTTTTACATCGTCATTTAATTAACTACACATTTGAAATCATTAAAAAATAACAAATAAAATAATTTTATAATAAATTACAATCACAATTATGATTGACAATTAGCAAAAACGTAGAAACTTTAATTAATGCAGTTTATTTTGACTTGTAATAAAACCATATACTTTTTATGTACAGGATTATGATGTTTGAATAATAATAATCTATACTCTGAATTAAGCTAATAGTTACAAATTAAAGAATATTGAGAAAAAAAAAAACATAATATTGTAAATTGCACAATGAACGTTAAAAGGTAAATGATTAAGTAAATATGTCTACTACATATTATGGTACATACTATACAATAGTCAAACAGATAATAAAGAAAATAAATTAGAGAAGAAATAAGAGATATTTTAATAAAGAATACTTTTGTTAGGCATATTATTATTTTAATAGAAAACAATAAGTTCGATGCCACATACATTTTTCCAACTACTTTAGACTATTCAAAGAGTATGTAAGGTTTTTATTTTAAAAGAAAAATATGTACCGAATTGCAGCAATCCATTTGATCCAAATGTGCCGATAGAGGATTAGGATGTTTAAACAGGTGCTTGTTGCAATCTGAATCTATAAAACGCTTCTTCTTGATTTCATGTAAATTACTCGTGTCACTCACACTGAGTGTTCTTTTTAACCCCCCCAGCCTAGTATTAGGACTGGCAGATTGGCTATCCTCTTTTTCTAACGTTTTGGTTAGATTTTTAGGAGCCAGTACACCTCTTAAGCATGGTGTAGTATTTGGTTCTCGATTTCCTAAAGGACTAGAGGCGGCACAGGCAAAGCCTTCCTTTGTAACCTGACATGCAAAAAAAAAACATACATAACACCAACAAACACATAATGTTAATAAACAAGCCATTTCCTGTAAAATGATTTTAAAAGCTTTATTTTGTTAGTAACATTTTTTGTCCCATGTCATATATTTCTAAATGTGAATCAACAATAATAATAATATGTAAAAAATTGTAATTAGTAAAAAGATTAGTGACCTGTGCAAAGCAAAAGCAATGTCTAACAAGTATATTATTAAAAAAAACTTTATTGTTTCCCACACTTAACTTAATGATTCATAATTTTTAATAATCAAATATAACTTGTATTATATTTATTATGTTTACTGTCATAAACATGTTGAAATACAATTATTTTGTCAAACTTTTTTAAAAATGTAGCAATATAATCTAATAATCATATTGGCCTTTGTTGTTTGTACATTAATTTTATTCATAATATAAAACGGTAAAATCTAGTCATTTGACAAATTGTTTGATTTCAAACCAAATCAAGCTTGGGGAAGTTAAAAATATTGAGTGAGATTTTTTATTAAAATTAATAACTTGAGGATAGCTTTGCTTAAGAATCAAATCATGAAACAATATGATCCCAAAAATTATGACATCATATTCCTTTAGTTTACTATCGAAGTAAATATAATCATGTCAGCCATCCACCAAGTAATATGTCACAATTTATTGTACAATAACGTTGTACAAATAACTGTTCGTTTTGTGAATCTTTTGCATTTTCTCAGATAAGGAAAGTAGAGTTTGAGTTTGGTTTTAACTCAAAAATCAGGGTTTGTCACAGCACAAATATTAATATTCTTATAAGTTACGCATAAAAAACAATACTTACTAGATGAGTACACTCTGCATCATTTTCATCAACAGGAGTTCCTCCATTTTGCAACAAAACATCGACCATATGAGTTCTTTCTTCTTCGGTAAACCCAGTAAAACATATCTTAGCACCATGGAATGGTTTTAACTTATGTTCCGATACCTTAAAATAAACCAAAGCAATGAATGTAATATTTTATGAAACAAGAGCCATCTTTATTTATTATAGTAATATCATACAAATGATGAGTTCGAGGCCAAAAACCCTAATTCATTGCGCCTTTTCCAAGCTTCGTGTAACCAAGATGATCCGACAACTGGAATTTCGTGTAAATATGCATACTGAGATTTAGCACTGCAAGCATAGCCAGACACCAAAAATGTAGTCTTGTGGTTAATGTTTTCTCGAAAACTACCACCCATCCAACGTATTAAACTTAATAGACGAGCCTAAAAATGATAATTAAAATTTATATCACATAATTAATAACAATAAAAATTACTGTTAAAATATTACCATTTCATCTCTCTTTTGAATTCCAGTAACGCTGACAATAGCACCAACTAAGGCATTGCAATAACGATGCCGATTGATACCTTGTAAACCATTTGGACTAACAGCCAATTCTAATAAAGCTGGTCGCCCTAGTATTCTGTGTTAAATAAAAAATATAATAAACATAGCTTATATACACAATTAATATTACAATACAAATATAAATTATGTAAATCAATAAAAACGTAAGATTAGAAAAACAGATTCTCAAGTGAACTTTTTTATAAACTATAATAAATCACATGTCAACTTCTTTGTCGTAGACACACACTGTACATTTGATTAATTTTTTGAAAAAATAATTTAATAGCATGAACTCAAAATGTAACTTATATTAGAACTTACTTAAAACAAGGTCGTTTAACTGCCAATTGCTCAAAAATTTCAGTAACCAAGATATCATTTTTATCTAAATTATTGACGTCTGATAAATCTTCCAAATACTTAACAGAAACATTTAATTTCTAAAAAAAAAATGTAAATAATTAACAATAATTTTTAAATCCATTTAATTTTTAATTACCTTAATAGCATAAATGACATCTGAATCAGATATAAGTGATTTTTCTAAAAATATATTATAACTTGACGATGATGTTTCGGAATCTAAACTGGAAACACCTAAAAACAATAATAATAAATAATATTAAATACAAGCATTGTTTGTCAGAAAATCAATTTTATAAATATTAGTTATGTTTACTACTAATTAAAATTTGTTATTATCTTTAGTGTTTGACTTGTTGTGACACTTAACTGTAAAAATAACTGCCTAAATTAAGATAAAAAATAATTGAACCTAGATTTTTTATTACTTTATTATACATCAACAATGATAGTCAATGAGAAAAATATACTTAATGATTATTGTCACATATTAGCGTAGATTATCGATCAGTTTTTTTAACGTCAATATTGCTATAGTAGTATTGTAAACGTAATTAAAAATATAAAAACTAATTTGTTAAAAAACAAAACTAATCATTATTGTGTCAAAAGTACTTCAAGACATTAATAAATAAGAAATCAATTTTCGACAATGTGGTCGTATGAAAGCAATATAAATTTTAATAAGTATACCATAAAATATCATTAAAAAAAAAACATAATGACAAATAAGTTATGAATAATAATAATAAAATATAAACTTATACAATTATCATAAGTATAGTTTATTTGGTAAAAAGAGATGAAACTAGTCTTGAGATACACTAGTGATATCCTAATGGTTTCCTAATTGGCTCTTGACAATAAAATATTTATTGTGCTGAAATTACTTTTACTCGACGGTACAGAAAGTTCAAAATAGCTAACTGTATAACAGTGGTCTCTTTAAAAAAATAATAGTTTGCTTTTAAAAGTAAAAATAGCTCATTATTTTAAATATCCATACATTTTACAAAACATTAAAATTAAGATAGGTTTTATTGAGAGAAAAAAAGTATATAAGTAATGGCATAATTGAAAAACAAATACATAGAAAATAGAACAAATTGGACGATTTATATGGATAAAAGAGCGATTGCGCTACCATTGGGTAAGTTGCTCTTTTTGGGACACCCAATGTATAACATATTGGATGTAAATAATAAACACAACAGCCTGCGAATAGGTCACTGAAACGTTGTACAAAGCATATACTATGCCAATGATATATATTATGAATAATATAGTAGCATTGTTTAATGAAACTAATTACAATTATGTATTCTTAATTTAGAAGGCTAATAAAAGTAATAATTAAAGCCTTGTTAAAATACCGTGTCATAATCGTATCAAAGCTAAAAAATACGGTATTTAAACAGGTTAGCCTTTGTCTGTGTAACTAAAGATTTAGAAGATATAATATCAATAAATTGACTTTATAGAAAATAGAATTAATGGTTCTTATAAATCATTCATTATTTTATAGTTTAAACGAGCAGAAGAGCGCTAAAAAATATATTATTTACACTGTTGCCGCAAAGAAATTTTGGCACGTATATCCTATTAAATAGCAATAAATCTATAAAAACAAATGTATGCCTTAATGTTATTGACTATAATCTAATCATGTTAATTGATAGTGAATTTTAAAAACAACTGAGCCATAAAGTTTAAAGTTAAAAATAAATTATAAAAAATGAATTGTTTTATGTTATTGAATAAAATATAATTTAAAACAGTAATTTTATGTAAATTATTTAATTGTATATATTTAAAAAAACTCATTTTATTAAGTACAAATTATAATGGAGCCATGTTTTGTTTTAATTATATTTTATGTTTTTTATAATAAATATAACTTTAGAAAAAAAGCAACACAGTAGAGTCAGGTCATAGTGAGGATGGTATAGTGAATAGTCACATGGCTTAACGGATAACAGAATGACAAAATTACTCTAAAACAAACGGTTAAATGCAAATATGTTGATGGTAGAAATAAAAATATCGATAAGAGCATTGTAAAGACAGTAATGTGCTAAAAATTCTATTTTTAGTATGAACATTTTTAGTTGATTGTCTGTCTATAACAATTTGTTGCCGTCATTACCTATATATTATAATGAACGATATAATAAAAATATTTTTCAGATACCTGTTAATACTGATGATTTATTCAAATTTGGCAATCGGGAAATTTATATGATGCGAGTAAGTAATTTTTTTTTCTTTAAATTTAAATTTTCCGTAATAATGAAAAAATGTTGGTTTGATTTTTAAGAAAATTGTAAATATTAATGGGGCGTTTGCTTAACTGATCTAGACTTATTTTCAGATCTTGAGTCCTAAAACTATGGCCATAAATAGCGAAATAAAAAAATAGATACCACCCTTCTGGACAAAGGGTTTATGATATCCTTTATTTGGTTACATCATGTAAATCGTAAATACCTAATCTAAACAATAGATATTACACATGTTTACAACCAACTTGACTTATTTTCAGAAATGTACATTATTATAATTTTAAGCTGAAAAATATGAACATTTGTTAAGTGTTCTTTGATTTTGAATGGGAAGGGATGACATTTTTAAATTTTTGGCCCATAGTAGAACATAGTAGATTTCTAATTAGTTGAGCAGTTAAAAAATTATAGTTGGTCCTGGATACAAGAATAGAAAAAAATAAAATCATATCATGTAAATTTTTCATATGTAAAAATTAATGAAAAGTAGCCTAGTTAAATACTTATAAAAATATATACTAACCACATATATATATATATATATATATATATATATATATATATATATATATATATATATATATAGATGTATATTTATAATTATATGCATAATTTTACCTTCTAAAATAGTTGATAGTTGGTAGTTCATTTTTTTACAAGTTCAAATTTCTAAGACATCAATAATTTATGAAAACCGAATGCTATTCACTAAAACACTAGCAGCTAAAAAAAACTGTAAAAAAATCTATTAAATTTGCTCACTAACCCACAGCATTAATAAAAAAAATCATTGTACATCAACTATTGTTGTCTACGAACCCTAATCTAAAAGAATACTTTATCAATTTAACTGATTCAGAGTATTGTTAATAGTAATACATTAAGCACTTATGTAATCAATCATTTGCATCGTTTATTTTAATAATCAGAGATAAATGAATTAAATGTTTTTTTTTTATATTATAAAAATGGATTTTACTTGTAAGATTTATTTACTCAAATTGATACTATTTTAATATAATATAATCCATTGTTATCATAAAAGAAAAAAATACTAGAGATATTATAAGATATATTTTTTGTCAAGAAGTTATAAATGAATCAATTAATGCTAAAAAGGCCTTGGTCTACATTTTAACATAAATGAGTTTATTATGATTTCTTATCAACATTGCTTCAAAGCATCAATGTATGTATGTTGAAACAACTTCAGAACTGATGAAAAAAAACATATAAATATATAATATTTATATAGTATACAAAATATTTTGTTTTTTGGAAAATTCAAAGTTATGGACCTCTTAGAATTAATGGATTCAAATGGTATAACCTATAACTAACAACAAATTAAGATATATTCATGTAATAAAGTACATAAAAAATTAACTGAAAAGAAAAAATAATTAACACAATTTTTAAAGCTATTGTTTTAATAACATTTAAACACTTATACAATGTTAATATTTAACAACTGTATTATGAATATATCATTTAGTATATAATATGTATAATATATATATAATATTAAACATATGATAGTTTAATGAAATATTAACGATCGAAAAAATTAACCAACATTGATTGTCATAGTATTACAAGTTTTTATGTGTCATCCAAATATATTACATGTAAATAGACTCTTTAAACCTAGAAAAATATATATTCTATAAATAATTAGTAACTCTCACTATGTCCAGCTCACATGTTTTTCATTCTGTTTGACAAATTTAATATATACTGGCATAGATCCAACGATCACACGAGGCAGATTGTTTAATGCGCACGACCTACGGATAGCATATTAAACTTAGCCTACTTATCGAAGGTGCTTCAGACGAAAATAGATTAGGTACGTAGATTTTTTTTATTTTAACCGCTCAGGTAGGGACGGGCATTACAATATTATAATATCACAATCAAAGCATAATATGTTGTACACCGTATTAATATTATGCAAATTATTTATATTCGATCATTACCACTGACTAAATGATTACATCAAAACAAACAATGACTAATTCAATGACTTAATTAATCGAGTAAATAAAAAAATGTACAGATTAATCTAAAATTACATTGTATGTCTTATCAATTATCGCCGAGATAATTATTGACCATGTACTATGCCAAACGTATAGTAATATTATTTCGAAGAAGCCGTGGTTTATGGCCAGTGTTAATTATTATTGCCACTACTTACTGGGAGTTTTTATGTATTTCTCTTCTGGATCACAGTTGCTGTTGGTCTGGCCGGTTTCGCAGGCCGACATGTTGGTTTTGACGTTATTCGCGGTTGTTGTGGGAAATCACAATTTCCTAACGCGGCGACACATCGCGTCTCCACTCGTGTCCGACGAGCGTCGACTAACACTTGAACAACACACAACGTACCGAAATAGTTTTTTTTGCAATAATAATACAATTATTATCTGTATGATGATGATAATATCAGAAAAACGAAACCGAATCCGATTGAAACGCGGAAATACGACGGCCGCTATTGTGGCGGTTCAAAGGCAAACGACGGCACATCGCTAAGGAAATGACATTAAAAAAAACAACGGCCAAAATAACGAATATCACCAACGCGCCGCACACGGACACCCGACAACCGCGATATTGCTACCGCCGATATAGCGAAAACTACTAGAAAATTGAATAATAATAATAATAAAAAAATTATTAAAAACATACAAATACACACGCACACACACACACACTCACAACACACTCGGAATGAGCGAAAACATCAAAAAACGGTTAGGACGCACGCGCACACCTAAACAGGTGTAAAATAGTCGGAGACCCCTTCTGATTGGTCGGCGGCAGACGGATTTCTCATTTCACGGTCAACGGCGAGTTTGGGTGTTTGAATTTTTGCATATTTACCGGTGCGCTTTTTTTTTTTTTTAATCGCGTGGCAAATATTTAAATCGCTTGTCAGTACAACAATCGATCGTCACAGAAATATTATCGGCTACTTGACGTTTAATATTTTTTCCTATTTCAAAACATCAGCTAAACTACTACATCTGGTTCGTTAGTGATTAGAGACTGTAGAGCTAAGCTAACGTCTTTGCCGCGGTTATTATAATACGAACGGTTTGCCGGTTAACCTATAAAATATATGGCGTACAAATGTATGAAACTGAGTATCTCGACGCAAAAGTCAAAACATAACCGTAAACGGCGGTAATTTTCTACTGCGCTTTGTTTAACAATAGGCATATTGAAAAAAATGTTGTAAAATATTAGTACGGTTGTTAATATTAAATGCAGTGTATTGTAGTAATAAGTAATAAAAAAACCAGTTATAGCAGTTTAGAAGATATCGTGGGACCAGCAATAATGTACTTAAAATTTAATATTTAGGCTTGTGCAGGGTGTATACGATAAGGATTTATCGTCTGTCTATAAAAATGTACTGTCGTAGTTACCCCCATATATCGTAATTAACAGTATAATGAAAACATTTTTTGGTTCCAATTAAGTATAATTAAAGATGGAGGCCGGCAGATACGTCTGTTCAAATTCAACAAAAATGTTTAATTATGTTGGGTCTTTATTTTCACAATAAACTTGTTTTCTAAGGGTGTGTCTTAGGTAAATAGAAATTTTTGTGCAAAGTAATGGAAGGGCTGCGGGGAAAAAAGATCAATGTCAATTTTTTAACATTCTGAGAAAATCATGTTTTTAATTTCAAAACGTAATACGTATTTTGCCTATATGCTTAAACTTCCGGCGGTCGTTACTCTCTATTAATCGATTTTTTTCTCTGGTTCGAGTGCATAAAAGATACAATACATCAATACAAAAAATTTGATACCAAAATCTCATTTTTAAAAATAAATTGACATCGATCTCTTTTCCCCGCAGCCCTTCAATTAATTCTTGTAAATAATACATAGCAATCTGCACATTCTCCAAAAAGAAATGAAAACTATTACATAGACATTTAAATTGAATGCTAGACTCGAAAAATCAAATTAATAATTCTGTTATACAAGCATGCTGAAATTTGACTTGTTAAAAATATACTTACCAACTATACGACAAATAATAAACCTGATTTAAATTTAAGGATAGTGTTCCATTATAGTGTCAGTCTGACATGTTAACAAAAGTAGTCAATAGTATAGGAGGATGTCACAAATAGGTATTTGTATTTTTAAGTAGAGTATTTATAATTAATTATATATTGAACACAGTGCCGATTTAAGAAAAAAAAAATAATAATTAAAGCTAGGTTAAATTGTTTGCAACACTAACTTAATAGTCAATAAATAAAAACTTAAGTATAGGCTTTTAACATATATTATCTAACAATACTTTGGTAATAAGAATAATTTAAGAAAGTTGTTTTTCTAAACATAAAAACGCATTACAAATATATTTTATACAATTACTTTATGTTAATAATATAACATATAATTATTTTTATCATTTAATATTAGAAACCTATTGCAAGTAGTTATCAATTTAAAATTACTATAATGTATATTTTTAATTTAAATAAATATACTTAAGTACTATAAAAGTAATTGGCAATATAACTTTTTACTGTAAAAGAAAGCCACTGATAATTAATGTCAGATCAAATTTTATAGTTAGGTACAACTGTTAAAAATACATACAAAAAGTGACTAGACTTGGACAATTTACAAAACAAAGTAGATAATAGACATAATATTACATATGGGTTTGGAAAATATATTAATATTAAAACTTTAACTATATTTGTGATGAAAATTCAAAAACATACAATTTAGAAAAACCTTTATAAAATAATTCTAATTATTTGACTTACATACTAACCACAATGATTTTTTGTAGTAAAGAAGATACTGAAATAATACACAAGTAAAAAAAAAACAATTCATACACGTTAACACTGTTTATACACAACAAAAGCAATGACTGCCACTTGACCAACATTATTTAACAAGTGGTACATACTTTTCAAGGATATATATATATATATATATATATATATAATTTATATAAGATATATAAATAATTAATATTGTAGGCAAAACTTTTAGTTTTATATAATGCAAAAATTATTTCATATTCACCTTATATTAATATTATATAAAATATTTTGTGGAACACTTTTTAATAGCTTTACAGTGAAATTTGAATTATTGCAATAAATCCTAACAAAGTTATTCAAAAGTAGTAAACAGTATCAAATCAAACTAATAATTACACAATGTTTACATAAGTCAAACTAGTTCAAAATAATTCACTTTCTTATTTAAAGGTTTATACTTTTTTTATAAAATAGCGTTTACCGAATATATAGATTAATAATTGTTTAATAAGACAATTATTTAAAATCTATACACAATTTTATTAAATTCAATTTATATAGGTCCCCTGATTTAAATCAACCAGATCAGATATACATGATTTAATCAAAAATATTTTATATTTATTTTAACAGAAAATTACCCAAATGTATTTGTTTTATTTTTTACTGTTACTCTTAAGAGTAATTTAGAGACATTATGTTATACTTAATCTATGAATACACTTAACTATAATAAGGTTGGTAAGCTATTTTTTTACCACACAAATTAATATAATAAAGTAAAAATATAACAAATAAAAACAAATGTTTGGAATGAATTTAAAAATAACTAAAAAAACAATATATTTTACATTTATACTCAAATTAAAACATTAATTAATTCATCTACAAAACTCAATTTTAAATAATAAATAACTAATCTCATAATATTATTTTAATAAAAGTGAAAAAAGTAATACAAAATACAAACAATGTGGTTGGAAATAAAAACTGATTATTAATTTTATACTCACTATTTAAAACTTCAATAAATATTAAATACATTGACTATTTTTCAATCTTAACATAATCATTTGTACATGGGTATAGGGTATATGACGATGATCTAAAAGGTTTACATATAAAAAAATATGTATATCTTCTTAAATCTTTGTGGTATACCCAATACTCGTATGAATATAAGTGTAGTTAATCTGTAATATCCTAACCACACAGTGGCTTACCAATATATACTACAGATATTTCAGTATTTCCATAAACAGCTGAAACTGCTGGATATAGTTTAGTTTTTGGTAAATCTTTGAAAGCAATTCCCAAGAACTCGTTGCACTTTTCAAAATGTAGTACTCCGTTTTCACAATCTAGTACTAATTGTAGTTTTTCACCAATTTGATACTTAGGTGCATTATTTAATAAAGGATAATTTCCATACGAAAGTCCATTATGTAACAAAACATTGTCAATTAAATTCCAACCCCAACTGTGTTTATCAATACCCAATAATGGTAAATATCCGCTACAATGCACTGGCGCTTCTTTGGTCGACACTCCAACCATTGCAACAGTACCTATAATCAATTATTAAAGAATTAATAAAAAATAAATGTATTAACACGTTTGTGAAAAATTACCTAGTGGTCCTGTCCATGTAACTTCCCAAACATGTTTACCGTGGCTGTAACCAATCTTGGTGCGCGCCATATCAGTACTCTGAGCAACTGGATTACGGTGCAATGTAAAACCGTTTTGTTTAACTACAATATGCATAGAACAATCTTCTGGATCCCAAGCATGGTATAGGGCACGTAATTTAGCCTTTGGGGTGGTAAGTTGTGATAGAAGTTCAGACCGTAAAAGCTCTTTTGGTATTTTCCGTTTGCATAATAACTTCCATGGTTGGGCGCGACCTTCGTTTAGAATGCGAAACCAATTCCGACAAACCAACATACAACTAAAAAGATCGGGTGGTTCCAAATTAGAGAAAATTATGTCCAATGCTAAATCAGGCAAGTATTGAGGTGCGTGATATACGTCCATGTCTGAGAAATTGAGTACTACAATGGATTAATCAATGATAGTTAAGTTAACATGATTAACTCTAAATTAAATTAAATAATATTAAAAATACCGAACACCTATCATCTATTAACCATAATGCAGATATTACACTATACGAAAATGATACTTCCACAATTGAGTTCAAAACATTTTAGCATTTGTTTAAAAAAAAAAAAAAACAATTGATAACGTTATCATTTTTAATCATATCACTCACAAGTCACAACAAAGTCAATTTCTGTAAGCTCTATTTTCTTATACTATTGTTTCAGAGTTAAGTATTTAAAATTTCAACTCTTCGGAAGCACTAACCATAAAGAAAATATATAAATACATTTTTTAAACATGTTATCCTCGAATATGTACAATAATCTTAACCTTGATAGAAAACGTGAACAACAAATTGATACATTAAGCGTGTTTAACGAAAAGTAAGATTTGCATATTTTTTGTATTTTAAATACATGTCGATGGTGCTCGGCAAAAACTATATTGTTTAAAATTTTTAATTTTCTCTATTCAAAAATTCATAAACCTGTTACGTTACATTATAAATTCACAAACATGTAACGACATTGTAAAATCATTGTACGATGTCGATTGTTTTACCCAAAAATTGTATGATTTCTCTGAATCTAGGTATGACATTTTAACTTATTTTCACAATTTTTTATTTACAATTCTTCTTAACCATCATTGATATAATATAGTAGAGCTTATAGCTAATAATTGGGCCTGTATATTATATTTTTATTTTTCAACGCCAAAAAAACCCATTTAAATAAAACTGACTGTTTCCACAGCCAGCATAAAAAATATTGAGTACACTAAAGATTTATTTTAAGCTGAGGACAATTTTTTTTTTAATATAAATTTAAGGTTTTACACTGTACAATAGTGTTAATATTAAGAATTATTATTTAAACAAATGTGTATCTAGTGTTACAGAAATAAATCCAGGAAAGGAATATTGTGTTGAATTTCATACAAAAGTTGGAAAGCTAAAATTCATTATTCAGCTAAGTACTGAGTTTCCTTTGGAAAAACCAAGAATCATAGTTTCACCTTGCATTACTCATCAATGGGTAAATAATTCCGGAGAAATTGTTCGAGCTCCAGGACTTCTCAACGTAAGGCTTCCTATTAATAACTTTCTAATTTTGAGTAACGAATTATGGTAAAAGACTAACTTATTTATGGAATTCTAAAATATGTATTTCTATTTTCAGTACACCATACATTCTGACTTAGGAAGAGTAGTCCAAGTAATAAGGCGCGAGTTTGAGTTAGATCAATCTCTTGTATTAGCCAACAATTCTAATTGGTAACTACTAAACTTAAAATATTAAATACACTTATTACATTTTTATATTTATTTAAACTTTTACCAGTGTTTCAGGAATGCTGGGCTATGATAACAAACACATTGCAGCTCTTAGCAAAGTACTCCACTGACTATTTAATTTAAACTGATTTATAAAGAATAAAAATAACTACCGTACTTTTGATTTCAGGATACAGAATTTTTTAGTTTAACTAATTTAACATCATCTGAATTATTAAGATTAAAAAATAATGTAGATTGTCTAGACGAATTTATTTCAGACCTACCGTCTATAGAAGAATCAAACAAAACTATAGAAAATACTATTACTAAAGTGATGGACCTCGCAAGTGAGTAATACATTACATTATTTTTTTTTAATAATCGTATATATTTTTGTTAAAATGCTGTATTGTATTTGATCAGATTCAAATATAGCCAAAGAAAAATCTATTACTAATTTAAAGACGGATATATCCAATCAGTTGGAAAAAATAGTATCATCCCAAAACACATATGCTGAATTATCATCAAAGTACGCAAAGTTGTCAGAAAAATATTTACCTCAATCAATCGCGGTAAGAAAAGATAATATATATTTTATTAATATTATTTTTTTACATTAATATATTATTAAAAAATATAAACTGTTTTAGAATAATTTAAAAGAAGCTGCTTTAAAATGTGATGAAGAAAGTGAAAAAATAGCTGAGCAGTTTTTGGAAGGTGAATTGGACATTGACATGTTTTTACAGGTTTATCTGAAAACAAGAACGGTAATTAATATTAAATTACCAAAAGTGTAACTAATTAAAAATAATTATTTTAATTATTTTTAGCTGTCTTATACTCGGAAAGCTAAAGAAGAAAGACTTAGTTATCAATTAAAACAACTGAAAGATGCTGGTTTTTAAATAACAATTCCAAAGTCAATAAAAAATTAACATTTTACTGTCGAATATTGTTGTTAAAATTGTATTCAATCTGTAATACTATAATATGTTTGTTATTATGTACATACATTTGTTTTTTTATTATAATAAATAATATTACTTTAGTTTTAACTTCAGTCATTTAGTTTAAATGTTTTATTAGTTTTTCTATTCATCTTGAACGATAAATATTGAAATAAAACATTATTACTGATTATTAGTTTTCCTTTTTTATGAAGATATTATAATAATCAACTGATCAATTACTATAAATGAGGATATGGTAAAATCGATGTAAATAGATTGACGACATAGCCCTCAATTTCATAGATGTTGCTTATTAGGGGCGGATACAAGGGGGTCTGAAGCTCCTCCCTTATTAACTTAGTTTGTTTCCATTAAAACTGTATTTTTTTTATCTATAATATAGGTATGTATTAGAATATTATAGAGTTTTTTTACTACTTAAATATTAACTCGATGACTATTGCTTACACATCTTTAAGGTAATTTTTTTTTCTAGCCCCTCCCTTTTTTAATTCCTGTAACTGCCTCTGTTGTTTATCTTTCTATCTCTTATTTTTCCAAATTCTTCGTGATTCTTATATTTAAAACTTTTAGGGGTTTTGAGTAGGCAAAACAGTGAAATTAATTACAAAATGTCCCATCGAAAAATTAAAAAAAATGTCCTAAACTCTTATTCGGGTGAGAATCTAACCTGCATTAACAGAAAGGGCTGGTTAAAATTAAATTAAATGTATAAATGATTTATTTTTACCCAATAATTAAAAAATATTTCTAAACGCTCTATTCTCATTTGGGCCTTGTATATATTCTGGGTAGAAAAAGGATAATTAGGACCTCCAGAGGTTTTCAAGTAGTTGTTATTAAGTCAAATCATTAATCTGAGATTTTGAATTTAAAAAATCTTCTATATATTATTTAAGGGGTTTTTACACCTGCGTATTTTTGATCGAAAACGACTTATCTAAATTTGAAACCCGCGACCAGTCAATAGTTTTGGAAACAGATATGAAGGGCACAGGGGAAAAACGGTAGTAGTCACATTATGAACATTTTTTTTTCAAATAGTTTTTTTCAATTTATACCATTAATTTGTTTTATATATGTCAATATATTGTTTAAATAAATACATTTATTATTAGAGTAGCATTTAATGTGATTTGTTTTGTTCTTGTGTAGGAGGGAGAGGAAATCATTAACTTTGTTTTTGCTATACTCGAAAATTTTCATAATGTGACTACTACCGTTTTTCCCCTGTGCCCTTCATATATTTTATTCAATACTTGCTTGATATATTGGCCATAGTACGTTTTTATTGTAAAAAATTGCAATTTTTCAAATATAATTTATTAAATATAAATAGCTAAAAACAATTTTAAAACTGTACCACGATCGATACCTTATAAATGTTATAAAGTATCCAAATGTTTTTCAAAACTTAAATAGGGTTATTTTGAAGGACGTACGATTCAAAGTAGACACTTATGTTTTTTTTTAAATAGAGCCCGAGGACATTATAGAAATTGAAAAAAAAAATTCAATAGATCCTACTTTTCTGTTTTAATATTATACAGGGTGTAATAGGGTTTAATAAGAAATACATCTTTTTTGTAACTCAATTTTTCACAAATTTTTTTGTTTTTACCCCCTCCCTACTTGGTTTTTTGATAGCAACTTTTGAAACTTAAATAGTAACGCATTTATTTTATTAGCTTATTAAATTAAGAATAATGAACTAAAAATGTTAACTGGTTAATATTAAACATTTGTACATATTTTTATACGTGCATTATATACATATAATTTGTGTGTACAGTTACCAATCAAACATTTTTAACATTATGTCCATGTGTTTAACTATTAAATCGTAAATTTATATTAAAACACCAAATATATTTTGAAACACAGTTTTTACTTCACAAATTTTCGTGCTCTGTATGAAATGCATGTTGTACACATTTCAATTCATGTTCCCAAATATCCTACTAAAGTCTAAGATGGAAGTTCAAGTAGTTGGCACGTGCAAAAATAATCGTTGCAATGTGATTTTTATTGATCGAAAGTGAATTCCCCCTACTACAGTCCACACGTTAGTGTACTTGTAGCAAGTGTTAAATACATAGCAAGTGAAACGATTACCAACTATAGTGCTTTAAATTGTCATGAATTCGTCATGATTTGTACATCAAGTATATACAGTATTCGTGAGTCTCCGGAATTATTCAGATGTATAAATTACAATGTCTATCTCGATTTACATATTTTCTCATATACCCCGAAAACGTATCACGTGTTACATAACAACCGTTTTGGTTTTATTACCGAACGAGTGCCGCACCAGTGAAATAATATACAAAATGTATTTTGCTGATTGTAAGGCTTCGACGTCAAGGTCATTAGACTGTGTACGGGTTTTGCGGTGTTGATATGATTTTATAAGGTTTATACATTTTTCTAATAAGTAAAAGTGAAAGTGTTGTAAGCTTAAATAAGAAAATTTATTTTTTCTTTAGCATCTTCAAAATACTTGTTTATGATATTAAGAATCAAGTTTAGCCCGAAGTAATATAAGATTGCAATTGGACTGCAGTGTGCGGATTCATTCTTGATCATTCATGACTGACATAACAATATAGGTACAACGTTTTCATTGTTTTCGTCGTATTGTAACTTCATTCCATAACGTTTATGTGTCAAGTAAGTAAAAGCCGACTTTCGTAGATTATCTAAATGTTCATAAATTCGTTTCAACATTTTTTTTTTCTCAGTAAGTTTATTGTTTTTATGGTTGGAATATTTAAAAAAAAAAAAAATCTTCTAATTTTCGTGCACTTGACTCATTTTAATATTTACTAAAAAAAATTACTTGATACTTTTTTATTTTTACTTAAAACGCTTTTTTTGCTAGAACTAATCCGCCTCGATAAAAAAAAATGGGAAAACAAATATGAATCAAAGTACAGTAATTTTTGGAAAAATCTGACTTTAGTCGTTTTGAACGAGCACCGAAAAAATATGCTAGTGGAAGTTTGAAATCACTAGGACTAACCCCTTCCTCACCGGAAGCCAACTCACATTCTTAGGGCTTAATAATAGATTTTTTTGATTTTTTTTTTATGTCAAAAACTCGAGAGTATTCTGGGTTGATCTGTAAAATATCCATAAAAATAAAAAACAAACAATACCATGGAGTTTCTACAAAAAATTTTCTTATAAAAAAGGAGTCACTTTTTTGTTTAGTTTTTTTTTTATAAGAAATTTCCCATAATCAGTTTTTAAGAATAAATTAGTCGTATTTTTCTGATAAGATAATTAAATAAGCATTATGACGAAAAATAATTTATACCACGGAAATCCCTGAGAAATGTTCATGCTACTTCATTCTCACCAAATTAAAATTTTGGATATGAAAGTTAAAAAAACAGAACCCGTGGTACGGGTTTTTAAAAATATTTTTGATAAATATTTTGCAAATAAAACCGGAAAAAGGCAAGTTTTTGACGTAAAAAAAATGTCAACAAATCCATACTTAGGTCCTCTTATCTAGTGATGGAAATCGAAAATAGGATTTTCACAAAAAAACGCTATTTAAGCCAATTAAAAGTCTTTTATAGTTTTTTAATATTATTACAATATGAAGCTGTATACTTAAGTATAATATTTTTGGTGAAAATTTGAAAATAAAACATTTTTTTTTTTGTTTTTTATTTGGAAATTATACAATTTGTAATAGGTATATTTAATTACAATAAGCATTATAGATGATTTTAAGGTAAACAAATATATAATAATATATTGAGACAGTAGACTTGATAGAAGGGGCCAGCCAGTGCTGATACTTCATGACGTGTGAAATCATAGATTGGTCAACCAAAAATAAATCATAACTCCAAAAAGATAAGTTGCTTTTGGATTTGTTGAAATCCGAAAATCCGGAATCCAAAAGCAATCTATTGTCAGAGTGAAGCGTTTTTTTTTTTTTATAAAAATTGTTATTAAAACATTTTTATTAGGTACACAGTTTTATATTGTAATAATATTTAATATTTATACGATTTTTAGTTGGCTTAAATAGCAATTTTTTGTAGAATTCCGGATTTTCGTAGTGCCATCAATGCGGTATAGTACCGGCCCGTAGAGTGCGGCGTTTATTTCTGGTACACGCTGTTTACAGCCCAGGGTGTGTGTAACGCAATAATTATATTATTGAAAACGTGAATGCTCTAAGAAGCCGGCGAGGGCGGAGTGGCACGGGCTCGGCCGGGTCGAGGCATCGGAAATCACCGCCATCAATTAACACACGTCGTTAAAGGGACGTGCGTGCATCATCCCCGGCGGAATCCGTGTTGATTGGTGCGCTCGCCCGCCGCGTTGCCCCGTGCCCGCACATGTCGGCGGACACGCGTACCGCCGCCGCCCGTGGGTCTCCCGTTGTTTTCAACCGGTGGCGTCACGCGGCACGGTACGTGACCCGCCGTAAACTAATTTCAGACCACGTGTTGGCGCACTAGCTTGAGAACGCCGCCGCCGCCGCCGCCGCCGCCGCTGCCGCCGAACGTCCGCCTCTTCCTTATTCCACAACCGCAACCGATTAACACACACCAAGTCGTCCCAAGTCGTCTTACATGGTGCAGGCGCCTAATCTACTTACCGGAAACGCCGTCGTCGTCCCGATCGACGAACATAATTCTGCCAATACAATCCGTTCATATCGGAGGTAATAACTTTCCAAATACCATACACGTCCGTTTAAGTACAGGTGCAACACGCGACCGCTGATGGAATGCTTCTTGTCAAGGTGTCCCTCGGCCCGTCGTTCGAAGTAGAAAATCCGTGTTTTTAGTCACGTTTCCACGTCGCCACCACTTTAGTGATACAACGACTTGGAAGTTTGCGTACGGATGCTCATTAACACAATTCTAGAATTCAACAGGTAACAATTTACTCATTACAAACGCATGCTATAATATTATTACATTGTACTTGCAGTATGTAGAGTACTCACAGGTGGACGCTATCCAGGCCATTTCTAAGGAGTTAAGTAAAGGCAATTTATCGAAAAATCTCAGTTTACAGTTTGAACTATAGCGTATACTTATTTGTACAGTAATGAGGATACTTTATTGGCGGTTATTTGGTCCCCATCAAAACTGCTTTGCGTGGGACAAGTATGTAGATTTACCAAATGTTCACAATGTATAGAGAAGAACTTAATCTACGAATACGGGGTAGCGTTTTATTTTTTTGATATCTGTACTTAATATTTTTTTATAAACAAGTAAAAAATTGGGTGGGGGGAATGAATCTCCACGAATGAATAATTTTGATTTTGCTTAAGTTTTAAAACAACTAAAAACGCTACCCCGTAGATAAAGTTCTTCTCTATCCATTGTAAACATTTTATACGGTTACTGTAAATGCCGCCCTCACATTCTTGTCCCCGTCGGTAGGACGTGATACCCCTCTCTATTAAGGAGTTAGGTATAGACAATTTGTTTGGAAAATCTTAATTGAAAGGTTAAACTGTGAAGTGTAATTATTAGTTCAGTAATTAGGACTCATTTTTGGCAGTTAATTTATTTTTCAGACTATCGCAGCATCCTTGATGTGCTCTTAAGTGTCACTTTTAACATTTTTCAGAAAAGCGTTTTACCATATGAATACTTTATATTTGGTATAAGACATACTGATTTTGTCAGTAACTATCAAATTATCTATTTTGGGTATTATTAATGCAATATTGTAAAACTGATAAATTACTACTCGTTTATTTTTGACATTGACAATGTTCACCTATGTTTGTACTCTATATTCATAATTCGTTATGAGTTGCTAAACGATAGTGCATTATTTGAACAAACACTATATTATGTATGACGTTAAAACATGTTTACTCTGTGTTGTTTACGCGTGACTTAATAATTTAGTGTGCTCAATAAACATTCTATTTAACATATGTACCGACTATAATTTGGTAGCCATGGGTCTTATCAAGAGGACGCCACATCATCCATTTATTAAGGAGTATAGTATATGCAATTTTTCACACAATCTTTATTTTGAGCTTCAGCTATAGTGTATGGCCTTGTTAACACAGTAATGAGGATTCTTTTTTGGTTGTTATTTTTAAAAAAAAAATTTGTCAGACTATCACAGTTATTTCTAAAGGATAATCTATATCAATGTACCTAATATCGAGCATTACGGCAAAACTAAAAGACTATATGAAACATAGTTTTTATAGACCTTTGGTTTTGTACCGTAATCAACATTCAAACTGTCCAAGCTCCGATTTATGAATGAATAAAAAGCCTATGGTCAATTATCACTAATAATAAACTAATGGTTGATATAAGTATAGTAGTTCATGTATTATTATTGATCGAGATCTCTAATAATGTGTAAGTCATACCAGTCACATCTTCCTATCATATCTAATTTTACAAGTACAACTCAACGTATAATTTCGTTTAATTTTGGTAGGAAGAAATAGGTATAGGCGATAAATATCTAGAAAATTCGTAACCACAATTCATTGACTAATTCAGGGCGTTCTAAAATACTTAATGTTCATAATCAGGTTGATGTAACAAGAATGTTTTACTAAGAAATCCTTTATATTGTGTATATTTGACATAATTGTAATTCATATTTAAATTAAGCTATGTATAGATAGGACATTTTATGACAGTGTTTACAATACCATAATCATTTATAATTATTTATTTACCACCATTAAAGTTGATAGTTAATTTTATCAATAAAATTATTAGACGGACAAAGCAAAGAAATGTCTCTTACTAAAAAACTCTAATAACCATTACGTTTTCGTATAACAATACAAACCCGTTCGTAGTAAACGTTTTCAGATTACTATAATAACATTGAGTATTTATTAAGCAAACCCGGTCAAAGGTCGTCATAATATTATTATAAAAAGGTGTTTGTACTAATTTATCTATGCAAAGATAATGGACTATCGCCAGAATTGCATCTCACTGTTGTATTTTTATAACGACCGCTGAATTTATTTTGTATGTACTTTGCTCCAGTGCAGCTCAAATCACTATTACTATTATTTTTATTATTACGGTATGAAAAGGTTTCTGCAAAAAAATAATGATAGTTCAAATTATTCTATGAATTGCCTAATAAGAAGTTTGTTTTGTACATGAGAATTAAACTGATAATTACTGGTATACAGTCAGCACAAAATTAAAAAAAATCTTCGTTATATTATTTAAACGTTTTTGAAGGATTTTATAATATTCAAACAATATTTTGTAGGCAAGGACAAGGACTCTTGGTTAAGAAAATAATAAAAAAAAAAAATAAATATTCAAAAAAATGTTTAAGACCTTTGAATTTTTGTGTTGTCTGTGCATTGGTGGTACATGAATGGTTTTAATAAATATTATTATAGCACACTGTGTAGTTTGTTGATTTTAATTTTTTTTAAGAAGTGTGAGTTTATTACCTACTCATAAATTATCATCATTAATTGACATGTATTTAGGTTTTTATAGATGAAAAATATGTACATTTTTTGGTTATATTTGTTGATTTTGAAGAGGAAAGAGTGAACTTTTTACATTTTTGGCCTACCAAGTACCTTAATTCTGACTTATACACATGTGTTACGTGATAAGAACGGTTCAGCGGGTTAGGAGATAAAGAAGAGAGAGAGTCTAGGCACACAATTAAAAAATCAATAAAAATATATAACTATTAAACAATACCTTCACAACTCCGCACCGAAGCTAAAAAAAAACTATAGCATATTTTCGCAACACGTTAAAATAAAGTACTAAACAAATCATTGCATAATCATTTATTGTATTATATATGTGTTAAGAGTATCAATCATTGGAAGACTGGTTACATAAGTCATAATTTTATTTTAAAACAATAGTTCACACCTTCCAATAATAAGCAGAGCTTGTGCATAGTGGGGACGAAAACCTATAAATTAATTTGTAAATCCATTTCTGATTTTTTGATGATATCCATGATTTTTTTTTAAACTGACCTTTCATGATTTAGAGACAATCTTTAAAAATCCACTTAATTTAACGTTCTAGGTATACTTAATTTGTAAATTTTTATCGGAGAATTATTTCGGCAATTCTACCACTTTAAGCCCAATTTTAAATATATTATTGTAGAAACACTATACACAATTAACTTTCATAACTTTAAGTTGTAAATTAGATGAGTTAAAACTGGCACGTTATTTATGATGTGCAGGGTAATCCATTTAATGTAACACGCTTATTTTCTCTGAAAATAATAATGACTTGGTGGTTTTCCTTTTAGAGACATTTTTATCTATTTTTTAGTAAGTTTTAGAGCATAAGAACTTTTGAAACTTAAAAAGGAACACATAATTTATATGTAAAACTTTACTATATTTAAAAGTAATTGTTAAAAACTGGATATGGACCAGTCAGAATGTACCATAAAATATTCATTAATTACGGAAGCCATAAACTGCCACACGTGTGTTCTTACATAATCATGTTTCGCTAAACATCAGTGTGACGTAAACGAATCTTGATTTTTTCATTAACCTTCGGATTTTGGATATCGGGTTTCCATTTATTTGTTTCTATTATAAGCCGTCATTAAGCATAACTACAAATCGCGCATTAATCAAGGTACCTGTTGCGACTTGCGGATTAAAATGTTAAAAAAGAAAAGCAAACAATTTACAAAAAATAAATTACACCTTCTGTGGTATTAAAATAGCAAAAAAAAGTACCAAAATCGATCAGAGAAATGAAACAAACTAGAATCCTCATAAAAACAAGATTATTCAATAAAATAAAATCCACCTCGAATAAAACCATAACAAATCTGTTATAATTTTAATTTACCGTCAAACGGACACCGAGAAAAACGCCCCCGAGTTATTTTTGTAACTATAGTAGATATATCTCAGTATTTATCGAAGACCTCGAGGACCCTAGAAAAAAATAATAATAACTAGAATAACAACATCTGAAGTTTACAAATTGTCAAACGTTTGGTTGGAAAACGTGCTCGACAGTCTAATCGTACAACCCTAAATAATAATAGCTTTATTGCGTATTGCCTTTTTTATATTTTTATACCGCGGTGACATAACCCACCATAAAACGTGCCATAGCCAGATAGGGCAGCTCGCCAAGTCAGAAAATTCACATGTTTCGAACGTTACGCAACTTAGGTACACAAAGACCTTTTGTCAAACTATATTCGTAATAACTGCCAACGATATAGACATAATCTATTTTTTTTATTTACAATTTATTAAATATGTTATGAACATTATTTTTAATACCAAGGTTGATATCCCGTTAGGACATTACATAAATCATTTGTATTAATATTGATGATAACAAAATATAATAATATGTACCTTTAAACCCATATTCAATTTTTTCCTGAAAAGCAAATTAATTTTAAAAATTAAGATTTAAGCCTTAAAAATGTTTCTCACGGTCGATAGAATTTTCCTTTCTCAATATTTCATGTGGCATACATAGGTAATAATCGAATTGATTAAAACTCTCGTTTTATATTATAATCCAAGTTGGCCGTGACCAAATTGGAGCATAACCAGTAAAGCCTATGTGAACCGAAACAATTAATTTAAATCTGTCAATAATCAACTTTTGTCGTTCTCGTCAGTTATCTTAAAAATGAAGTTCAACTTAATAATACTAAAACTACAGGATAAACTTTACCGAAATTTTAAACCAAACTGTCGAGAACGGCAATGAATATATTTTAAATGTATTATATTTTATTTGTTATTAAAGGATTACAATTTAAATAATCTGCCGAAAGATTTATAAAATGGAAGAAAATAATGCGTCAACAGTAAAGCAAGGGATGACCGGAGATGATTCAGGTTATTCGTGTACATCGGATCTATCAAAAAGCAGGTAATTTAAAATTGTAAAACAATTATTATAATATTTGTGTTAAACAGCGTTTTCATAAATAAATGTGACGGTTTTGTTTAAAGCATACTTTTAGTTATACTTGATAGATTTTTTTTCAGTAATAGCAGCAAATCTCGTCACAGTCAAAGCGCTTCTAGCAGAGACAGTTGTTTCGAAGATCGAAGTTCGCCAACATTAAAGTCAAACGAAGATGGGTAAATAGACTTTTAAAATTTAACTTTTTTATTTGTGTTAAGGGTCGCGGCGAGTTTTTTTATTGCTCATAAGCATCAAAGTTGGCAAAATAACCTCAATTAAAAAAACCCAGTGGGTTTGTATTGTTTAAACTCAGGTCTAGCGAGGCGTTACCTCCCTTAGACCCACTCCTTGGTTTATGTATACTATCAAAGTTATTGTCAACTTTGATAAATATGCTTTGCGGGTGAAACGATAACGTCTCGTAGAGTAATCGGATTTCCTAAAGATCCTAAGATCTAAGTTTTTCTTCAGTTTTATTAATTTACCAAAACAAACTAAGCCTAAAATTGTTATACGAGTATATGCTGTAAACTTATAATTTTATTACTAATGTAGAAATTCAAATTACAAAACTTTATGCGGACTTTAAAAAATCTTATTCTTAAAAAATATATATATACCAAAAACCGAGGCTTCTTTGTTTTTTTTCTATAAAGTCATATTTCACCATCAATATAACTTCCACTCATAAAAATGTGTACACGTTAAGAATTTTTACCAAAAGCCAATACAAACTACCTTGAAAATAAGTTAGGTGTTGTCTAACATACTTCTATTTCGTGTAGTAAAAGTTCCACGACGATCTCTAAATCTTCCGAAGAACCAGCAACACCAGTAATAATAAAAAACGTATCCGATGATTCGGAAACAACGACGGCCAACCAGGAAGAAACAAACAGTGGCAGTTCAGAACCCGAACAAATAGTCATAAACGGTTTCGACCCACAGATCAGCGATATTTTTGCAATAGACAGTAAATATTGTTAACACTAAGGTTGGGTCCGTAGAATAAATATCAATTTTACCTATACTATAGATTTGAAACAACCGTCTTCGAAACAAGAATCAGAGGCAGACAAGTGCCATGCAAAAGACGAGCCCAAAGAAGACCAGGATCGCGACAATGGAGCTTTACTGCAATTGGCTTCTCTGTGTCAGTCTTTCCGCGACTACTTGAAAACGAAACCCGATTCCGCATACACTAGTGGTTAGTAGTTTGGTCGCAAGGTTCAAAATTCTAAGACTTTATTTTACAACTGTTTGCTTGCACTGTTTTCCAGAGAAGGCATTAAAAGAACTCAACGATCACGAGATTCAGCTGAAAGAAATCATCGAGTCCAATGAGACCATTGACGACTCTTTCGGCGTGGTCGTGTCCATGACCAACGGCATGATTGTCAACACGTCCAATAGTATACTTAAGAACTTGGGTTACCCCAAAGATATGTGGCAAGGGCGATCGTTTATTGAATTTATACATCCTAAAGACAGAATATCGTTCATCAGCTACATGACATCCGTGCTGACCAATCCTTCAATGGTCTCCGGACGAGGTAGGTTTTGTTTTTCCCATTGTACACCCAATGTCAGATCTCGATATCTACAAGCCCAAGTATGGTCAGGACTTCAAAAATACAGGGTTAACACTACACATTAACAATACAGGGTTAGGTTAGGTTACATGAGCACACTGAAGAGCCTATTACTGAGGACGTATACGAACATATTTTTCAATTAAATTCTCATTCATAACACTCCTCCCTGAAATACTAGAGCATATGTTGTTGCCTATTGGGTTGGACAATGTCGTTTAGCAGTGTTGCAAAAATCGATCCTGATGCCTTTTACGTTTGCTACCAAATTAGACGCCTCGCACGATTTTTCTATTCTGACTGATCACACACGTTTTTCAAATGGACTGAATTATTATTTAGATGGTAAATCCACTGTGACTTTTCTGCGAGCTAAAACCAACGACGGATTCTATTGCAATATGCGGAGATACAAAGACCTAAACGCCGGATTTTCAGTAGTTTCCAAAAAAATACATTACCAAGTATGCAAGCTCACCATTGCGTTTAAAGAGACCACAGACACCACGTGTCTCGTCGAGATCATAGCCTTACACCAACCGCAGTTACTACTGATCATCAAAGCACAACTAATACACTCCGCATACACTTGTACGTACACCTTTTAAGTTCATATTATTTTTAACGATAACGAAACAGTTTTTTAACATCACTCGGTGGACTATTTCGTGGTCATTTACAGGTCCCGAAGAAAGAAAAAAAAACCCTGTGAATTTCATCACCAAGCACAACGCTCTGTTGGAGTGGTGCTACGTTGACCAACTGATAATCTCGCATTTTGGTTATTTGCCACAAAATTTAATTGGTAGATCTGTATTCGACTATTACAATATCGACGACTTGTCGATTATAAAGGAAATTTATGAAAACAGTGAGTACCTATAGTATTAAATATATAAATAATCCGTAAAATCGTACACAGAACAAAAACCTTGATTTTTAATTTTGTATATCAATAAATGTATATATTTATATTTATATATATCTTATTTGTGCAGTGAGCAAAGCTAGGAATGTACCATACAAAGGTAAACCGTACAGATTCAAGTGCCAAAACGGCGATTTCGCGTTGGTGCAAACCGAGTGGTCAAATTTCGTTAACCCCTGGTCTGGACGGGTAGAGTTCATAATTGGCCGCCATAAAGTCATACAGGTGAGTTTATTTTAACATCATATTTAATCCATAACCAAAAACCATTGATCATCAAATATAGAGCCAAATAAAATAGTGTCCAATAAAGTAATTCTATTTACAATACACACAAGTTATACGAACTAGCCTTCATAGTCTGTAATTGTTTGTAATACTTAAAATACCTTTCAAGGGTCCTCTCAATCCCGACGTCACTACACCCGTCGAAGATGTGTCGTCCGAAAAAGCAGCGGAAGACAGGAAACATTCAAAAGAAGTGTCCGACGAGGTGAAACAAATTCTTAAAAAGGTAACTACAACTTCTGTCGTGATCAAAAATATGATCGATAGTAGTCACACCCGAGTGTGAATAATTAATATTAAGTCAATTTGTACTATAGTCGATAATATTTAACGCTAAAGTATTTTTTATGTCTGCGTAGGTAAAGAGTGCAACACCGGAATTTCATCTAAAATTTAATTGTTTGTAAGATTAAAAAAACAAAAAAATCATAACTAAAACAACAATACTATAGTATATTAATATAATGAGATGTTAATGTTAAAACCATTTAAAACGGGCAAGAACGACATTGTAACATATTATACTGACCGCTGTTGTGACGTGTATCATTACAGAATTGTATTGGAGCGACAAACGTTTTACAAAAACTTAAGTGTCCCGTGGAAACGGCCACAAAACTTAAACAACAGATATCGAACAAATGTAAAGATTTGGCGTTATTTATGAATTTTCTGGTGGACGGCATAGACCCGGCGATACAAGTGCCGCTACAAGTGGAAATACAACCCGAAACGTGCGAAAGTTTTTCTGTACGTACCCTAAGTATAATATTATACATACAACTAAAATAATTGCTCTTAACACACCAGTCAAACGTATTCTATACTAAATTCTGATATGACAACAGAAATATGTTCAGCTAAATTTGTATTTATTTTTATTTTTCTTTGTACTCACCAAAGAAATTCAGTTGACCGCTATTGCTTGTATAAAAAATTAAAATTTATTGTTACTAAAATATTTATACGATCAACAAGAAAACCATAATACAGACAAATCAGTCGGGTTGCGTAGAAAATGAATAAATAATGTTTCATTTGAATTTAATGGACCGATCACGGGCCACTAAACAATGTTTTTAGTGATACACCTCTATTGATTCATTAAACCTTTTAACGAACGTTTATGCAACCCGTCATGAATATATTAAATATACATGGATAGTCCACGAGCATATCGAATAAAGTAACCGTCGCCATAACGAAATGGACGCAAAGATTAGCGGTTAGGTTAGGTTTTGGTTAAGTTTGCGTTCAAAATCGGGTTGCCAAAAAAATATGCGGCGTGGTCTAACTATGTGCAAATCGTCTATGAGAAAACTAAAAAATAATTAAATTAAAAATTTTAAGACTTTTAATTTCGCAGAGAAATTATTATTGTCTTACAGTAGAAAAGATGTTTGACTGTTTGCGCCGTGTTTTTTTGCTGAAGAAACCAGTGGCCGAAATGTGCGGTCTTAGTAGTGTTTACTGAGAAAATAAACTGTATAATAGTGTATTAGCAACATTTTTGTTATTTTTAACATTATATAGGACCACGATTCCGTGATGCTGGGAGAAATATCTCCACATCATAATCATGAAAGTAAATCTAGTTCCGGCACACCGCCAAGTTATACACAACTTAACTATAACGACAACATACAAAGGTATACTGTGTGCATATTTTTTTAAATACATATTAACTTTGATTGCTGTTCCTCTTCCGTCACAAAAAAAAACCGCAAGCGATAATGTCTTCCATACATCACATATCGTTGATCGATTTTGCTCTTTTATTTATTGTTCCTTTTTTTTTTGTAAGACATGATGTTTTATTATAGCAGGTAAACTATGTATTTATCTATTTTTTTTTAAACAAGTACTTATTTACTTTTAAAAATATTTTAATTTTATTTTTTTAGATGATTTTGAAAAAAAAATGTTGGTACATAATTAAGTATACAAAATTGTTTTGTTTTATATTATGTATTTATTTCTATCTGAGCGCATCATTCCTAAATATTATAATGCGACCGTTGGCGGTCCATATTATGTTATTGTTCCACAATTTGCAGCTCAATTTTAATTTTGTATCAATCCCGAAATTTTATTTACACTTTACTGGCTAATCGTATATTTGATTTAGATTTTTCGAAAGCAACATAATTAGAATACCGTCGGAGGCCAGCGTGGATAGCTATCCGAAGGCTACTAGCCAGGACGACGTTATACTGCTAGAGAAGTACGTTGAACGGTCGATAATTAAACACACAAAATATTATTTTAAGTACCCACGTTGCATATTGCATATATGTATTAATATTTGCTTTGTTGCAGGAACTTTGGCAAGCGCACCACAGATGGGTTGTTGTTGATGGAAAAACCGTCGTCGATGGCAAACCACGCCTGCAAACAAGAATCGTCCAGTTATTATTCGGAGCAGAAACCGTCTCACATTAATCAACCGCCGCTGACTCAAGCAATGCTACTCCGGTAATGAATCTTAGCGATTAAGCTAAGTATACAGTAACATTGTGATAACTTTAATAACACAATAATATTTGTTGTTTTTCTATTATCAGCCACAACAAAAAAATGGAAAACGATCTTGTGAAACAGCACAAGACCAATGCAAAACGTTTCAAGTCTGTCGAAAAACTAAAAAAGACCGCACAAGAAGAGCACAACGATACCGTAAATATAATTTAAAACAAAATACTGAGATTGTTATGATTCATAGGACATAAGTGTTAACTTATGTCCTCTGGATGGATATTGGATAATACCCATAGTGGAGAGGAAGTTAGAAAGGGTAGTTATATTGGAAGAGAGGAGGGTAGGGTAATGGAGAAGAAGATATAACCTAATATAACAGAGATTATGACCAAATTGTAAACGGACAAAAGAACAAATTTATTTTCGTGTAAGATAAAGACTATGCAATCATGGGTACTGAGAGATAATAAGTCATATCGAGCGATGCCATGAGAAAATTTGTATGGAAAACCTGGAGAAAATATGTTGAATGGATGTAAAGACCACGAATTTAAGGAAGGGAGCTGTAGAAATGGCAAGGGAATCGGTAGTTTCGTTACCAACGATCCAAGAGTGACCTGGGACCCGAAAAAATTCAACTACTTTACCTGATAGAGAAGATGTTAAACTTTAGAATAAAAAAAATTTGTTTTTTAAAAAAATTGTTCGGTAGACACTTCAGAAAGTGACTTCGCGTCTTAGTCTTTATTCGTGTGCAATTTGGAGCTTTCCGTTCTCCTTAACTGTATAACTCGGTTGTCAGTTCGATTGAAAATAACTAATGTGAATTATTCCAGTCCGATACTACTCACGGTGTGAAACGGAGCCACTCGAGCATTCACGAAGGCAAAACGGCAAAACAGAGAAAACGTTTGCTGGTCAACCACCCGACTACGATGAACGCGCAGACACAGGATAGCGAAACGTCACCTATGACTCCTACCGTGGCCAGGTCCACGCAAATTTGGCCTCCCTGTCTAATAAGTAGAGATTCGCAAACAATGCAAGTGTTCAATGTCAGCAAACGTCAGCCAAATAACTTATGTAACTGACGATTATCTTTTGCAGGGTCGACATTCCGAACCCCATAGTTCCCAATCAGATACTCTACTACAAGTTGCCACTGAGCAATAACGTGATGCCGGAGAGCCCGATGGATGAAGACATCAACGCCTGTAGTGCCCTGGTAACGCCGAACAGCAAAGTTCAAGGTAAACCACGTCGAACGAAACTGATAGTGGACCCAAAATTCGAATAACTATAGTTAGTAATTTAAGTTTAGACTCGATCGTTGCACTTCATGCGCAAGTCATGACCAATAAAACGGACAAACTTAAAGAGCTGCACAGCCGCTAAAAAATTAGTTAGAGGTTATTTATTTTGATAGGTATGTCAATCAAAAGCTGTTATTATATTTCTACAGTTACTAAATATATAATAACAATATCGATGAAACAAAAGCAAAGAAAAAAAACATTATGATAATAGTAATAATAGGAATAATACAACATAAAATTAATATGCTGTAGAGATACGAGATATTGTGGATTATACTTTAGTTAATTATATTGTCATCTTGAGTAGGAACGGAACGTGTTTTCTCTGTTTTATGTTTATTGATGAGTTTTTTAAAGGCTGGGCCCTATTCCCTATTCCCTTGTAGAGTTAAGATATGGTCCAGCTGGATACTGGAGGTGAGGTAAGAGAGTAGAGATAAGAGATAAGATAAGAGAGTAAGAGATTTGAAATAAAACATTCCATATTAGAAAGAACCAAAAAGTACCAGGGTCCTATACTTGTCTATTAAGACATATCCATGTTCCTATGTACTTTCATGCCCACTTTTTTTGAGATGGATATGATGAACATTATGTAGATGATGTTTTTGGACGAGGTAAGGAGATAAATATTCTTTTAGGTCTTTAGCAAGAGCCGCATATTTATTGGAATAAGAAAATACTTCTTTACCAAATTTTGGAGAAAGACCAATTGATAGATTATGCTGTTTGCTGGAAAGCTTCAGTGATAGAGTACCGATTTGTGCATTGTTGTGTGATATACTGTTCGATAATTGTAAGCAAATGATAAAAGATTATGAACGGACCGAAGTCCACACGATAACAGGGCGACGCAAAACGCACATGCGATCGTTACAACAATAATTTATTTTGTTTACCATTATATTTGTTTAAAAGTGTGACCGACCATTCAAATTCGTCAAGTACGTAACTATTGTCGAACATCACTTAGCAGACCCAAGACTGAGCAGACCCAAAATGAATTTCAACTGCACTAGATTTAGCAGAGACAATTTTGAACTTCATTTCGAATTCGGAACGACAAACATAATTTTACTTTGTAAATAGTTCAATAGAAGCTTAACGATTTGCCTAGAGGTCTGGCCGTTAATGTATTATCTTAAAAATTTACATTATAAAAAAATGTGTACAGATGTTATTAAGTATATATAGTATTACGAGTATTTCACCGAAAATTAGGTTATTTATCTATTTCTTTTTCATATAGGTACTTTTTTTCAAAATATATATCTAGATTTAGTTAATTGTTTAAAATTCGCTCATAGTTTAATAAATTTAAATATAACCAAATATAATACAACTGCAGTGGTTTGTTAGTTCATAATAACTTTAAATTTTAAAAAAAAATAAATTTTATTTGATGCAGCATCGAGATGAATCTTCATAACAATAAATAAGTTGCCTACTAGAAGTCAATAAACCGACAATGAAAATAATTAAATTACATTTTTTTTTAAATTCCGGCCAACATTTACACTTTTTTCTTTAACAAAAAAATATGAATGAAATAAAAACTACTATTATAAATAATCTAAATATTATTTATACCGTTAAAATATTATGTTCACCTTATCCTGCGTAATAAAAATACTAATACTAAAATACTAATAAAAATACCTATTTCCTTCCACCTTACTACATCCATTGTGAAGTCTTGTCAAGTTTTCGTCTCTATGCTTTCTACTTCTTGAAAGCCAAGTTAAATAGTACAGAAGGTAGTACATCCCCTCAATCCTATTCTGTAATAACTTCAGTTCTCCGTCACTCCGATAAATCAAAATTTAATCTTAAATTTTCATGCGCAATACGATTGATGTTAATAAGTTAATGAGCTTCATTGATAGACAGAATTGTCAACGTATTTTGACTTCTTAAAGTCAATAAATAGAACATGTAGTGTTTTGTCATACTTTCACATATTTAGGAATACCTGTCTCAGAATGAAAATTTGATTATTGGTTCAATTGAATTCGTCTGCCATAGGTCAGCTCGATAGACCTCAAATATATTTTCATTACATGGTTTAACTCTGTCAAGTATACAGTTAGTTAATATGTTTTATGTAACGTTCAGTTGTGAGATATCTCTGTAATGACTGCATATTTGTTAAAATAGTTCAGTCTGTTTGTATTTGATACTTAATATATTAATACTTATGTACTTAAATTGAGAGTTATTGCTTGAGCTTAAATATGTATTCTATATGCATTCACTACCAATGTGCAATGGCATATAAGTAATAAGTACAATACGGCGAACAGATTAAATCAACTTCAGTTAATAAGAAAATATTTAACAAAATAATTTGTATTGACTATCAGTGTAATAAAATATTACCATAGCCATTTTAATTTTATTGGTTTGACATTTTTTAAATGTATTTTACAGAAACCTTAATAGGGCAGTTAAAACCAATAGCAGTACCTTTAATGGCTACCATACCAGCATTAAATCAAATTACACAAGACACTCAAATATTTCAACCATATTTACTCTTGCAAAATCAGGTTTGTAAACTTTTGAATGAACTTTTAGCATGATGAAAAGTATTTAGCTCAGTAATACCTAAAGTAAGAATTATATATACGGCTAGACAAATTTTAACCGGTATATTATAAAATGTATTCTGGATTTTTTAAATTAAATATAAAATGTTATTAATATTTTCAATAAAAAAATATATAAATTCTCATATCAACTTTTGCGATTTACAGTCATTTGTTCAACAGCCGTACAATCATATTGCTCAGTATCTAACAAAACTAGATGACCACAGTGAGAAACCTCACATCATGAAATCAGACCAGGTAAATAGTTAAAATACACATCCTAAAAAAACATTAAACGTGTTGCGCCTATCAGGATAATCGTTAAACCGAATACATTTTCAAATGAACATGGATTGTGTATAATCATAGATTAAAGTATATACTATACAAAGACAGCGCAAATGTAACAACCGTCAACGCTATTTTCCTGCATTTCTGGATTTCATTGTGTTAGGTAAAACTCTAATTATGTAACCCAAATAGAATAGCGTCATATCCATTATCCAACACGGGCCTTGATCATCTGATATTTAACTCTTAATATATTATGGTACAATAAATTCAAACAATATATTGAAAAACTAACACAGTGGAATCGGAACTCGTAGTGAAGACGGAGTATGATAGGATCATACTCACATACAAAAAGTTTCAACTTAACTTATGAACTTATGAAATTTTAACCGTTGTAATTAATTATCCATACAATCATAGTATACAAATAAGTTTAATCTGTGCCTTATTATACTTTTTTTGTTGCTATATTGGTAATGTAACGCAATATATGTCATAATAGTCTTTAAAATTGGTATTATTATAAATTTTTTGCTGGCAATATACTCGTAGAATCCCCAAAAATTATCTAAACTTTCTGAATTCATTACATATATTAAAGATAATATGTTATGTTCAAATATGTTACCAAAGGCTCAGAAGAAAACGAAAGAGTCACAAGCACACCAAGAAGAGGTAGTGACGAGTTCCGAATCGGAATGTAGGCGAGAGATTGGCAGTTTGAAATCTAGGTATTTACCTATCAAACTTGGAAATTTAATAGTTTACAATGATATTGATTTTACTTTAAATTAATTAACATTTGGTTATTTTATAGTAATGGTTGGATTTTCGAAGATAGTAGTCTGTACTCGTCGAGCGTAAGGGACAAGACCGACAGCTTTAAAAGTTACATTAGTAGTGGAAAAGATGTGAGTATATTTTCTTTCAATTAGATATCCGATGAGTATTCAAGGGTTAAACTTTGTATGTTTAAAAGTTTTGAATGTTTTATATAGATATTATATTGTTATTCTATAAAATACTATAATTAGCATCTAATGGACTTAAAAATGACTTAATAAGAGAGAGAATATAAAAGGATCTTTAGCCAAAATGCGACGTGAAAGATTTTCTTGAGTTTTAAATATATTGTGTCCCTTGAGGAGTATCTAATCTGTACAGTTAGCATGGTCAGAATCGAATCTTCGTTAACGCAGCCAGGACCCACAGCTGTGTTGAGGAAAAAACAACTGTAAAATTGTGTAAACTATTTAAAACGTTAAAAAATAACTTTTTTTGGATTCCCTTTTAAAGATTTAGAATCTGAGTACCAGACCAATCCTGCTAGTTTGAAGTCTAATAAGATAATTAATAATTAATAAGATGTTTGTTATCAAATTATTTAGCTATGTTTTTTTTACAAATCAATTTCAAAATTTTTACACGGTTCCCAAACATTAGATTTTTTAGCTTTTGTCTGACCTGTATACTTAGTTGTACAACTGTGGCTGGCTAAACAATAGCCAGTTATATTATAGATGTTATTAATATATTAGCTTCTCTATTAAAATACAGCCAAAATAAATACAACATTATTTGTATACGGCTAATTATAGGACATTGGTGTGTACAAGCGTAACTACCTATTGAACAAAATATCTACATATCATACGCTATTAGTCCAACTAGGGACTTCATTTGAATTCTTATAATGTTTGTGATACTTGAGAATTTATAAAATAATAATAATATTCTAATTCAAATTCATTTCTAGACTGTAGAAAGAAAAAAACAGAAATCTACTTCACAAATGAATTAAAAATAAAAAGAATATTGTTTTTGATTTCAGGACTTATCGTGGCAAAACGACATTGGTTTAGCTAATATCCGCCAACAGTTTATTAAAAAGGTAGATGACAATAATGCTGTTTAAGAAATAATCAAATGCGAATATTGTTTTAACGCAAAGCCATTGTCTATTCATTTTAGCAACCGTTTTGGATGGAAGGCATAGTGGCAACTCCAGAACTAATATTTCGCTATCAGATGCAACCTAGAGATATCAACGAAGTACTACAACAAGACATGAATGCGTTAAACGAACTCACTCAAGTGAGTTGATATTATAGGCATTTTAGATGCCCGGAGAACTAAGAAATCGACAATATTACTAATACAAAACAAATCATTTTCATTTACAGCCTATATTGGTTAGTGAACAGTTGCAACAGCTATATATGGAAGTAAACGTGAATGCGGCTGAGTCGAAACCATTGATGGTCGAAGATGAAACTTCTTCGAGTAGTAGCGATGAATGTTTAATTTCCATTGGCGTGAGTGTACATATTATAATAATAAACCAAATCGAAAATAGCAGAATGCTTTCTGATTGATTCTACAGATAAAATAAATTAAGTTTCAAAAGGCGCGAAAACTTTATATTAATACTTTGCTTAAATATTTATTTGATGACTACTACTTTATATGACTGCATATTTGAATAACTAGATTTTAACGTGCTTCTCCGTTTTTATGTAATAGAAGAAAAAAAATGATAAGAACGACTTCAGCAAAATGGCTATGATGTACGAAGAAAATGCTCCATTACCACCACCGATCGATATACTCACACGAAATGTTTGAGAGGTATGATCAATCAAGGTTATTACTTATTAGTAAAGTCTTGCCAAAACTGCCAAGTTAATGCCAATCAAATGGTTTTGGACCCGCTATAACTTCTAAGCCGCAGATCCGATTTCTTCTTGTAACAACTCTATAATAGATCAGAAATCGTACCAGTTAGGTACTTAATGGGTATACAATTAATAAAATTCACGTTTTCCTCTTTAAAATCAAGAAAAATACCTAAATATTTGTTTATTTTTTAACTCAAAATTGCGGCGAGTTATACCTTTTTTAAAACCAGTAGAATGAGTTCCAAATTTGTATGGAATATTCTTTAGACATATTATTGTAAATATACCACGTTGACAAACCAGATAAATATCAAAAACCCTTTTCTCTAAAACATTTGGGCACTAGAAATTTCTAGGTTGCTTTGTCCCAGCGAAATGTGAATCAACAAGAGTATCTGGCAAATGTTTTCATTATATTGTCAATTCTAATATTGTATCCACTCTAATACTAAACATAGTAAATACACATTTAGGCACGTTTTTGCGTTTATAATAATTTTTATCGATACTTCTATTTCTTTTTTGCGTCATCGACAGGTTCTTGTCGAAGCGTTTATTTGAAAATGATTTTATCATTTACAGTTATATTAATACCTGTAGACCTATATCATCTCCCGTCCCCACTGTACTATATAGCTATATTTTTAAGTAGTTATACAAAGTGACCGATTTATCTTGAACCACTCAATATCTCACTGGGCTCAATAAGAAATTAAATTTTTTCTTTACATAGTGTTTTTATGCAATGTGATCTCAATTTTGTTTTTTGTTTTTACCCCTCTCCCAACTGAGATTTATCGATAGCAACTTTAAATCCAGTGAGATATTGAGTGGTTCGCGATAAGTTGACCACCCTGTGTAGAAATAAATATTAAAACAAATTTATTTAATTATTATTATTTAAAAAAAAAAAGGCATTTATTTGTGTTAATTAGTCCTAGTGATTGCTTGGAATGTTTAACCCTTGCAAATTTATGGTTATTAAAATAAGTTAGGGTATCAAATGAATTTGAATATAGCTAATGTTTTAAATTTTACTAATCTTATATTTAATTGTTTAATGATCTGACTAACATAATATATATTATATTTATTTTTTTATACAATAGGTGTTCAATAACCAAACTTGAAACTACCAAATAGATTTTGGACTTCGTCGAAGATAAGAAGCATATTATTCGCTCCTTAAATTTGGTTTATGTATGTTGAATAGCATTATTTAGTTTTAAGATTACCTTTTATGTTATTATTAGTAAATTAGGTTACTAATGCAAAGCATATTGCACATTTTGTAACGAAGGCACTTGCCGACTAGGCAATTAAATGTTTTATTATTATTATTACCATTCTAGTTTATAGCTGGTGAAACACGTTTATTTGTATTAAGGTCTTTGTTCCTATTTGCTCAATCGAAGGGGCTACGTTAGCCAAAGATACCATTTCGTTTTTTGTCTCGGCGCCTAAAAAACTAAAAACACAAATATTATGTATTTAACGACTGTATAATGCATCTTATTTTAATCGCCAGAAATGTTTTCATTAATTTTATTATTATCATTATTATATTAAACTCATAAATTCCCGTCGGCTTCTAACATCAACTAGGTATACCAGTGTAACGAAGTGTCGTCAGCAAATATAGGGTTCACTGTATAAAAAAAAAATAAGAGATTAAGGACTTGGGTAACACTACAATAGAGTTTTTGACTTAAATATTTTTGTCAAGATCGCGTGATCTTTTTTTTTTTACTTAATTATTATAAGGGTATATAACAAAAACATATTTAAGGTAATAATTGTCTACTGTGAGAAATTTGCATGTCTATGAAATATTATATATTGTATAACTCTATTGATACAAATAATATTAGGTGATACAATTTTATACTTATCACTTTAGTTTGTCATTTTAAAGAGGGTCTACACTAGAGTCATCTACACCTGTGCGATTTTTTTTGATAGAGCAAAATTTGTTATTTCATGCCGAGCCTTTTTTTTCATTAATCAAGCTCGGTTATTCAAAGACAATCACATATGCGTAGACCGAGTCATACATAACTATACATTATAATATATTATTAAGTATAAACAATTATCTTGTTTATCGTGATTTATATCCAAAAAAATGTGAATTTCGTCAACTATCAAGCTTTATATATTAAAATTACTTTTTTTTTCTGTTAACAATGTTTAATTTTATTCGTTATAAAATGAGTGTTAACAATAAATAATTAAATGTATGATATAGTATATAGTATATATATTTATGTTTTTTTAATTTACATAAAAAAAAAAGATGTTTAACCCATAATAAAGTCTATGTATCAAACCTACCTATCCATTTTAAATTTTAATGGGTTAAAAATGTTTTTGAAATATTATGCACTAATTTTTTTGCGATTTGTCGTACGTTCGTTAATTTTTTTATGTATTTACCTATTTTTAATAATAAACTATTTTCAAACATATGTAAAATAAATAATAAAATTAAAATGTTCCACAATAAAACCACAGTTAATGTTACGCCACCACAATAAGTGATTGGTTTTCTTCGTCTAACACACATTCATTTTAGTTTTAAATTTGTTTATTGACTTATTTTTTTTATGAAAATGTATTAACTTGGTACTTGAGCTATGAGCTTTGATTGTCGCACATTGCCTGAAATAGACATTATTTGTTTTGACTACACAGTTGACAGTGCCATATAAAAAATGAGTCTCTATTAAGAAAAACCACCGGTTAGGTTAGGTACGCTAGTTAGTATTGTATAAGGGCTATAAACCCTTCCTTGATAATAGTGTAAAATTATAATATTTTTGAGTTCGTATTATAATTATCGTCGGTGTATGGGCGTATATGGACTGTCCCTTAGAATAATGGAATGTTGGCAGCACAACATACACCAACGCCATGACACTTTCTGTTATCAAAAACTGCTGCTTCGTTTATGGCTAACTTCACATTCGTATCAGAAAGGTACTTTTTAATAGGTCAAACATTTTGAAAAGTCAACCCTTTTTCACTCAAAATTACAATGCTCCATAACTTGTTTTAGAAATAGTCGAATTAGTTCAACATTTTTATGGAATATTCTTTAAACATAGTACTATCGACAAACCAAAATAAGATCAGTAACCCTTTCTTCTATTGTCTTTATTTCACTTTTTCAAGCAGTTTTAGATTTAGGTCTAAAAATCAGACCGAAGGACGAGGGTAGATCTATAATGGAACTATGACATTTACAATGTTCTCAAAAATCTGTAGTCATACCTATTTTTCTTAAGGAAATCACCCTAAAAAAGGGGGAAATTACACTTTGACCGTAGCCAATTATGTGAGTTAATTTTGCTACTAAGGACCGCTGCTTCCTTTTATTTTTCGACCTCATTTGTGTATTAAAAAATAACGTAAGTCAATAATTATAGGTTATATTGTTTTAATTATTTATGGTCAAGGTAGAATATTTAAGAAATATGAATATCTAATTTACTAAAAAATCAATGAACAAATAGAAGAAACAATAAAATAAGTTATAAGCTTAATTTCTTTAGTAATTAAGTCGTTTACTGTTTATGTATTTTTTCAGCTACTGCTCATAGAAAAATAGATTTGAACAAAGAATACCATTATACAAATTTTATAAACCAAATTCCAAATACTCGTTTAACAAAATTTGACGACTTTAGAATTTCTTTCAAAAAAAGAAATTGTCAAACAGCCTATATTTTACCTTAGAAGATTTTTTTATTGTTTTTGCATTAATAAAGTTAATATAACTTGATATATGCACAGACGTAGAATTTTAGTACTTGCCCAAAATTATTTGAATGTATTTTCTTTTAACTGCCATTTTGAATATTCACATAACAAAATATATTACATTTTTAATAGAACGACTTGAAAAAATTACATAGCTCTTATAACTCAAGTAAAGTATAAAAACAGCATAATATTTAACGTCATTCCGATGGTATGGATTGATGAAAAATCAAAGTCTACACGCAAAACAGTAATACCCTGGAAATCATTATTTTTAGACATAGTACAACCAATATAATACAGTGAAAACGAGTATATTATTAACCTTTGACCTCAAAAGCGAAAAGTGTAAAAACATTTTTAAATTTAAACAGTTATTTAAAAATACATAATATAAATACAATACATTCCCGCTGTTATAACAAATCAGTACCTATGTCTTATAGGTTGTAAAATTAGTTTAAATTTCTAAAACATCAAACTTACATTTCAATAAAATAATAACAAATAAACATAATCACAAAAAAAAAAACAAGATACTTTAATGCTTTTTTTTTTTGGAATAGTTGTCATATTAATTGTTCTTTTGTACTTTGGCGTTAGACATCATTGCTTGAAAAACATTTAGCTGTGGTTTTTGAATAAATACTTTTTCTGAAAATTAACATTAGTTTAACTATTAATATAAGATAATTACTACAATAATTATTATAATAATTTTATCTACACCACAATTTTATTATCCATATTTATTTATAAGGTTTTATTAAATACCTCTCAGCTAAACAGTATCAAAGCAATCTATAACATTACCAGGCTAAAATCAAGAAAAACTGACACTCTTCCTATGTTAAAATAAGACACCATAACTTTTTTAAGATTATACATTTATCTGATTGGTTTATATTAAACCAAAAGTTGCCAATATGTCCGGAAAAAAATATTGGTTTTTTTATAGTATTAATAACAGATAAAAATACAATTTTTTTTTTTTATACGATTTTTGGCTAAAAATTGCAATTTTGTATTAGTGTTGTCAGACAAGTTAACCACTAACATAGCACTGCATAACTGAAGATACATTTTATACTTTCCATTACCAATCAAAAATGTGCTATTGTTTTAAATATTTCAAAATTAACCCTTGCCTGGTTTATGGTTCAAAAAAAAAAAAAATAAAGCTACGATTATATTATCAATGTTATTACCGTTTAAATAGGGTTTCATGTTATTTTGTAGTAATACTACTTGTTTATGAACAAATATTGGTTGAACATTTTCTGTTATTCTTTTAATATTTTGTTTATTTTCTTGCATATCACTTTTTTGTATTTGCCGTACATCAATCTTCTGTATTTTTGATTTATTAGATGAAAGATTCATGTCTAAATTGTTCATGGGTCTTTTCTTGAAATTTTCCGAATGAATATTATTTCCACTAGAATGTTGAATGGCTTGAATACTTTTGAGTTCTTGGTCATATTTTTTAATATAATGTTCAACTAATTCAGTTATTTCTTTAAATTTAATTGTGATCCAATTGTCATTTAATGATTTTGAAATTTTACAAAAAAGGCGTTCCAAAACAACTACAAAACGTTTTATCGATTCAATATTTAAACCTAAAAGAAACAACAAAATTAATAATTAAAAGAAAATTAAAAAAAAATAAAAAATTTACTTACTAGTTATTTTTAAAGCCTTGAATAAATAATACCAAATTGACACTAATGATTTTAATAGTGTCCTTTTTGATTTATTTGTTTTAAGTGTTGTATTAAAAGTAGCATATAAACTTGGGTTAGAAAACCCACAGCTTATATAATCGGATAACAAATAAATGAGGAGCATTCTCTCAGGCAATGGTTGATTCATATTTGACCAATCGTCCAATTCATTTTTCTAAAAAAGTAAAACAATTTGTAAATATTAATAACAATATGCAATATGCATTTTTTTTTTATTTACTGAACTAAAATGGACTTTTACATGTTGTGTAATAAAGTCATAATACTGTCAAAATGTATTTTGGATATTTAAAGGAGGCTTAGGAATTACTTAATCTTAATAATAGGATACTTAATTATTTTTAAGATAAGGTATATTTCTAAAATATACAAACTTTAAATAAACAAGATCAATATTTACCATAGTTTTATATAGTGAAATAATATACAAACAGTAACTGAACTATTCTGTTTACCTATATTACTACTTTACAATAAACATTTGATACGTAGTTGAAGAAATCATATAAACTGTTGGATAATAGCAAAGATACTTAACTACCTACTGAAATACAGAAAATGGAAAATGTTATCAATAATAATACTGAAGACAAAAGTGAGACATTTGATCTGGTAAATTGGAAGCATTCTTTAGTACCCAACGATACAAATAACTCGGAAACCGTAGAGGAAGATTTCGACATTAATGACCGTTCAAATATTTTAAACACTATAATTCCGTCAAAATATAACACCAATAATTTTGAAACTTGGTACTTAGAACTATCTAATAAAGAAGCTACAAGAAAAGATGTTTATAGATTAAAAAACAAATTTGATATGTTACTAAAAGATATGAGAGCAAAAAGTGATGGAATATGTTTGACTAGAAGATTTATTTATAAACAGTGTTTCAATGAAATAATTAGGCAAGTCACAGTCAAAAACTTTTATCAAGGACAGCTGTTAATAAGAATCAGAGACGATGTTATGGCGACATTATACACATATGATAAACTAACTATATTAAGCAACAAATACATGCGTGATGACTTGAACGAAATCATTAATCTTGAAGCTGATATTTCTTCTTATTTAAAAGAACAAAGTACTTTGCTAAATAGCAATCAAGAAATTTATAAAAAAATAGCTATAATTCGCAAGAAAGCTAATTTTAATGAACGATTAGCGACACAAAAACAAGAAGTTGAAGACCAATTGCATAATAAAAAATTGGAACTATTAAATGGCACTTTATTGCAATTAAAAAGTCAACTTGAAAATGTAAAAGCAGTAAAAAAAGAGACATTTAAAATAAACATATAACTTTATTAATTGCAATATAAACGTTAAAAAAAACGCAGTATCAATGCTATACACTCGCAATATACTCGTGTTTTATCATTTAAAATATTTAATAGAATTATATTGAGCTACATGTGAAGTGGAAAAGGTACAACAATGCTATATTTACATTTATTAGATACGAGTATAAGTATTCGAATATAAATTTTTTTAGAGTAAAAATTATAGATGTACCCTAATGCTTACAAACCTCGTTTCACGGCATTTCAAAGGTTAATTGACTCTCATATAGGTGTAAACCAAGTACACTGTACTATAAACCAGTACTTAGTGAGAAATCATCGAAATGAGGTAGATATTTTGTTAAAAGTAGGTGTAAGTAGCAAATGTTTGCTATTTATAATTCCTCATCTGTATATTTTTTTTGAAAGATCTTTCATTAATTATACTTCCAAATTTTTTACCCAACACGACTTAAATCAAGCAAGTTAAACCAAGGATAGTTCAAATAGGCCTGATATAAACTCAACACTGTAAAAAAAATAGCAGGTACTTCAATCTTTTGAAGGATGATTCAGTGAACACTACTATGAATGTTGTTATTTCATTACAGCAACAATTCTTCGTTAGGTATTTTATTGAACTATAAGATGTAGGTACGTTATAGAGTTCATGGGAAATTACAATTGTAAATAAGTAGGTACTCACTATTATGTCATAGCAGTTCTCAGACGTGAGGTAAATGAACGAACTATATACTGGTATTTCTGTGTCCACTAAAGTCTTCAACGCCAATTCCTCGGTTATATGATACATCTTATTGTAATAGGCCAATAACTCGGAGAACCCCATTATATTATGCGATTGTGACATTTTATTTAAATATCTTCGAGTAATTCAGAATTCAGGTAATGATGAAATGAAATTTATCAGACGTGGCATAGCTTCTGGACGAGTTGCCAACCACCAAAGTGCAAAACACAAAGAAGAACTGTTGGCATGTAATAAAGAACAAAAGACAAAGGTTTTCTATAAACCTTGACAAGAAGTAACTTAGAAATCTTGGTTATAGAACAGTAAATACCGGTCATTGCCCATTGTTCAGTGACCAGTGTTCACACGAGCTACCACAATTCACAAAAACCAAAAAGGTGCCAAGACGGGCAACCTGCAACCATCGAATCAGTGTCAATTGGCAGCCATTGCTAAATATAAAATCATACAGCCAAAAGACATTTGTTGATAAGTGATAACAGCTGTTTTGTTAATTAACATTATTACACGTCTTGTATTATGAAATATATTTAATAAATCCTAGTTAAGACTTAAGATAGATCAAGATGTGTATTTGTAAATGTATTTATGTATTTTTTTCTCCTATTAATTTGAACTAACACAATTTATTTATAACGTCAGAATTAAAAAAAGAAATAAAAAATAATTTATTTTTGGTATTTACTACTAATTTGTATTCAATACTTGCTTCATAAAAAATACTTAATTTAATCATAGCATATAAGCCATAATATAATTTTATTTCAATTTCGTAAAAGCTGTTTTTAACGGTGTATAAAATAGAGAGACCCAGGAAAAATAAAAAATGTAGACGAGTTTGCAAATATAATAACAACATAATAAAAATCTATATAGTGTACAGCGTACTCGGCCACAGATAAATACGGTAAATTATTTTTAGAGTAAACAAAGACCCGCTTGTAGACGGAATAGACGGAACAAAAGCTGCGATCACCTACAATTACCCTCTAGTGAATCGTCCTAAGTTTAATAAACCGTGTGGAGTGTGAACGCTTCTAATAAAAACCAAACACACCGTTTCAAAACGGTAAGCAACTTTTTTTCCACCAAAAAATAATTATCAATTTTGTTATCACAGTTGTAAAATATAAAATTTTCCCAAATTGAAAATCATCTCAAGGTAAGAGTATTTAATTTTTTCTATACAGAACGTTTCAATTATATTAAAAACTTACAAGGATTAAAGTTCTATGCTCATCATAATTTAACTAAATATTATAGCTTTTAAGTAAATACGTGTATTTAAAAAAAGACTGATACGGGTTATACCAACCAAAAATGATGGGGGGGGTAATGGCGGTCATTTGCAATTTTTAAAAAAAATAATTTAACATTATTTGAAAGATCTGAAACTATACATAATGCCTAACTAGTTAATAATTTTATTTAAAAAAATTTCTGAATATTTAGTTCCAAAGATATTTCAAATCCCGCTAAGTGGCCGCAATTCCCACACCTTCCCCTATTATTGTTCAAGTTGATAATTTTAATTATACGTCCCGTACCCTCTGTATACAAGTACAGAGTATAATTATATCTAGTATAATACAATGTATAATTATAATATACTATATATTATTATACATTGTTTAATTATACCCTGTATAATAATATAGGATATTATAATAATAGTAACTTGCAAGTTGTATGTTAAATTTTGAACACGTATCAAAATTCAAAACGGTTCGAGCGCTTGCGAGAAATCGCATACAGCGTGAACATGGTATAATGCCTACAACAATCCGCCCTATTTTATTTAATGTTAAAATTTTACCTTAGCACTTGCTGTGTGAAAGATTTATGCGGAAGCGTTTGATTAAGTAAGTATTGGTAAGTGTACGTTGTAACGGAAGCATTTCATTATGCCCGACATGGAGTTTTAAAATACAGTTTTAACAACAATAACGTTTACTAATAATAATAATTATTATTATTATTAGTAAACCTTATTGTTACCTTACTGTATTTTAAAATTATAAATTATAATTTATAGCAGAAAATAATTTATACAATTTCAAACAAATGTGGAAAAAGTATTAGTTTTTTTTAAGAGGAGTTTTACATCATAGAGTGTAAACACTATGATAGTTAAGCTATGAACTAACCTCTACCGACTCCTCGTAATTGTGTTAATTATAAAAAAAATAAAGATTTTATTTTTAACTAACAATAAGATTCATACAAAAATAGTTTATACCTACCCTTTTATAATTATTATCTTGAGATATTGGTTCCAATTTTTTTTTTTAATAATAATACTTAACGATAACATTAGATATGTTGTTATATTATGACGATGATGTAATAACAATTAAATTAATAAAAAGTTAAATGATTTTTTTTTTTAGAATGTGCGTAATAAGTTTAATAATCTACAATCAAAGGTAATGTAATATCATAGGGGTATAAAAAAAATTTAATTTGAGTGTAAGGGACTCCATTTTTCAGTGATGTTTGATGAGTAATACGATAAGAATAATTAAAATTCTAAGAAAAATACAATTATTGTTTAGGAGTGTAATAGATGAAATTAACCTTTATCTGATCTGGGGGATTTATCATGGACCCCTATTAATATACAACCACTGATCATTCTACGCACTTTTGCGTTTTGACATTTGCAAAAAAATGGATCATCGGCTTTCAATTTTATTTTATTTTTTTACGCAATAATACATATAAAGCTCTTAGGTCGCTTAGGTTATTGGTTAATTTTACTTAATTTTCACCAATTTAACTTATCTCATCTGTACGGCTGTGCGATGTGCCTTCGATAAATCGTTTATCATTTTTTTTTGTTTAACCTCTTTAGAAACCTAGTAAAAAAAAATTAGCATAAATAATTTGTATGTCTGTAATATAAAATATTATATAACCAAAAAAAGTAAAAAGCTGTAAATTCCAATTCTATTAATTTATTATATTACGCATATTGAATTTAACCTATTTAATTAATAATAGTATAATACTAAAATACCCATTTTTAATTATTTAATCGTTTGTTTTCAGAATGAAACATCTAAGTACACCCAGGTATATATTATTGCATTATTTTATCTTTAAAACTAAATTGCCTTAACAAACATTTTGTATTATGGTTTGGGTTGTTTAACGTATATTTATTCTACTGTTTTATAAAAGGTTTTAGCCTGCTTGTTTTTATTATATGAATTAATACAAACATGTATAAATACTAAGCAAAATGGCCATCGCTGCATTTCGACCATGGCGGAACAATACATTTTTATTATTGTTCCAAATTAATCTGTTCCGACCATCTGAAATAATACTCGTACATTAAAAAAAAATGCTACTAAGTAGGTATAATATAATGTTATATTAATATATAATATGGGTCAAAACGCCAAATTTGAACGAACGTTTGGGCCGACCCCCCCGCCGATTTTTTGAAAATACACTGCATATCTGTTACAATAAATAAATGATCTCAAATTTTTTTTTCTCGATTATTTAGGCTATAGTTGTAGAAAGGATTTTGAGTTTTTATCTTGACACCTCTTTTTTTATCGTTTTATTTATAGTATCTACGGCTATCAATAAAAATTAGTTTCTTAAGACACAAACTTAAAATTATTTTTACGACGATGATCAAAATTATTCAAAAAAGAAATCCAAAAAAATTTGAGAACATTTTTTATCGTAACAATATTATGCAGTGTATTTTTAAAATAATCGGCGGGGGTCGATCCAAACGTTCGTTGAAATTTGGCGTTTTGACCTATATTATATAAAAAAACTTTAAAAATTCTCCAAATCAATTTACATTTTAGTCTCAAGTAAAACGTTTTTCAAAAAATTAAATAGGGTACACGCCTAAAAATGTTTAAACAAATTGTTAGCGAAAAATCCCGGATGGAATCCGGACACAGCGAAATCCTGTTTTTTAAATGCGTATATTAATTTAATTATTTAAAAAATTATGTTAATTTTAAACGACAATTTTATTTATTGAGTTGTAAAAGGAAATGTATTGTTCCAAAAAGATTGGAACAACTTTATACTTCTAATGCTTGGTTGATACTATACATATTATCAGTATTTACTGTTATTTAAATACATTGAAACAAAAAGATGTCAAACAAATTTACCTACATATTATATATCCATATGCTTAAATGTGTTTATACATGTGATTAATACTAAATACATAATATATTTCATCTCAAAAATAAAGTTTAGCCTGTAAAGGGTCACGGGGAAAAAAGATCAATGTCAATATTTTTAAATCCCATTTTTGAAATTTACTAACTTACAAAATGACATTTTAGGAAGGGTTTGAGCGAGAGGAAAACATATGTTGACGGCAAACTAAATATATTTGAGTAAAGGAAAAAAAACTGTTTACTATTACAAAAATTGAAAAATAAAATAGTATCTCATTTTCACAAAAAAAAATGACATTGATCTTTTTACTCCGTGACCCTTCATGTGTATACATATTTTATATTCTTACTTAGTGCGAAAGATTTTGAAGCGATTTTTGGCTGTGATATCTGGATTGAATTTTTGCAGTAGGTATTAAACATTTAATTATCATGTTTTTATATTTTTCAGTCCGACTCTGGCAAAACACAATTTGGAAATCACAGAGATTATGATGAGAACGAAAATCCGGTAGTTATATATCATTTTACTATACTTTATATGCTCACCGTAAGTGTGATTAATCGAGGGAGATATTATGCGGATATCGAAAGAATAAGATGCGAATATTATGTGTAGTGCGAGAAGTAGCTGGAGTAAGCAAAGGCGGTATGGTCGTGGCCAAAAGAAGCATAGCAGTGGAATAATGAAGTTCATAAGGTTCAATGTGGCTCAAACTAACTTTTCCAGTGACCTTTGGATTAATTTTATTTTTACTATTATATGAAAAATATTTGGTTGGTAAAAATAGTATAGCCTTTTTGCTATAAAATTTAGTAGACTAGAATTTTAATTTTTAAGTTGTGTTTGAGTCTATAATGAAATATAATTATAGTGAATATTTTTAGTAATACATACGATACTGTATCTGACATGCACTACAATTGAAAAATTGTCCATGATACAGATGAATTTTTAATTACATTTCTCGTGTGATTTCAGTATTTTCAGAATAATTACCCTGTAGGTAATACAATCGGTCGGTCGGACAAGTCTGATTCGTTTGAAGGATCCTACGAAAATAACCATCAAGAGGTAAAAATAAAAATAATAGTTTTCATATTATCCTTTTCAGTGTCATTCTTTTAAGCCAGCTAATGATAGTACTAATATTTCCATGTTATTATAGTGTTAGAGTCAAGAGAGACCCTTCAATGATCATTTTTCTATGGGAATTGATTATTCTATAAATTATCAATAATAACACAGAATAGTACAATTCATTTTTGATATTCATACAACAAACTAACTGTAACATGTTAAAATCACATTATTATTTTATAATCACTGACAGATATGTTTATTCATCAATTTTTCTTCTCCCTTTGTTCCATTAACCAGCCATAAATCTACATAATTTAAGAGTTTTGCACCCCCGAGCCCCCCCCCCCCTTATGATGAATTTAAAATCATATTATTTATACCTTAGCCGTTTATAGAAGTAGAATAATTAAGGAATTTTGGGTTTTAATTTATCTTTTCTTAGGGACGTCAATCACCAGTGGTTTATATACAATGTCCCATTTAATTTTTAAGTATTATGTTTTTGCGTTCGAATTTTGTATTGTTAATAAATCCCAAAAAACAGCAAAGTTACTAGTCAAAATGGAATTTATCAAATTATTGTTAATTGTTTTTCTGATTTTTAGAAGCGAGTAGTGAAATTAATCGACTTTTGATTCTATAGTAACATCAAATTTCTATTTTTAAAAACGTACCTAGCATTTCCTTAATCCAATTTCGACAGAGAAAAATAGAGAGAAACATCAATCATTTAACCAATCTTTGGTTTATTAAAATATGTATATTAATAATTTATATTGTATATGAAATATGATGCGGTATAATAGTAAAATTTCATACCTTTAATAATATACTTTGTTCCAAAAAATAATATAGACACCAGCGAAAAAGATGAAACGCGTTGCTCTATCAAAATGTATTACTATATTTTTTGTGCAAGTCAAACGCACAAATTATTTACCATTCGATTATATATTATTGTATTTATAACCATTCTTTAAATCTAGAAATTTTAACATTTCAAATCCCATTTAGCATAAATAAATAATGTTTGTAGACATCAATTTTCAATGATCTAGGATGCCTAATCTAATTTGGTTGGATTTTACAAGGATAAGGTTAGGTTTTATTCCAGCAATAACAGAAATGTCCACTCATCATTCATCACAAGCTTTAATTTTCAAAGTTGGGGTCTTTATTTTTTCAATACCATTTGAATATTGTAATTTTGTAAATTTTACAAAACTAACACATGAAACCTAGACTAGTCCAGCTCACGAAAACTGAACGTTCAGGGCCGATGGGCGGCGGCCAAATGTTGTCGATGCCAGTGGTTCTCCGTATTGTGTACGTATCATTGTTGTTGTCAGCTGTTATGTTAAAATATACATAATAAACATAATTTTATTAATTGTTTTTAATTGCTATATTCTTAATACGTAACGTAGTGCGCGAGACGAAATAATAAAATATGTACATTTTAACATTTCAAAAAGCGCGCCAATTATTTTGATACCCACTAATGGCAATTTGCCAATGGTAGCGCTAATGTCAACGTTCAGTTTTCGTGAGCCGGATATAGGTAAAAAAAACACCATACACGGTAAAACAAATTTAATACCATGATTTAAGGAATTGTATGAAAATAATATGAATACAATTATTTTCACAATTCGAACGAAAAACAAACAATTGTTTTTTTATTTCGAGCGAACAACAAAATACTTTTAATATTTACTTAAATTGGTAATATTTGTATTATCATGAAAACAATTGTTTAGGATAAAGTCGTCATTTGTATTTAGTTCACAATTATTTTTTTCATAGTGTTGGTTTTTAGTTTTATTATACTACCATACGTAATACTAGTTTTAAATTTTCAATTTATCAGTTTGTAAGAATGTATTTAAAACAAATTATTGTATTTACGTTTTTATTTTATCACTACACGACAGCGGATAATATTTCAACTCCGTCTACGATCACGACTACGGCTAATGCGTGTGTATATGTATGTTGCAAAAAACTAAAATGGTGAAATAAACATTACATTTTTAATTTAACCGAAATTACATTAGTTATAATAATCTTATTTATATTAATTAATTAATAATAATAATAAACTCATGTATCTCTTGACCTCTCCTCTATACTTAATTTTAACTCGAGCCGAACGATAAGTGGCCTTCAGCCGATCCACTTCTCTTGTGACACACCTTCCCCGTCCCGCAATTAGCGCCTAGCGCTACTAGTCGGTCCGTGGTCGTAGGGGACCCCTTAGGGGCGAACCACTAAAGCCAAGGTACGATCGTACTTAATTTTAATTATGAGATTAGATCATTAACAGTATCTTGTTGTTTATCTTGGAGGCTGTAGTACTATTAATTGTTTATTCGTGTGTAATATATTATCATTTTTAACAATGTACATAGTTTTAATTGTTGAAATAAATTGTTATGCAAAACTTCAACAAAAATAATTATATATAATAATTGTAAGAATGAAAAAGTCCACTTGGGCGGCTACAAAGATCATTTAATTTAGTTATTTACTTAAGAGGCCTTCACATCTGTTTTTTTTGTTGTTTAAAAACAACTCATTCTAATATTAATGGTACTCCGAAACGTATAATGCGAAAACAGTTTTGGAACAGGTATAAATATTTGTGCTTTATGTTTCGTATGCTTTATGGTCGTAGGACACTTTTAATATTTGTTTTAATAATATTATAGTAAAAATGCTAAACAAAATGTAATTTTAGCATTATACATGATTTAGCCTTGGCCCCTCTGCTCTAAAACGACACTCAATAACGAAACTAAATTGCGTTACTTAAGTAGCGCAGTAACTAAGCAATGAGGTTGTTATTTATTTGACCAGAACATACGAGTATAGATTTTACTATCATCATAAATCGCAATGAGATTATAGATCAGCAATAATAACTATTCAGGAGCCTGCAGGGTAAAGCACGTTTCATGTTTTATAATTTTAGCCGTAAGGCTTTAAGTAGACTGTAACTTTTTTTCCAAATAGAAATAATTAATTAACTAAAACTAATTTTAAAATTATGCACGATTGATGCCTTGTAAATGTTATGAAGAATTTAAAAAAATGTAAATACTTAAATTGCTTTTGAAGATACTTTGAATCCGTTAAGTTTTCTCTTTTCGGAGTTTCAAATTAAACATGTTGATTGCTATATAACTGTAGCTCTGTAAGGCTGGTCGTTAACTTGTTTGTATGTTTTAGTCAAAAAGTTTAATTAGCTGTGTATTTTAACCAGATTAGTTCCAACAAATAAAACAAAGCTTAATAATTTTTTTTTTTGGTTTACGTTTCGTTTTAAACCGTGGTCTTTCTATGCTAATCTCTCAATAATTTCCAATACTTTTAAATTCCAAAATATTTTCCTTTCTCCTTAAAAAATATATGTACAAAATGTACTAATGTCATATCATAAGAAATTCATAAATTCAGATTTTTTTGTAACTATTAAAATTATTATAAAATGCATTTTAATATAATTTCTGTGAAATACTGGAATGTCGTGTATGGTGTATACAATATTTAATACATAGGTATTTGATTATTTTTTAGGACGATGAGGATAACACGACGGTAAAGTAATAATATCCCTGAAAGAAATAAACAGTACATTTATTATTATAGTGTTAAAATCATTAAATTTTTGATTTTCAGAATGATGGCATTGATGAAATTAATAATTTGATTTCATTAGGAAATCTAGTCAGAAGTGACGACCAAAAATCTAAGGTAATCTAGGTTTCATTATATTTTTAAGTAGCACAGCTTAAATGAATAACTTATTATTTTATTTATTAAAAACAAATCTATGAGATTTTAAACTTTCTAATTGTATACCAAGGAATTTCGAGGTTTTTAAGTTTATTAACTCACAATTTAATTAACTATAATTTTAAATTGAACATTTTAATCAAATCTTACAAGTGTGAATGCATTTTTAATACAAATAATGGATATTCATTATTGAATTGGATGCTCATTTCAAACAAATGTAAATGATACGCAAATCTTTTAAACCCCAACATTTTTGGCTTGTTTAGTTTTGTCTACTTGTAAGCTTGCTTCGTCTCTATCGTCCCTGCGTTATAATCATATATTGATATATTTTGTTTTTTCTTGATTCTCCTCTAAACCTATCATCTGGTCTGATTCCAAAAGTACAATTATAGTTGGCGGTCACTTTGTTTCTAGAGTTCACCAAAACAACCATATAATCCGAAGTGTTTTTGAGACAGTTGTCTAACTGATATGGTGCTGAAACGGATGACTGATACCGTATTGGTCAATTATCGATTTTCCACATTGGTATTTTCCCACAATGTCTTGTTCTATAATATACCTACCTAATACATTTTTTAACTAAAACATATACTTAAATATTATTATGTACGTTTTCAGAATAAAGGCGAATTCGTTGCTGACATTTTTTCACCCTATAACAATATTGAAGACGAAATAGTAATTAAATTTTATTTTATTATTAAATACGCGTGCTCAACAAATATGGATGATTAAAAAAGAAAAATATAAATGCGAATTCATTTTAAAATAAAATAATTGATTAATTTTTAGTTAACTACTAAAAAATATAAACAAACCAATAGTGTTATGTGCTCCAAGATTTAATGAATAATAATTTATCCAAAAAAAACTAAACATCCTTTATAATAATAATAATAAAAAAAAAATTCATTAAAATGAAATACATTACATTTTTAATCATTCATGTCCATTTTCAGATCGGAAAGTGGAATCATGAATAAAATAAATTTTAGTGATATTATTAAAATAAATATATAATTTATAATAATAATAATGTAAATTTGTCCATTTTCAGAACGAATACTCAAATGCTAGTGGGAATTTCTATGATTATAAAAAACCGGTAATCTATATTCTCTTTATTTAAGTTATAATTCATTCTGATTTGAAATTATGATTCGATAAATGGTTACAAATATTAAGGCACCGATAGGTACTAAACATTTTGACTGGTCAATAACCAGTTTTGAATAACTATTTTTGATGTTATTGTTTAATATAAATTTATAATTTTATGTAAAACATAAAAATGTGTGTGATATTGAGATCACATTTTTTAAAAACACTATACAAAAGAAAAATGTTATTACTAATTAAATCTTATGAGATATTGAGTGGCCCACGATACAAAAAATCACCCTGTAATAGTTCTACAGCAGCTAATAAAAAATGTTTACAACATTTTGCGGTGGTTAGCAACTACTAAACTACAAATTGCATACCTATACTTTAGAATATGATATTACAAAAATAGATTACAACCGTGTAAACAAAAGTTTTAGAGTCTGTTACACTAAAATTAAATAAATTATCAGTTTAACTAAAAATCAATCTAGAGCTCAAATTCATTAATAAAAAATAAAAAAGTAAACTTATTAACCTTTAGATATTAACATTTTTCAGCTTGTTGACTTTAATGAGGAGTCGATTATTCCTGAGGTAACTTAAGTTTAAATGTTAATATGATACGTTTTTATGTTATTAGGCATCCAACGACTAAGACTAATAATAAATATAGTACATTTATAAACTGTTTAAGGCTTAAATAAATAAAAATGTTTTATTAGGAACTGTGGTTGTATTGACTAGTGTACTGATAATTAAAATTAAAAAAATCTTTTACAATTTCGCCTTTATAATATAAAAAGTTAATAATTGGGAACAATATTAAATTATAGGTAGAGGTATGTCTAAATAGATACCAATATATTTGTTCCTTATTAAATTATTTTCCAACGATAATAATTACAAATAAATATATACGGGATCTGCATAAATTGTGTACTTATCCAAGAGTACAAAAAGCCTCTCTTGATAGCTGTGTTTATAAATATTACTAATACCTAAAAAAAAAAATAATAGTTTCAAAACTAAATTTTAAAACATTTTAATTATTTCAATTTCGAATATATTCCAATTTATAATATATATTTATTTATACAAACATGAGGGTTGCCCATTTGATTAAAAATCATAAGTCAGTATCAAGTTTTTATGGAATGGGGAAGGTACAAAAGTAATTATTGTATAATCAGTTAATATTTTTCACACAGAAAAGTTTTTTTGTAATCATCTTATTAGTTTTTAAGTAAAGTAGTAAAGGGCGTTAAAAGAATCACCCTGTATTGTTAACTCCTTTACGCATGTGTATAATAATACTACAAAAATAACTTTTTAATTAATTAATCGTTCATGTTTTATAACGATTAGAGAAATAAGCATGGCCTTTCTATGATAATGAACTAACGTTAATCAGTGTTATTTTTATCTTAAGTTTTAATTGAACTAAATTAAAAAATGTAATTTTATATGTCATAAGACATTGTGTAAATTATGTAATATAATAACTGTTAACAAACATTGTGTCTCCAATAAGATCAGGGGAATTTAATTTATCTAATAAAATACACACTCAGTAATACAACTAAACTACTACATTTTAAATGTTTAATGGTTATTGCCTAATTTTAGAATGAATACACAAATTATGGCACTAGAACTACTGGCAATTATGTACTAACGGTAATAATGTGTTTTTATTTTGTTATATATTTTTTAATTTTAAAATACAATTCTACATCAGCTAATAAAAAAGCATGTACCTACTTAATTTTACGGTAGTTGACAGCTAAAATATTAAAACAAACCTACATTGTAGAACATGGTAACAAAAATGTAGAGTACACCCGTGTAAACAAAAGTTTTAGAGGCCGTTACCCTAAAATGTATTAAATTATCAGTTGTATTGAATTTAATCTAGGTAGATAACTAAAATTCCTATGAATAAAGCTCAAATTAATTTATAAGCAATAAAGAAGTATTGTAATCTTATTTAATCTTACGAACATTTTTCAGCTTGATAACTTAAATGAGGATTCGAGTGATGATAAGGTAATTCAAATTAAAATGTTAATACATATAAAATATGTTATGTTTTAATATGAAATAATACATTTGAAAAAATACTGTTACTAAGTATTAATACATATATTTTTTGTTCATCACAAAACTTTAAAAATAGAGCAAATAAATTTACATTTTGCTCTCAAGTAAAACGTTTTTCAAATAATTAAATTGTGTATACCCCTAAACAATTGTTAGTAAAACATCCCATTTGGAATCCGGACACAGCGAAAACATGTTTTTTAAATACGTAAATTAATTTAATTATTTAAACAACTAATGAAACAAAAAAAATGTACCTACATATTATATTCCCCTTAATTCATTCAAATGGTTAATATTAAATACTTAATAATATATTTCATCTCAAAAATAAATTTGAGCCTATGTGTATACATATTTTATATTCTAACTTGGTGCGAAAGATTTCCAAGCGATTTTTGGCTTTGGTTTTTAAATCTGTGATGTCCGGATTGAATTTTTTCTGTAGGTATTAAACAGTTAATTATCATGTTACATATTTTTCAGTCTGACTTTGGCCAAACACAATTTGGCAATCACAGAAGTTATGATGAGAACGAAAATCCGGTAATTATATATCATTTTATTATCATACTTTATATGCTCACCGTAAGTGTGAATAATTAAAGGAGATACAATGTGGATTTGGAAAGAATAAGATGTGATTATCATGTGTAGTATGAAGAGAGCTAAAGTAAGCAAAGGCGGTATGATCGATGCTAAAAGAAGCATAGCGGTGGAATAATGAAGTTCATAAGGTTCAATGTGACTCAAACTAACCTGACCTATTTTTTAGTGACTTACTGACATACACCGAATTAAAAAAAAAACCACGATTAATATAATTTTTTATATTTTAATATTTATCTCTCGTGTGCTTTAAGGTTTTTGAGAATATTTACCCTGTAGGCAATACAATCGGTCGGTTGGAAAAGTCTGATTCGATTAAACGATCTGGCGAAAATGAACCTCTAAAGGTAAAAATAATAATAATTTTCATATCATACTTTTCGGTGTGTTTTAATTCAAATAATGATAATATCAATATTTCCATGTAGGTAATTATAATGTTAGAAAAAGAGATCATTCGATGATTTTTTTTCTGTGAGAATTGATTATTCAGGCTGAGGTCACAGCTGTAGGTTTAGAACATAATCTATTGAGTTTAACCTATTCAATTATATATTCAATAATATTACTGAAATAGTTTTTTTAAATATTTAATTTTGTTTCTTCATTGCCTTATCGCATACAAGTTTTAAAATCCGACCACTCTATTCCACTTCACGTTGCTCCATGGCTTTATAAAATTAAGCTAAAATGGGTAAATATTTTTTTTTCCGTTTACGTTTACCTCCAATGCGTGGTCTCTCTATGCTAATCTCCTAATAGTTTTCAAAACTTTTAAAAGCCAAAATATTCTCCTTTCTCCTTGAAAAATATTACAGTATACTACTGTGATATCATAAAAAATTCAGAGTTAATTTTTTTTTTTAAACTTTTCAAGTATAATAAAATGTGTTTTGATAAAATGTCTATGAAATGTCGTGTATAGTGTACATACAGTTAAATAAATATTTAATTATTTTTTAGGACGATGAGGAAAACTCAGCGGTAAATTAATAATATTCCCAAAATTAGTAAATAGTAAATTTGTTATTATAGTGAAAAGTTGTAGTATTATAACTGAAATACTTCGTTTTAAATATATTTAATGGTTAATGCCTATTTTTAGAGTGATGACACTTCTGCCGATGATGTACTAACGGTAATAATGTGTTTTTTATTCAGCTAATAACAAAAATTTACTAAATGGGTAGTTATCTATAAACTTATCTATAAAAGCATACGGTATAGAACATGGTAACACAAGTATAAGGTACAACAAAAGTAAAAAAAAGTTTTAGAGTTGGCTACACTAAAATTTAATAAATTATTAGTCATATTTTGAATTTAAAGTAGGTTAAATACTTATAAAAATATAATTTTGTTACGCTTTATTGTTGTCAGATATCCAACGAAGATGACGGATTCAATCCTTTTTCTAATACAGACTTTAAAAACAAGTATAGTGTATAAAACACAGTATATTTTTAGTTAATATTGTCTTGTATTATGTATCATTTTTGAGAAATAAATAATAATTTTTGAAAACATTTTTGTTTGTACCGTTAATTTATTAATAATAAATATGTTATATTTTGCACACAATTGTACATATTATACACTTTTAACAGCAGTTATTGCCTATGTGTATTGTACACTTAACTAATTGTAACTATAAAGCAGTGTAAGCGTAGAAAACAATGTAAGTTCAATTTATAGTCAACACAGTGAATAACAATAATTTAAGAGTGGTAAACTTGTTAAAAAAAACCAATTATTTTGACAAGTTTTTAATTTAACACTGATACATTATCGGCAAGTTTGTGATTGGCGCTTTTTTTTTTAAATTGCCTTTAAAGAAAAGCTAATTGCTTTTTATCTTTTAAATATGTCTAACGCACCGGCGCGCCGTTCTAGTCACGAACAAATCAAAATTCGTTTAGTAATTTAATCATTGATTTTTTGACTTCTGAGTAACGTTTGTGTTTTATAATATTAAATATTTAACAGTACTGGGTAAACGGATTTAAGGCAAAGTTAAAAGAAAGCAATTTTGCAAACAAAAAATCAGCGTTTTTTGATTTTTACGAAGTAAACTCTATAACCATTCCTCGATGGTCGAGAAACATTAAATGATTTATTAAAATGACGTGTTATTTTTAGTTATAAAAAAATCAAACAGCATACTAAATAAAAAAAACACTATTGAATGAAACACATTTTTTATACTCGATAGTGAAAAAAAATGGTATTTTACAGGGTTTTAAATGCAGATAACGTTCTCGTCTTTGGCACCTAACCTTATTATTACTGCCAAGGACAAGAACAATAGTGCTTGTTTATTTCTGCCAGGATTCGAATAAGTAGATTTACTAAAAAAAATAACATAGATGTTCATTGGTTTTTATCGAGCATTATGCTAAACAGTATTGCCGAGATCAAAATGTAAATACACTTAGGGGAAATCATTTTCGTGCCCGGGTTGTATTTTTTAACAACAAAACGACGATGCCGAGAAAAACGTTAAACCTTAAAAAATAAAAATGTCTGTGTATAAAGGATGGATACCTAACCTTTAAAATTGTAGTTCAAAATTGCTTATCAACCTGCCACAACATTTTTAGTACATTATTTTCAATTTAAAAAGCTAATGAAATGTATGCGTTACTATTTAAGTTTCAAAAGTAGCTATGAAAAAAACTAAGTTAGGGAGTGAAAATTAAAAAAAAATTGTGAAAAATTAAAATCACATTGTATACAAACAATATGAAAAAATAAATTAATTTCTTATTGAACTTTATGAAATAATGAGTGGTTCACGATAAGATAATCGTGAACAATAGATCACATTGTATAACCTTTTTTTCCCTCTTCAGATGCATTACCGCCACCACACCTGAAAAGCAAACGTTTATATTCAAGATAAAAATTAATACAAGAAGACTAGATTTAATGAAATATGTCCAAACGCTCTTTCAAAAGAAATAGTTACTTACGCCACGTATGCTGCCAGACTAAGCAAAAGAATAATTATTTTAATATTTATCATATTAACTGTTCAAATGTACTGTTTATTCGACTGTACTAGGTTACGACTGTACTTTAAATATTCAGTGTTTTAGTACTTACAATACCAACGATTATGTCTACAATTAATCAATACAAATTTGGGGATACAAATGGTTTTAAGTTTGTTTGAACAAATAAAATAAATTGTATTAATATTGTTCTTCAAGACAAATATAGTTGTCTCCAATAACACCGGAGTTATTTATGAGCATATTATGAACATTATTATTTATATTAATTTGGCGTTCGTTGCAGTGTGAAATGATTGTAATAAAACATATGTTATTGCTTAGAGCTTATTATGGTTTTAAAGAATTCTTATTGTAAGTTAGAAATCGTATATAAAAGGTTATTAGAAAGGCCAAAAATCACTTCATGTAAAATCTAACCTGTATTGTTTACATAGACTGCGGTCTCTATGTACATAATACTCATCATTATACAGTTAAATATTAAGAAAATACCCTTGGCACTTTACCCTCAAAAGGATAGACAGCGTGGGCCTAAGCCGATTATTTTCAAAAATCTATAGCAACATTTTTTTTTTTTAATAAGGAAAACTAAAATAGTAAAAACACTAGTCTTCTTTGAAGCAGGCATTTTTTTTTTATTTGAGAAATCATTTAAAATAAATTAAAAACAACTTCAATACATTTTTATTGATAATCTAAGTATTATGGACCACTTACATAGTTGGTAAAAATATAAATATGATGTTATGTGTGAATAGGTTATGAATATATAATATAACTTTTACATAACTTAAATATAGTACTATGAAATACAGTATTTAATAAATTCTTTTATTTTCATCTTTTTTATTAGTTTGCAATAATTAAATTTAGATACATTGAATTTGTATCTTTCATTGTAGATTTACTGTAGTGATGGGAAATATTTGAATATTCGAATAGTTTGGATTAGAATCTCAATAAGGTTTCGAATCTTCAAATAGTATTAAAAATTAATTTACAAATACATTTTTTTCAACTATTCGAATATTCGAATCTTTAAAAATTGGTTTTTTATATTTGTTTTTGCAACATATTTAATGAACTTGTGGTTACTACTTTCATACTATTTTAAACTTGCGTTTATGTATAAAATACAATAGGTAATTTTAATTCTCATAGCAACCGTTTTATTAAAAGGCGGTAATGAATAATAATCTATAATAATATATTTAGTTGTTCGTGTACTACAATTGCCTATACAAAACGCCGTTTAGTGTATCGTGACCTGAAAACAAAACATACATTTTCTACTGGATTCTATTGTGGTTGCAAAAAGCTAATGCTTTTTAGTTTGTAAAAAAATTTGCTGGGACGGTATTTATTATAAAGTTAAGTGTTTTGTATTTTGTAAGGTTTTAATAAAATTATTTTTATTTGGGTTTCGCTCCCGAAAATTACTATAGTATAAAATTTGAAAAGAACTCTGTTGGGACTGTGGGTAGTATTATAAATTATAAATGATAATTGTAACAGTTTAAATATTTCATAAAAACTTTACACTGAACAACAACAAAACATTTGTCTAAAGTTTTAAGGAGGCTAAAGAACCATAGACCAAATCCAATATATTATATATTGTTATATTACATGTGTTGTAATTAATGATAAAATAAAATTACAGCGATGTTCGTTTTAAACAATAATTACCGACACACCTGTATTTTCGGTAAAAGAAAAACCATATAATTTCAACGTTATGGCAAACAATACCGCACCAACATAGAACGCCATTATTACACAGATATTTGCATATAAACCGTTCGATATACATCGATGAATCATTTTTTTAATTTCATATTGTCATGATGATTTAATAAAAAATAGTTTTTTTTTCGTGACGTTTAACCAAATAAAGTTCCGGGGTGGATTTATATTAACTAGAAAGCTATATTTTATTTTATATAAATACAAGCTGTCCGGACTGGGAGTTGCCCGAGATTTAGTCTGCCAGGGCTCAGGGCTAAGTACATTAAGTCCCATTCCCTCATCTCTAATCTTTAATCACTTATTTCTTATCAGATAACAGCGTGACAGCGTTTTTGTGACACATCATATAATATATGTCCCGGTCCCAGTCTCAGTCTCAGATCCCGTTCCAACAGTTAAAAGCTTGCCCAAAATCGTGGTACATAGAATCGGCCTGTTCTTTTAATCATCATCATTTAATTTATTTACATTTCGTATTTAAAGTACAAAGTTCGAGTTTGAGGCCACCCTTAGGGGAAATATTTTTCGAAAAGTACTATGGCAGTTAGGTTCGCGGGAGTGTACTCAACAACTTCCTAAAGTTTCCTGGCGATCGGACGTATGGTGTACTAATGCATAAAGGACAGACAAAATAACAGAAATTCATTTATATATATATATATATAGATTGTTTATAATTATTTTAATATTCCCAAAAAAAAAAAATCAAAATACGTGCTTATAAATACGTACAATTATTTGCTTATAATATTATGAAATATATTTAATGTTAAAAAGTTTAAATAAAAGAATCATTCGTGACGCGCCACGTAGTAGTAGTCTTAACGAGTCGGCCAGGCAACTGAGGTTGTTTGGCTAACTGCAACCAAAAACGCTTGCACCGTCCTGATTGTATTTTCCCCAATCCCTTTTTGAATTTTTTCGACCAAACGTATGCCTACTCTAAAAACGCCGTCCAAGCACTTGTCACCAACGGTCACTGTCGATTTGATTATGGGTAAATGATTTATATCCGTAATCATACCAATCAATGTACCAATGTCTTTGTTTAGAAGTGACTTGCACTTTTCATAATCAGCGGAACACGTTGAATATTTTTCGTAGATGTTTTTGAAGTACATGTCGTCTTTCAACAACATCAAATGTTGAAACCTGCTAAAGACTTCAGTGTCAAACTTCTTGGCGTCTTTTAAAAATTCATCGGAATCGCCGAGTCTATTCGTGTACGACAATAGTATTTGCAACATTATTATTTTCAACATACCGATTACCTGATTCTGGTATTCTCCGAGTGAATCGATTCCTGTCAAATTCCCTTTGGAATCCAATCCCGGAAACCGAGCTTGGACACGACCCAACTTGGTGGCCAAGAATTCATCGAAAAACGATGTGAATGCTCCCTCGTCGCGAAACAGCCACAAGGAGCCGTAAGAAAGCGTTTCGTACGTCGAGGGCCGCAATAGTCGGTTAGCCCTGTTTTCGATGATGTTTTTATTCAGTAATTGTTTGTTCTTTCGTATTGCGTTTATCACATTTTGCTGCGACGGTTGTTCGTCGTCTACTGCTAACTGCCAATGTTCGCACATGTCGGAATACATATTGAAATAGTTGTCGGGTAAACACCCTAAGCCGACGAGGCGTATGTCTACTGCGGACCGCACCGTCTGATCGTCCAACTGTTTA